TATATATACTATTATATACATATATTATACATTACAAAGCATTGTCAAAAAAGGCCTATGCATTGTGTAAAATATTTAACATTCACTGTAAAACCTTTGAAATTATTATTATATTTGTTATTGAAAGTTCTTAAATAGGGAAATGACAGTTTTGATGCCAACATTGAAGATAATCAGGAACTTCTTTTTATAAAGATTCCAGGGCCCCTAGTTAGAAAGTTTTTTCCTTTTTTGATTATTGAAAAAGGAAAGGAGCATCAACAACAACCAGATAATGAATTTTTGGCAGTTATTATTTTTTTTAAATAAAAAGAATTTTATGCCATTGGGAAAGTCTGGTTGTTGAAACCATTCAAAGCAAGGGGAGAAAAAACAAACAAAAAGCACTGAGCATTCAACTCCTATTTTCATGTATTTGACAAAAAATAATCCGAACTGGAATGCATTGAAAAGCTATGTTGCATAAAACGCTGCAATGCTGTACTGTGTAACCATGACAACTGCTTGAAAGTTAACTATAACAATAGAAAACAATATCTAGGTGATGAACAGATTTAATCCATAAATCAATAGCTGCATCACTGTAGAAATTCTTAATCAACAATTTCAAATTTGAATTAGCTGAAACTCTGCTAGTTTGCGTGTACTTATAGTTACCTATAATATAAGATTTTTTGCTGACCCTTTTCTGAAATCTTAAAAAAATTACAAAGATGTTTCATGGTAAAGGCTGTGCATTAGTTTAAAAAGGTCTTGAATATGCTACTTATAAAATGTTTGGCTGAAAAAAGAAAAAGAAAAATCTTCACCAATCATGCAATTTACTTGTTTATCCTGACCAAATAGAAAATGGTTCTCAATTACTTCATATTTGTTTTGGTCTCTGTTTTGTTGAATTGTTCTAAGTCTTATTCTATACAAATTCAGTTTTTGTTCATTTAACATTTTGAAATATATTCAGTGCGGAGACATTTGTTTACGGTTTCATTGATTACAAGGGGGTGTGACAGCAGGCTGTGTTCTGATTGGTTAATGGAAAAGAGGTGCGTCACTTGTGGTCTATACAGCTATTCATCAGATTACCCTAGGGTTATATTATAGAATGAGGTGTTTTATTGCATCATCTTAACTTATTTCAATTTAATTTATTGTAACAATTTGATTTTTTTCCCAGTACTGTCTTAATATTTTAAATAATTGATAAAGAAAATCTGTCATATAAAAACCCACTCATTTTTTAAACCATAAGAAAAAATAGATAACCGTTGATGTAAATCTAGGATGTTGAAGACTAATTGAAGTTGTAGTTGATGACTTGCGACACGCAAAACAAAGTTATTTTTAGAAACTTGAAGGTTGCCGGCATCAAAAGAGTGAAGGTCGTGTCTAATTCCTGTCCTTGTAGTTTTTAATAATATGGAAGAATTGATGCTATTTTTTCAGTTATAATTTGTATAAAATAAAATTAAATGATATGAGATTAGGTTTCAGTATTGTTTTATTTCAGGTCACTGGGATTGTTTGTTGATTTATTTATCATTTCTTTATGCTATATTAATTTTCAATATTCAGTTATAAATTAGTCACAGCTTCTCTGAGCAATCTATCTATCATTGGAGGAGAAGTTGTTAATTTGTCTCCTCTGATTGCCTGATTCGTCCTTATAGGAGAGAAAATGTATGCTTTTTTAATATCTGTTTATTATGTTTGTCAGTCTGGTGAGAGAAGTTGTCTTAATTTCAATGTTGTCTAAGCCTTTACTTGCTTTAAAGTTATCATACTGTTATGCTTGTTAATTTGAAGATGAGAAGTTGTAAGGGTTAGTCAATATACTTTCTGCTGTTACACTTGGTAATATCAATAGGAGAAGTTGTCAGTAAATACTTTCTGTAATAATGCTTAGTATTCTGAAGAGGAGAACTTTTAGTTAATACTTTCTGATACTATGATTGGTAACCTCAAGAAGAGAAGTTGTTAACTAATACTTTCTGATACTATGATTGGTAACCTCAAGAAGTGAAGTTGTTAGTTAATACTTTCAGATACTATGATTGGTAACCTCAAGAAGTGAAGTTGTTAGTTAATACTTCCTGATGTTATGATTGGTAACCTCAAGAAGTGAAGTTGTTAGTTAATACTTTCAGATACTATGATTGGTAACCTCAAGAGGAGAAGTTGTTAGTTAATACTTTCTGATACTATGATTGGTAACCTCAAGAAGTGAAGTTGTTAGTTAATACTTTCTGATACTATGATTGGTAACCTCAAGATGTGAAGTTGTTAGTTAATACTTTCTGATACTATGATTGGTAATCTCAAGAGGAGAAGTTGTTAGTTAATACTTTCTGATACTATGATTGGTAACCTCATGAGGAGAAGTTGGCAGTTAATACTTTCTGATACTATGATTGGTAACCTCAAGAGGAGAAGTTGTTAGTTAATACTTTCTGTAATAATGATTAGTATTCTGAAGAGGAGAGGTTGTTTGTTAACAGTAATACTTTCTGATACTATGATTGGTAACCTCAAGAAGTGAAGTTGTTAGGTAATACTTTCTGATACTATGATTGGAAACCTCAAGAAGTGAAGTTGTTAGTTAATACTTTCAGATACTATGATTGGCAACCTAAAGAGGAGAAGTTGTTAGTTAATACTTTCTGATACTATGATTGGTAACCTCAAGAAGTGAAGTTGTTAGTTAATACTTTCTGTTATAATGCTTAGTATTCTGAAGAGGAGAAGTTGTTTGTAAATACTTTCTGTTATTATGCTTGGTAATCTGAAGAGATGATGTTTGTAAATAAATTGTCTTGTAATGTTTGATTATCTAAAGATGAGAAGTTGTTGGCCAATTATATTTTAGAATATTTGTCAGGTTGTTAGCAGATACATTATCTCTATAGTTTATGTTTATTATTTTCCATTGATTTTCACTGATGCATACAAAGAAAAAAAGTAATTTATATACAAATCTACATGTCGAGCTTTATTGAACTTGTATGTTTTGACGTCAATGTCTATTCATTCTATTCATTCATCGACTAGAGACTGAATTTCAAATTGTGGTATACAACCATAAAGATCCTCAGATAACATGGTTTTTTTGTGAAAGATGGGTGTTATGAAAGTTTTTTGATGCATTAATTCGCGAGAAATTAAATTGTATAGCAGTCTTATAAGAAAATGAAAGATACAGATGTACGAGTGAAAACAGTCTTAAAATTGTCAAAAGCAAATTTGAAACTAAAATTTTAAATTTACCTTTTAGCCCTGTATATTTTGTTATGGTCACTTCAGTCTTAAATGTTGATTGAAGAACAGAAAGTTAGCTACTTTTTACCATTTAAATTTCATTTTTCACAATGGAATTCCTTATATAGATAGATGTACAAGTGTTATACTAGGATATATACATACACACACACCAATAAATATATATGGTCATTCAATGCACAAATCAGTGAAAATTCAGTAATTTAACCTTCAAGGTCAAGGTCCTTAAAGAGCCAAAATCAATTTGAGTTTGATAAACATGAAGGTCTTGTTCTTAAGATTGTTCTGTTATAATATAAAGTCAATCCATTCAATAATAGCAAAGTTACAGCCAGTTACAGCTAAAAAAATGAAAATTTCAATAATTTGACCTTCAAAGTCAAGGTCATTCATGAGTGAAGGTCAAAGTCTGTCTGGTTATTTTTAAGGGCTATCCTTGAAGATTATTATGTTCAAGTTTGAAGTAAATCCATTCAAAAATAACAAAGTTACAGCCAATAATAGCCAAAAAAATGAAAATTTCAATAATTTGACCTTCAAAGTCAAGGTCAATTATGAGTGAAGGTCAAGGTTAGTGTGGTCTAAAGGTCTTGTCCCAAGGGTTGTTTTGGCCAAGTATGAAGACAATACACCAAGAACTAAAAAAGTTATGATCCAGGTACGAGTTTGCGGACGGCAACGCCACCAGGACTATAACAATACCTCTACTTTTTTTTTTTCAAAAAAAAAAAGGTCGAGCTAAAAAGGAATGAAAATAAAGTTACTCTCTCCACAGTATATTTTCTGCTGTGTCCATGAAATAAAGATGCAAAGTAACTTCTTTTTTTACACACTCACTTTACTCTTTAGGGTTATCAAGTACAAAAAGTCCCAACCAAAGTTTGAGCTTCACAAAAAAAAATTCTCTACATATAGCCATTATTCTTGTCTGACATTAGTTTGCCATCTCCCACCTCCACCATTCTGTAACAAGACATTTCATGGCACTCCTACAATTCTGCTATTTCATCATCACTGCTCAAGTGAGTCTCAAAACTATTGGAATTTTCTGTATATTTTACTGGTACTCAGACTGGAACTGTTTTTATCAATAAATGATGTGCCCTTAACCTTGACAAACTTAGAACCAGTCTGTTGATTAATTTCTAAATAGCAGAAGCCATATTGGTCACATTATATGGTTTTTTGCCGGATTTTTGTTGTGCTTTTTCAGTGGAAGAAATTGTTATAGTTTCTTATTATTAGTTAATCTATTTTTTGCAGGATAAAAATAGAACATTCTCTGTTAACTTTTGTTTAAGAGGCCGGCTAGCTATTTTGAAATTTAAACACATGATACAGCTGTCATAAAAGCACATGTGAATTTACCTGCAAACCTTACGAGTAATTATCATTCTTGTATAGAGATTGTGTGTGTTTTTGTACACAGGTGTGTACCTTTACTGTACAACAAACATTTTGGATATGGTTGAGTGTTTTGTTTCTATATGAGCCAAGGTGAACTGCTCATAAATTATGTTAAACAATTCGGTTTGACAGTTCTAGAATATATTCTCCTAGTTACACAATAACCGAGTGAACGTGGGAGTTAACTTTTCTATAGAAATTATCATACCAGCATGTTGTTAATGGAACTATAGATAAAACAATCAGCAGAGGACTTGTTTACTCAATATTGGTGTGTAACTACATGAATTTTGTGTATTTCATTCAATAACTAGAAGTATTTATGCTTTATTAGTTTGTTGACCTCAAATTTAAGATACTAATCTCGATACTTAACTGTAGTATTTCGTTGTTAGTCAGAGATTGTGATACTTTACATGAAAATTATTGTTTTTCAACTAACTGAATCAACAACACAGTTGACCGATCCTACATAGTTGTGCAACTTGACTTTGGGATTATTTATGTTTGTGTAAAGGGAAATTTTGCGGTAACATTACATTAACGTCAGTGACTGTTAAGTTAGGTTTAACCTACATTTACAGGGGTGAAACAGTTTTATTAGGTATATACACTGTTATTTGGATAACGGCTTTTAGATTTACAAAAATAAAGGTTAAAATAAGTAACGGGATTTTTGACTGAAGATAAACCTTAAGTGCAAAACTTTTGGATTATATAGTAAACACGTGTTTGGTGAATAGATTACGAAAAGAACATAACTACAATATATTGTGAAGAGTATCTGTATATATACATATATATATCGCTATACAATATGTCAGCTGGGACAAAAGTGGCTCATCCACCATTTAACCGATCAAAAAGTGAAAAAATAGCCGGGGATGTTATTGATGCGGCAAGACGGAATAGACCAAAATTAAAACGTTCCCTTAGTGCAAATGTTAGACTTAGTATAGAAGAAAAACGCAAACAGGTTGGTATTTGAGTGAGTGTTTAGTATGATGAAATACAAATTAACCTTCAATTTATCTTATTTCAAAGTCTTTTTGTCATTTAGCAGTCAGAAGATGTACAGGACAAAAAATGTAATGTTAATAGGTAGGTAAAGGTTCACATAAGTCCTTCAAGGCTCCTCCAAGTTTAATTGGTTGTTGTGGATTGCAACCATTGTGGTTTCCAGCAGTTTCTTATAAGTGAACTTAAATGTTAAGCATTTACAAGAAAAACGTTAAAGTACATGAGTGATGAATGTACTGTTAAGTTTCTCTGACAGACCATTTAACAAAGTACCATATTAACAACAATGTACATTAGAATATGATGTGTTGGTATAATTAAGCTAAACTGTTTAAGAATTATGATATTGCGACATGTCAAAAAGAAACAAGCAATTTTCATATCCTTAAATGCATTATCAGGGAGAGACTATAATTTTGATGAGTCAGAACAATAATTTCCTCATGTATTTATTATATGAGAAGGTAAAAATACCAACTACTCAATTATCTCAATACAGAACAATTTATATGCCTACACTTTTATAGGTTCTTGACATTATAATGATACTCATTTTGTGCATTAAAGCACTGCAATATCATTTTGGATAAATTTTGAAAATTTGACATTTTCTAGTTGAATCTGGTATTGTACATTAAAACTGGAACACTGGAACAGAATTACAGACCTTATATAAATATATCAAAGAAACAGTTGTTTGAAAGTCAGGGCATTTGACCTGATAAGGTTTCCTTGACATTTTAACTCAGCTGACCTTACATATGTTAATTTATTTAATTAAGCTGTACAGACCTATTAATTACTTGTGCGGTAATTGAATTAAATACTGATGCAAAATAGCTCATCACAAAACAAGTCTACATAATACAGTGCCTGTGAAATGATACATTGTCTGACATTAGGAAAGACATTGAAGATTATGATGGAATCTGTGCTGTGGCAAGGGAATTAGAAGCTGTGGCAAGAAAATGATGACTGTGGCAAAGGAATGGTAGCTATTGCAAGTGGCAAGAAAATGATGACTGTAATTGCAAGGAAAATTGGTAGCTATTGCAAGGGAATGATGACTATGGTGACAAAATAATCGCAGTAAAACTGAAAGTCATCAGCATAAATAAAACTCATTAGAGGGGCCTTATACATTCAACAATAACTTTCAATAGCATAAATATTATGTTTACAAATTAATAAAATTTATATAAAAAAAACAGTATACATGTAACCTTCATATAACCTTCAACAAAATTTACCTTAGTTTTGTGGTTGTAATATATCAAAGTGATCAAATGAATTCATTCAATTGAAGTATGTTCAGTTAATTCAGTTGAATCATCTCAGCAGAATGTCTTATTGGTGTAAATGGTTAGTAAGTGAATATGCAGTTGCTACAATATTGCTTTAAGCACCAATTAGCAATTAATAGCATAGCAGGATGTGTGTTTACTGTGTGTTATATATTTATATATGTGCAAGAAGAGGGCTTTGTTGTCAGAATGTAATGAGCATCTTTAGAAGTCCTGGTTTATTATATTGTACAGACTATTATTATCAAGAGCATTTTATATGATATAATGAAAAGCAGATGTTGCAATGTATAGTGTCTCTACCTTATATCATGCAATGAGCTTTTCCCTGCTTTGAATTCAGACCTGTGCAATGTTGATTAAATGGATTTCAGGGAGAAAATATTAAAAACAATCTCTAGTAAACTAGGTAACCATGATGATCTTGTCAGTTTGCAGGGATTCTCAAGTTGGTCTGGCTCTGTGCTCAGCTTGCATAGGCATGTCTTATTGCTGCAAGCCTGCTGGCAGCAACCCATAAGACCAGCAAAGACCAAGATTGCACTGTTGTCTTTTCAATCAATGACCATTTTTATGCTCCCCGAAAAATTTCGGGGGAGCATATAGTCGGCGCCTTGTCCGTCTGTCCGTCCGTCTGTCCGTCCGTTGTCTTGTCCGGAGCATAACTTGAAAACCCTTGGAGATAATTTGTTGAAACTTCATACAATGGTAGAGGGCATTGAGGGGGAGTGCAGTGTCAAAGAACCATAACTCTATTTTGCCCAGTTTTTGAATTATCTCCCCTTATAGAAAAATCTTGTCCGGGGCATAACTCTAAAACTATAAGAGATATCAACATGAAACTTTGTAGGTGAATAGATCTCAATGGGTAGATGTGCAGTTCATAAGAACAATAACTCTTTTTGCCCTAATTTTGGAGTTATTGCCCTCTGTTAATTTTAACACAATGAACTTTGTCCAGAACATTACTCTAAAACTATATGAGATATCAAGATGAAACATTGTAGGTAGATAGATATCATTGAGTAGAGGTGCAGTGCAAAAGAACCATAACTCTGTTAAGTGTCATTTTTGAATTATCTCCCCTTTTAGAAAAATCTTGTCCAGGAAATAGCTGTAAAACTATAAGAGATATCAACATGAAACTTTGTAGGTAGATATGTCTCAGTGGGTAGATGTGCAGTGCACAAGAATCATAACTCTGCCTTGCCTTATTCTGGAGTTATTGCCCTTTGTTTATTTTTACTTTTTGAAGTTGTCCGGGACATAACTCGGAAATCATAAGAGATATCATCAAGAAACTTTGTAGGTTGATCAGATTGATTAGAAGTGCAGTGCAAAGAACAGTAATTCTGCCTTGCCTAATTTTGGAATTATTGCACTTTGAACTTTTTCCAGGGACATAACTCTGAAACTACAAGAGGTGTACTTTCCTGTGTCCAAAACCTATTCGGGGAGCATCACCCGGCTCAAACCAGGCTCTTGTTTTTTAAGTCTCCAACTTTTGTTTGCAGATGATTTGAAGGACAGCAAGTTCAAACCCTGGTTAGAGTATAGGAAATCCCTCATGTTGATGATCTAATAAGTACTGTTTTAAAAGTGAAAAGAAAAATAAATATCAACATAAAATGTGTTCACATTGTTTTGTACATTAAAGTTATTGTTCTCTTACCTTAGTTTGACATTTTAAAGTATACGAATGTCATTCAGAAAAAAATGCAAACAATTAACTTTTTTTTTTGGTATGCATGCCAGTATGTGAAAGTTTGTGTTTACAGAAAGTAATGCACAGATGAATTCCCTCTGAATTACAGGAATGCAATATAAAAGTAGGTGAAAAAATTTGGCATCTGAACACAGGAGATGGTACCTGTCTATTAATCCTCGGAATTATTACAGAAATATTACGTCATTTCGAGACATCAGTGTGCATCTTACGTCATGCGTCTATTTCTGCTAATTATCTGTAGTCTAAGATTAGTTTAGTTGCAAAGACAAAGGATATTCCAGAATGTTTATTGTCAAAGATTTTCTTTCTTAAAGTGATTATATCTGTGCGGGTATCACATGTGCAGATCCATATTCTACGTTTTCATTGAACTGATTATATAACATTTATTTTTGAAACCTTTGAATTAACAATAGATTAGAGGCTTTAACTTTAATGTAATACATTTAGTGACATTACACTAAATAAATAGAAAAATAATCATAAAAAATGGTGCCAGAAGAATGGTGCTCTTCTACAGAGCATATTTTGTAGAGAATAGCTGGGAAATACATCATTTCAAAGGTCAAGTAAGGTGAAACAGTTCTGTAACTTTGTGTGCTATAATGTGTGTTAATTGCAAAATCAGATTTGTATTATTATTTTTTTTCATTTTATGATTGGTTGAATGGCTTTAAAATTTGTTTTCTTTTTTTTTCATTTTTGAAAAGGCTTATGAAAAAGTTTACACAAAATTAATAATATATGTTTAATGAATGTTTTTTCTGAGAATGCTAGATTGAAGTTTAGCCAAGTTTTTATTGCTGCCTGCGGCTCTGACAATTTTGATTCTTAAAATCCCTTATACTTCTGTTAAGAGTGTTAGCCAAGTCTATTACTCAAATCCAGGGGTGTTAATTAACAGTAATTTGTTATATCCTGGTGGTAAACTAGATTGTGTCATTAGAAACTTTTAGAAACATTAGGTTGAAACATGTTTTTTTATGCTATTATATTGGAATTCAGCATTAAGGGACAAGGCCGTTGATTTTATATTTGAAGGTTCTCTGAAGGTCGTATAGAAGGATAAATATACTGCGTATTTGTATTTAAGATGCCAAGATAAGACAGCTAGGTTTAATCAATACTGGTGCTATTGGAAATATTGTAATAGAACTAGTGCAAAAATATTGATCCTGGCAAGAGACCATTATTATTGCAAAGTGTTGAATTATTGATACATATCATAATAAATTGACTAGTTTGTAACAATCATTACATCCCTTGAGACTAATTGCATAATGTTAAGTCTTTTAATCAATATGAATGGAACTTGTGAATATCACAAAATAATTTAAAGTATATTCTTTTACAACTTCCTTCAGGTCTTAAGTTCATGCCATTCATTTACTGTATTTAGATTTCTTTTGGCTCTAAGTTAATTAATATACAAATTTATTTTAGTTCAATTGTGTTGGAAGCTATAAGCTTATTATCCCCCGTCAATAGATCGGGGGATATTGTTTTGGCATTGTCATTCCGTCTGTCCGTCCATCCGTCCGTCCTAATTTCATTTCTGGACTAGTTCTCTGCAACTACTGGCTGGAAATCAACGAAACTTTATGGGAATCATCAATATCAAGAGGAGATGCGCATATCGTCAGCTTGTTCCGTTCAGACCCTTTAACTTAGAGAAATGGCCCTTGATTAGTTATGCAGTATGCATATAGAGTAAAAATGGTTTCCATGCTACTTCTCTGCAACTACTGGCTGGATTTCAACGAAACTTTATGGGAACCTTCAATACCAAGAGCAGATGCGCATATCGTTGCCTTGTTCCGGTCAGACACTTTAACTCAGAGTTATGGCCCTTGATTAGTTATGCAGTATGCATATAGAGCAAAAATCATTTTCGCGCTACTTCTCTGCAACAACTGGCTGGAATTCAACAAAACTTTATGGGAACCTTCAATATCAAGAGGAGATGAGCATATCATCACCTTGTTCGGGTCAGACACTTTAACTCAGAGTTATGGCTCTTGATTAGTTATGCAGTATGCATATAGAGCAAAAATCGTTTCCGCACTACTTCTCTGCAACTACTGGCTGGAATTCAACAAAACTTTATGGGAACCTTCAATACCAAGAGAAGATGCGCATATCATTGCCTTGTTTGGGTCAGACATTCTAACTCAGAGTTATGGCCCTTGATAAGTTATGCAGTATACAACCAGAGCAATAATTGTTTCGGTGCTACTTCCTTGTAACTACTGGCTGGATGTGCATATAGTTGCCTTGTTCCGTTCAGACACTATAACTTGTATTTTTATGGCCCTTGATTAGTTATGCAGTATGCATACATCTCATTGGCATTTCCAGATATTACTATTTAACACAGAGTTATGGCTCTGTTATTGCCCTGAATATTTATCAAGTTCAAAGAATGTTACTGTTTATGCCATGATAAATATATAAATAAAGCCTTATGTCTTCAGTTGTTGTGTAGTAATAACCAGTACTTGGCGGGGGATATAAATTCAAAGAATTTGCTTGTTGAAACCGTTCCTGGAACCAAACAGAACTAAGCAATGAATGTAAAGTTTTTTTGCTCAAGGAAACTAAGAAAACTGTTGCCCCTGACAGGGTTTGAACCCATGCAGTTACCATCCAGGAAGCTGTCCCTTTTGTAACTAAAGTAGTCTTTATCTAGGAAGGACTGACAATTTACTTGTGTTTGTATTGTACTTACCGGTAAAGTAAATTTTATCTACAATCTAATTTCTTAATAAAAAATTTCAGCATCCTGGATATCATTACAAAATTGAATGTAAATTGTAAACTTAATCCAAATATGGACATAAAGCTAAGTGTATTAACTTCTTAATGTGGTTAGGCTCAATATCTCATTGGGAAGGAAATAGGATGTGAAAGTATTTCGTCATCATTTTGTTTACATGTATACATAAACATGACTCAAAGTCATTCAGTTTATTTACATTTCTTTATCTGAATCGTGCCATTAAACCCGTCGTGATATAGAACTTGTTCTCTATTTCGTGTGGTTATCTTATTTTGATATAAATTAAAATCGTGGTTATATTAGTACATTTTATAATAGGCAGAAAAATTTCAATTTGAATATTTATGAAGCTTTTCTTGGTCAAGAGTGAAATTGTATGAAGATTAGGAGGTTATTGCCCCTGTATTTTTTGTTAGTCTCATTTATATGTGAATGAGATATAACTTTTATGCCCTTATTTTCTTTCTTATAAGAAAAAAAAATCTTAGTAATCTATATGTTTTGCTTAACGCAAAAAAAATGATTACACCTTTTTTTCAGGATATGTAAATAAACCATTTCAAGCAGTCAAGCAAAACAAACTTTAAGGCCTGAGCATTTCAGCTGATGTAAATGTTGATAATAAAGTAATTTGATTATTGGAGTAAATTAAAAATGTAATTTAAATTGAAAATGTTTGGATTTTGAGTAGAGGAGGTTATACTTGTCAGTTTTGATATAATATAAATGTAAGAATAATTGAAGTGAAAACAAATTATAATGTTTCTACCTAACAGGTGGTAAAAAACACTCAAGATTTTACATTTTACATAATTTTATGTACATGTAGTACAAATTTTGTAGTTCTTTGGATTCCATGACCGGTTGTTATATTCAAACACGAAGGTCCAGTATAGGCTGTGCCTCTGATCTTCCTCAACTATTCTAAAGACACCTGACAAACTATGACCGGTCTTAAAATCCAACAGTAAGAAGAACATTTTTTTTGTATTTAAGGTTTTAAGTTACAGTTGAAATATAGGGACCTGTCATAAACATAATCAGAATGTAAAGGTTTGTGATTCACTACAGTTCCCTTTGAAATTTATTTTCTGTTTCGTTTCCTTGTGTATTGTTACAGGAATTTCAAGGTTAAAAGAAGCAGGAAGAGTTGGTTGTTTATAATGATATATGTCACTTATATACAAATTAGCATGTATTGATTTTAGAGAATAAGAAAGAATGATTAAATATTACATGAGAGTGCATTATTAATTGATAAAGCATGTTTTTTATTCTATGAAAATAGTTGTTTTGGAAAGAAATGTAGAAAATGAAATAGGGGAAAAGTTGACAGATGCTCCAACTTTTGTTATATAGTAGTTGAAAGTTTGTTTATCTCACGTAAACATTTTTCATTTAGGAATGCTCGGATTTGGTGATATGAACCATTGTTAAAAGAATTGCAAAAAAACAACATGTTTGCAATAATAAATCAACTAAAGTTTAAGATGAAAGTATAATTATAATGACTAATTGCTTTGGGTGATAATTTTCAATCAAACATGAAACCATAATGTTAAAAGTAATAACGCTTTAAAGCAATTTGAATCCCGACATCTAATTAAAGATAAAATTTTGTTGTATGAAATATTAACATTTAAATAAGTATCTTTATTTTACGCATCAAACGTCAAAGAAATATTTACATATTAAATTGCATCATCGGACGTTAAATTTTGTCATATGATTTTAAAATTTTATTATTTCAGTAAGCTTTGAGATGCTGTTGAATAAATATGTAAATCGACTAATACTTGAAAAGTCAAGTGGTTCAGAGCATTGAATTTCCTTTTCTACGAAAATGAAATAAATTTCTATTACATGATTTGTAGTTTATTTTTAGATTTTTTTTTCTTTTTAGGAATTCCGTGTTTAATATTGATCTTAAGTGAGCGCAAGTATGAAACACAAGTTTGATCTTTCGTAAATATTGGATTTAATAGTAAATATGTAGTGACATATTGAACATTAACATGGACTTTAGTATAGAAAAAGAAAAAAAAGGAGTGGTATATATATATATATATATTATATATAAAACTGCAATGACAATTTGAATGTTTTATATATTTGAAAAATAATGACTGATCGAGCATTTATTGTTAACAATGTGTGAGCTCAGAACAGAGGAAAAAATGGCTCAAGGGTTCATAAATATCTCACATTATCAAATATATATGAACTTTAATTATAAATTATGTGAAGTCTAGTGAATTAATTAAAGACAAGAAAATGATAATTGAACATAATTGGGATTGTGGTACAATGGGACGTAAAAAGGTATATTTATGCTTGAATCAAGTACACTGTGTTCCAAAGTTATTTTAAGATATATTTTGCATATAACATGTTATATGTCATTACACTAAAGTATGTATAAGTTATCTAGTAAACTTGATATATATGTTTGGTACTGTCAAAAAATAATAGTTTGTATTGTTAATATAGAGAAAAGAAATATTTTATAATGTTTTTTGTTTGCATGTTAGATTAAGTAGTTGAAATAGTTGTTATGTGCTGTGAATATTATGAAACAAGTTCTTGCAACTTGTATAAGAATATGCTTCCTGGAAGTCATTTAAAACAGTGGGAGGAAACATTGTATGACCCAAGTTAAGAGCTCCCACCCACAGTTTCTGGGTTGAGATGTAAACACCTTTATCACCACAGATGCTATAGTTATTGATAGTGAATGGTATGAAAGTATTAATGTGAAACAGAAACAATGACTTATGAACAAAATAATACATACATTTACCTTATCTTAATGGAATTTGGTATGGCATGTTACTGTTATCATATTATCTTTATAAATATTTTCTTACAGAAAAAAATGGTTTTATATAATTTCAGATAGAGAATATTGTTCGGCCATTTATACTAACTGACGATGACTACCAAAAGATCATGGGTGTCATGGAGGATAACTTTAACAAGGGGCTGGGAAAACAAACAAATAAAAGTGCCAGGGTGAAGATGTTTCAGACTTATGTCAAAGCAGTACCAGACGGCACTGGTAAGATTCCTTTTTAGAATATTGATGTGCTTGATGAAGAAATACTGACTGATTTTTTCTAGAGCTGGATATTCATGGTGCTAATTTGAAGAAACAATTATTTATTTCTTCTATATTTCCTTACCTTAAATTACACTTGCTTAATGTAAAACCTAAATTTTATTTGAAATGTCATTATGTTATAAGTCGTTTGTAAAGACAATGGATGAGGTCATTTTAAAAATAGTGTACTTAAAGATTATTTTGCTGTTTTCGATGTTTCCAGGCGCTATAAATGTGACTTACAATTATATAAACATTGTTTTTTCTATGCATATTAATGGAAAATGACCAAGTTTGCCAGTGAAATTTTGACTTTTATTGTTTCTAGAAATTTTGTATGTAAAATTGCCATATGTGTTTAATGTATAAAACAAGGATAATAAGCAATATTATTCTGTTAACTTTACAGAAAAGGGAGACTTTCTTGCCCTGGATTTGGGAGGAACCAATTTCCGTGTACTTCTGATCTCGCTGGATGAGAAAGAAGTTAAGATGGAGAGTAAAATCTACCTTATACCTCAACATATAATGGTTGGATCTGGAACTCAAGTATGTTATTACATAAAATTGATATGATTCAAGGGTGTTAAATTGAAAAAAAAGGCTTTTTGACTTACCTTACCCAATTATCAAAAGTGATAAGCCTCTACCATCAGTGTAGAGATAGTCTATCCAGGATCTTTGTTGCTACTACCTTAAGATTTTCGATATCCCCAAAATTGATAAGAAAACTAGACAAGTCAATTTAAGAAATTTAGCAGGTGAAGAGTTACAAACATGGGCTTAAAAAATGGTCAACTTTCTCGCTATATTGGTTCAAACTTCAATGACGGGTACAGATAACATTAACTGTATTGTTCAGCATCTTTCACAATAATTTTGTGTCTGCTTTCCGTTTTCATAATGGTATATACAATTTTTTTGTAAGTTCAATAGTTTTATTTTACACATGTCCTGGTATTTGATAACCTTTCATTATAGTCAAAATTGCTGAAAACAAGAAATATGAGCGCACATTTCAACCCACGCCACCTCACCTGCTTCCCTTAAATAGAAACTGTGATATATGATGTACCAATATATGTCCGGGATCTGTGACCAGCATTTTAAAGGAGTTATATGTTATATATTAGTACTTACTGTCAGGTTATATATGGTCAAGTTAAATTATTATCTTATGTAGGCCATAATATATCAGTGAAATATGTAGGACGTTACCAGATAGATTTATCATGGTGTATAAATGTAGCGGGAAATTACTATATATAGAACAATACAGTGACAGTTATGATCAATCAACATAATAAAGTTGCCGCAGTTGATTGTCCTTGAGAAACGGTCATCTGCTACTTAACACACTGACCTATATTAACTGACCAGCATCATACTTGATTTTAAATATAGAGATTTACATTAAAGATGCTTTGTATGGCATAAAAACTTTACATATTTTATTTGACAATAAAGAAAGAGAAGTTGTCCTGTTAGAGACGTTTTCCTGTGATGACATGTATTTATTTTACATCTGAAGGCTTGAGTTACTTCACTTTAAGGCTAAACATGCAAACTGTTTGTCAAGCTGTCACATTTTTCCTTACAGACTGGATATTTTCATCCACAAAAATGACTTAAAGAATAGTAATCTTAAGATAATGATAAATAGGCGGTCTAATTCATAGAAGTATAGCAACATACTTTCATAAGGTGTTCAACTTTAAAAGTAGTTTAAATTGCTGAGAAATTTATCCATATATGTCCCTATGTGATATTTATAATGAAAAATCATATATAAGTTCAGCAAATATATTGAATCTATGTATTGTTAACTTCCATGCAAATATTAGAAGTGCAAGAAGGATTACTATATTGTGACATTCCTACTGTATAACACCACACAAAACCATCTTTATTTCTTTATTTTTCAGCTATTTGATCATATAGCTGAGTGTATATTTAAGTTTATGAAAGATCATCAGCTGATGGACAAGCAATTGCCACTGGGGTTCACATTCTCGTTTCCATGCCGACAGGAAGGGCTTGACAAGGCCATCCTCACTAACTGGACGAAAGGTTTCAAATGTGAAGGTGTGGAGGGTAATGATATAGTCAGACTACTTCATGAAGCCATAGAGAGGAGGGGGGTAAGGCTTTTTCTTAAAGACACGTGAATTAAACACTGATTTAAGTAAGAAAACAAGTAACATTTCAAGTACTCAAGTACCTACAAGGAATAAGTTGTTCTTTAATTTCTTCATTTATACTGAAGTTTCTGTTTCATAGATGCTATTTCAAATCTCATTCTTACAAAGTTACTTTTTATTTAAAGTAGAAAATTATATTATTTCAAACTTACTTTGTAACGATTTAGTATACAAAATTAATTTAGTTACTTTTTACTATACAAATTGATTGAGATTTTGTATGTTGGTATTGAATGTTTGTTTACAGGATATGAAGGTGAATTGTTTAGCTGTGATCAACGACACTGTAGGAGCCCTCATGTCATGTGCCCACAGTGACAATCTATGTGCAATAGGTCTTATTTTAGGTAAGCTTTATTATATAACACATAATACTGCACATTTATAACTTCGCTTTTCATTGGATAATCGTGACGTTTATATTGTTTAATATAAACGTCTGTTAATTTTTGAAGAAATCTCGTTTTTTTTATAAAAATGATGCTTGCAGTATCATAAATTTGTTATAAATATTTATGACAGGTTATATGGCCATATATAAACAGATGCTTGTAATATAACCCCCTCTATATTTCCAAACAACCATTTATATATGGCCATTTAACCTGTCAAAAATCTTTATAACTTATAACATACCCAATTGTAGGCAATTGTAACTGAGATTGTAAAAATAGTCTTACAGCCATATCATCATGGGGACTCTTAAAAAATATTTTTAAAGTCTTTTTCCAACGGGTTATCTCTTGCTTTTATATGACCCAATTTGAGGCATCAATGGTTTTATGGTTTACTGTTTATGTTGTTTTTTCGGAAAATGAAATAATAATTATCATTTGATCTACATTACGTAACATTTTAATGAAAATGCTTTCATGGATTCATTTTGTTTGACATCACGCAAAAAAACCCACATAATTACACTCATTCAATTTGCCTGAAGGGGTACAAACATAATTGAATGAGGTATGTATTGATGTATTGCATAAAACCTGACGCAAGTTTTTTTACATGTCGCATAAAGAGTTTTAAATAAAATACTTGACTAGCTGGCAAGTTGTCAATAACAAATGTCACTTTATTTTGTACAATTGCCAAATTCAATAGTCTACGTAGACATTGCCAATAGTCAGACGAAGTAGGACTAATGTTTGATCGTATATTAATTTATTAACGGTCTTTGTATTTCAATTATTTGAGTATTTTTCAACGGTCTAAGGTTATTGTGTCGAAGATATAAATATTTATACCTTTAAATAATATTGTGTCATTTGTTTCATAAGATAAGAAAATTTGTTTAGATTGGATGCCAGAAATGGTAGATTATAGAAACTTATTGCGTGTGAAGTAATGCCCAGAATTTAAAGGTTAATTATGTGTGTAACAAGACTGAGGAATGACTGGGATTAGTTGAAGTATAATAGGCCAGCAGACTTTGTTTACAAAATGAACAGGGTACTTGTAGTGGGAAAGGATATTTGAAGGTTATTATTGGTATATGATTGACTGCACTCATTTTACAACAATAACAATCTTAGGCATGGAACATTTTGTCCAAAAAAGTGGGGAAAATGGAATCACTTGATAATATCTATAAAGTCAGTGTAGAAAAGCACTTGGTTTATGATTTTAAGATTGTTAAATTTTAATGGGTTTATGATTTTAAGTTTCTGTTAAAGTTTAATGCTTAATTTCCTATAAGTGTCCCTTAAACTTCTTAAAATTAAAGAAAATTCACAATGATTGTGTGTTCAAGAATGTATTACTCATTTGAAAGATTACCATTTGACTACAAGCCATTTAATTTGCATGTTATTTTTTTTTTAAAAACATATTGTCTATTTTTAGAAATTAAAAAAAAATAAATAAACAAATATGACACAGTAACAACTTCTGCCAATAGATTAAATCAGATACTAATTATTGATAAAAAAACATGCACAAATAATTGAACTTGAGAATCTACCTAAAGGTCTTAAAGGGGGTAAATTTGAAACACGTGTTTGATATTATGCCAAACGTCTTTCATAATTTAAAAAAAAAATTTATTGATAATTGGAATGGCCTGATTAAACCAGTCCTGTGACAGATTATAGGCATTTTTCCATGACACATATTAAAAGTATAATGAAACCAGGCTTAAACTATTGCGTTCAAGATCTTTTGTGATAAATCCGTTAAAAAAGGTCAAAATATTTACAAGATTTTTTTTTCTGAAAAAATCAAGATTTTATTTTTTTAAAGAAAAAGTCTTTAGTTTATGTATGTAAATAAAACCCAAAACAAAAGACAAACAATGCATGGTGTCAAGAAATATAAAATGGCTGAAACAATAACAGTCCAATGATGAATGTCGAAAGTAAGCTTGAAGTAAGGCCTTGTAATATACAGACTATAAATGAGTTCTTATCAATGTTCCTTTTTTTAAATCTTTACAGGTAAAAAAAGTTGCCCATACCACAACCACCTATTCCTTTTGTATGATTTATTATATCTGTGTGACTTAACACATCAGAATTATTAACTAAATAAATTATTGTGTCTTCTGAGTTACCAAGATTTCTTAAATGGATATAAAAAATAATATGAAGAAAAAACCCATTTTGAATCAAAATGGAAAATGCATCAATTGTGTGTGTGTTTTATTCATCTAGATAAAGAAAACTTCATTTGTTACATTTTAAGACCCCATACAAAGATAAAACTAAGTGCAGATAAACAAATTTGGAAAGCACAACAAATACATATATTGTTCAAGACTCAAAAGCAAACATTATATAATTTAAATTGTTTAAAAGGTGTGTTGATTTTATTCAAGATAGACAGATTTTGCATATATTGCCAACTAAATGCAAGGCAGGTAGTGATTTATTACAAGATAGGGAGAATGGTGGCAGGTACCGTTTTGAAAGAAATTTTGTGATTTAATTTATAAATGTATCATAGAAAAAAATAATAAAAGCCATATAATGGAAAGAAGTGAAGGCAACATAATTTTATGAGAAATATCAAGAGCAACATAAAGTACTAAATATTCAGTTTGAAAAAGAAAAACTAAAGAAAACTTCTAATTTATAGATATGTTTAGAATGGGAAATTTTGCCAACACTTTTTGAAGACGGGAATAGGGTCAATTTCAGTCTTGTTAATGGCCAAAAATAATGTAAAAAGTATGAGAAATATATGCCATGTATCCTGTCCATAAAATGTAATTAATGCATTTATACTATATTAGCATATTAAATGAGAATTTCATTAGAATTTAATTGGTATGAAACAGGTACTTTCCCAACATTTGAAATCTTCTCTTTATTTCTCTTCCTCCTAGTCTACTTTTCCTACATGTATAATTATAGACTTGATAATAATGTACAACATACTTCAATGAAAATTGTTATACGTTAAATATGTTACAAAAACTATCTGTACTGTAAACAAGCTTGATCAGGAAGTTTTGAAGACATTTTAATTTTATATCTTTAAGATTTGCATTAAGAAACATTTATTTAATAGAAATTCCAGCAAGTAATTTTCTATAGATTGGAATTCATGATATCTGATTATTTGATTTGTATTTTTATTTACATTCAAAACTATGTATTTCACAATAAGGATATAAAAAACTCTTTCTGACAAAAATTTGATGAAATATCGTGCTGACAAAATTGTATGATTATACCAAAATAAAGCCAAGCTGTCACACATTGACACACTGCTTTATGATTATGTTGCATAACATCTTTATGTCTGATGTAAGATTTGCATACATTTGAAAAATTAAATATTAGCATGTCTACGAACAGATTGTATGCCCTAATTCACAAATAATTAATTACTTATATTCATGTAGATTATAGAGACATATCTCTTTATAAGTCCCGTGTGGTAATATATTCAAGATGTTCTATGTCATGCATTTATAATGTAGTTATGTCAAGAAATTTTATGTCATGTAAAATATACCAGTGACACCAATATCCTTTATGTTTTATGACATCTTATTCTTCATGACAACTTATTCTTGATTATGATTTGAATATAATATTATGTCTTCGATAGAGATTATAACTAGCCCTGTATTTTTTTGTACGAAAATTAGTTTTAATTGGTTTTGAAAAAAATCACGAAGATGGTTGACCCGACCATGCTTTATTTGTAATTCAAGTTGTCAGACACACCTTCTAAAATCTGGTATTAAATCAATTCAGAAATGTAAATGAAAAAATAAAATGTTAATTACTTGGAGTTGACAGGGAAGGGTTTGACCACCTTGTGGATGAGTTGTTCATACCCTCTTTTAATGGAGGAATACAGAATATTTCAGAGAATTTGATAAATACATTATTTATAATGTAGTAACTGGTATAATTTCAGGAACTGGTACAAATGCGTGCTATATTGAGCGTTTAGAGAATGTGGAATTATGGGACGGTGACTGGGACGAGCCCCAGCAAGTTATCATCAACACAGAATGGGGAGCATTAGGTGATGATGGATCCATGGACTTTATGAAAACCGAATATGACAGAAAAGTCGACAAACATTCGATCAACCCTGGCAGACAAACGTAAATATAAACTTAATGATTTTAATTTACATTTCCGTACATGTCAAAAAAGTCATAAAATACATCTTGTTAAAATGTTGTTAAATTTTATTCAAATTGACAGCGAGGAGATATAATGCATGTTTTTTTAAACAATAAAAATTAATGATGGGAAACAAATTTTGTACAACTGTTTGCTTGTACGTGTGAGCATATGCTTTCAACAGACAGGCACATGTAATATATCATGTAATTTCTATTTCAATATTTACAGATATGAGAAGATGATATCTGGCATGTATATGGGAGAGATTGTACGACTGGTACTTGTTAAGTTATGCAAACACGGGCTTTTGTTCGGAGGTCGAGGCTCAGAGGAGCTTCAAACAATGGGAAGATTTTACACAAAATATGTTTCTGAAATTGAAAGGTGCGTCAAGGTTACTATAATTATGATATGTAGTGTAGTGTTGCAGTAAATATAGATTTAGATTTATGTAGTAAAAGTCTCAAAGTAATCATGTGCATATGAGTGTGAAAAAAACCTAAATATAGAGCTTGTAACATGGCTCACCACAAACTGATGAAATTACCCTTACCAAAATGACTTTAAGTGACTTATATGTTTCTTATATGCAACTTATTCTTGACCTATAAGAGAACTATAAGTTACATATAAGTCACTTATAAATCACCTAAAAACCTGTCTAAGTCAGTTATAGGTATATGCTACATATAAGTCACTTTTGGCCATTTTTTTCCCCAACATATAAGTCACATACAAGTCACCTATAAGTGCCTTATACTGGTGAAGTTTGAAGTAACCAGTTTCTATGTTAGATATAAGTGAAAACTTAGAACTTTTGCGAGACTTTTTATTACTGAGCAAAGCTGCAAAGCTGAAAAAATTACTAAGTACAAAAACATGAGAAAAATTGATAAAATTTATTGAAGTTGATTTGTAATTCTTTGCTTTAACACAATGGGTATCAAAATACTCAGAATTTAAAATACTATAATCTTAGACCTTAATCACAAACAATTAAGATTTTTTTTTAAATGTTGCTTATTAATTTTTGTACACAGCTGGGGGTTTTTAAATAAGATAATAGGAAAAATGATTATCAATTAAGTATATTACCTGTAAAAAATTTTGGTTAATATTCTCTGCGGAATTGGGACAGAAATGGCATTCAATCAGTGATTTCTAGGCTACCATGGACAGAAATGAAATTCCATGTCATTTCTTCTCACAAGGAAAATATTTCACATAAAAGTCACCCAAGGCATAATTCTACTCTTGTTTTTTTTCTAACTTGAAACAGACATTGAAATCTATATGTTTTTACCAACTGTACTTCTTACAGACCTAATTTCGGGGAAGTAAGATATTCTAACAAGAAAAAGAGGTGTATTTTTTTTTAATATACAAGTGTTATTTTTTAAGACATTTAGGCCTAGTGTATTTTAGATATTTAAACAATAAAAAAAACAGGTGCTTGAAATAAACAGTTTATATTGCCCTTTTAATCTATATAAAAAATCAAGGAACCAATATGCCTGAAGATTGCTTATATTTCTACATCCACTGATACACCACATTGATCAGAGGTCTGATAAAACTGGCCACCTGCCTTTGCCACCATATGTGCATGACTAATTTTTTGACTGGTCATTCCTACAAATCAGACTGTTCCATGTTGATTATTTTGGGGAAAGATAACATTTCCTATCCTGAATTTGTAAAAAAGGACATGCATTTTCTTTTTCAAAAAATGTATAATGGTTTTTAAACTTTACATATCTATTAGTTATTTGATTTTTTTTTCACATTCAATGATTGTAAGATAGAACTGATGAGTGCTTTGATTTTTGGATTTACCCTGTTTTACATAACATTGGACCTGCCCAGCAGGTACACAGTTGTAAGTCTGAAACATTTAGGTTAGCAAGCTGGTGGAAATCACAGAGAATCTACTTGATGTTTTAGGAATTTTAGAGATATTGTTTTGTTTAAGATGTTTATGTATAGTTATGGTAAATAAGAATGACAAGAAGAATCACCTTGGACAAGAAGATATACAACAAAATCAGGTAAATACCTTTGAGTTACATTTATGCAGAATTGATACAGGTTATATATTAAACAATCAAAGTAAGATGGCAGCAAACTAAAATTTGTAACTTGAGAGATCAAGGCTGTTTTTATTTCTAAGCTTAATTCATACATTAGATTTACTAATACTTGTAATTGATTTAAATCTAGATTTAATAGTTAAATGAATTGAATTTTTAGAACTAAATGGTACAATCAGTAGTTTTATGCAGCTGAATAAGACATGGTCATCATAATCATTTATCATTTTATCGTTGTTTTCAATGGAGAAATCTGATATTACAATTTACATACATTGCAGGCTAGTGGGACCAGTTCTTACTTTGAGATGCCAGGTGAATAATGATATGCAGTATTGAGCCTGAAAAGGTATATTTTTTTAATCTCTATACTTACTGCTATAAATCTTTCACAGAAAAGAGCATAATAAATGTTGTTGCAAATAGTGCAGTCAGGGCCAAAACACCATTTTTGGGGAAGGGGCCTCAGCCTTTTTCTTGGGGAAAATATGCGTGATTTTGGCATACGTCTCAAATTTAACACAAACTTTTAACAAGTTCTTTAAAACTGAAAAGCACTGGGAAATACAAATAAGGCAGTCAAAATCCTTTATTCAACACCATCATTTAATTTTGTTCTAAATTCTATGGGAAATTTCAAAAGACTGGGGAATTTTGAGGACCAAACTGGGGAAAAAAAGAGGCTAGTTTGGTTGGGGAAGTAGCCTATATTCGGCCTCTACAAAGAAGGGTTTTTTGGCCCTGGCAGTTAATCAATTCTTATAGAGACTTTTAGCAATTCTTAAACAACACTGTTGACTTGTGCACTAAAATGAGATACTGTGTAACTTAGTATATTTGTATATGCATAAGCATAAATAGCTAATATAGTTTGATGATATAAAAAATATGAAATATAACTGCATATACAATGGTCAGAATTTATTCCACATCTTCTTTAATTAATTATGAATTTTATCTTTAAAGGTGAACACAGCCACATGAAGTTCTCCGAGGAAATAGAAGCAGAGCACTGAAACAGACATCAATAAAAGAAAAAGCAGTTTGAATAATCAGAAACATTTGATCAAATTTATGATTTGAACAGTTCCTCACCGACAGACTTCCAGCAAAATAATTGTATAAATAAAATGTTTGATTCCAAGAAAACCAGTAAAAAACAAAAACTTGCAGCTAGAAATGAATATTGTTTTTGTTATAGTGAATGTAAGATGATTGAACTGAAGGATATGTATGTTGAATTTTGTATTTTGCTCATTTATATGACTATGAATATAAATTAATAAACATTTTTAAAATTAAATTACTAAACTTTTATTTTATTTCAAGCTTTTTTGACATCAAGCAACATATATGCGACTTACATGTGACTTATATGTTACTTATAAGTGACTTATATTAGGTCACTTATATGTAACATATAAGTCACTTATATGTAACATATAAGTCACTTATATGTTACTTATAAGTTGAGCATATCTTTTACTTACATGTCACATATTTGTGACTTATATATAACTTATACTTCACTTATATGTCAAAATGCCAGACATATACTGCACTTACATCTAATTTGCATTTAAAATACATATACTTGACTTATAGGTGAATTGACTAAGTGAAGTATAATCTACATATAAAATAGCCTATAAGTGACTTATAAGTGAATTCCGTAAGGGTATACAGTTGGTTATAAATAAATGGCTAAGACGTAGAAAACAAGAAATTTAAGAAAGTCTGGGTCAATCGATTCCTATCTAAAAGCAGAATTGTTGGGAGCGGTGACTGCCTGACTTATGCAATAAATAGAATAAATTTCATACTGATTCTTTTTATATGAATTCAGACTGATGAAATATTCTTTTTGCTGTAGTATAGAGATTTAAATGTGAATTATTGAGTGATGAGGAGAAATATGAGTAATTTTTTATCTGCTCCTGTCTGATCTATATTGGAAATAATGTAAGATATACATTACTTCATTAACATCAGTTGAGCTGTCTGATGAAATCTTACAGCAGCTGTCTGTCTAATGTATATGTTACAGGTTTCAACTAGGAATATTGATCTCCAGCTATATATATATAATTCTTACCTATTAAATATTCCCTTTGTAAACTGTAAACAATATTGTACTAACTTAATGGTCTTAAGTTTTGATGTTTCAAGTATAGATGGAAACAAGATCATCCTAAAGCTTTTGTTTTAAATATAGCATGTAAACAGTATGATTACATGAAAAATAAAATCTCAAGTACAGAAATGTATACTAAAGAAGTAAAGTGGTAAATTCAAATTGAAGATTTGTTACTATTTGTGTTATATTTATTTCTGTAGTGACGTAGATGATCATTTCAAGAACACAAAACAGGTGTTTGATGAATTAGCTATCCCACACCATACGGAGGAAGATTGTCGTATTGTACAGCATGTATGCTGTCTGATTTCCACCAGAGCTGCGTACCTGGCTTCAGCAGGTATTACACTCATTGTATTTACTACATCTTAGTAACAATTGATCTCTGACTTGATGTCTTAATTGTTATTTGAGCCGCGTCATGACAAAACCAACATAATGGTTTTGCGACCAGCATGGATCCAGACTAGCCTGCGCATCCGCGCAGTCTGATCAGAATCCATGCTGTTCGCTATCAGTTTCTCTACTTGTAATAGAGTTGGTGAGCGAACAGCATGGATCCTGATCAGACTGCGCGGATGTGCAGGCTGGTCTGGATCCATGCTGGTCGCAAACGCACTATGTTGGTTTTGTCGTGAAGCGGCTCATTTGTTGCCCTCATCAGATTGAAAAAATTATTTGGGAGTACTAGTCTGTCACTTGAAGAGAAAATGGCAATTACTGGTTAGTTATCCAGGAAAGTTGGTTATGGCACTAGATGGTTGAGATTTGACCAAAAACATGTTAAAATCAGAGTATACCAGAATACCAGAAAAAAACTTCTGTTATTATTATTATTATTCTGTTATGTGAAAAAGCTATCAACTAGATTATTGAAGTCTGGTGGTTCTACTCAGGTGCCCATCTGTGACTGACATTATCCTCAGATGGGTAGGCACTTGATGTCTTCTTAGACCAGTATAGCTGTTAAATGACATGACCTTATTAATTTTGATGTGATTTTTAACCTAACAATAACATTATTTCCTTTCTTGAGACATGTTTATAAAAGTTTTTACAAAAATATCATCATTAACAGTTCAAGGGAGGTAAATCTAATTTCACGTAACTTATGACTTTAGATAAAATTATGTTGAGGGTAACTGTGAAGTCTTTGTGAATATTGATCTATGTTATATGTTTCATCACAACTAGTTCTTGTCATTGGTCAGATAGTTTTGGTTTTTTTATTTTGAATAAAACTTTTCCTTCTTGACTTGTGAATATTTCTTAAAAATACATGTATATAATTATCTTATTTTGTATATGTAAATGCAAATTTTATATAGATATTTCAAATATATACATATATATTCTTATATGTATACAAAAAAGGCATTAACTTGATATATAGATATTTCCTCTCCATTTTCTTGTTGTGCCCTTGTCAACTGTTAAGAGCAAAAATTGATTAATTCTATTTCTAAGATCTAGATAAATATAAAAAACTTCAGGAGGACTTGGATCAATATTAGGGCTTGTTTTTTTGTGTCGCCTCTACGGAGTAGTGGCGACATATAGGGATCACTTCTCCGTCGTCTGTCTGTCCGTCTGTCTGTCTGTCTGTCTGTCCGTCCGTCCGTCCGTCACAAAACTTGTCCGGACTACTCCTCATAAACTACTGGTGCAATTTCATCCAAACTTTACAGGAATGATCAGTACCAAGTCTAGTTGTGCATATTGTCAGGATTTTCCCTTTCAATGATTTTTGTCAGAGTTATGGCCCTTTAATAATTTTTAATTTTAAAGTTTGTCCGGACTACTTCTCTTATACCACTAATGCAATTTCAATGAAACTTTACAGGATTGATCTGTAGCTCAAGTCCTTGCGCATATTGCACGGGTTTTCCCGTTGAATGATTTTTGGCTGAGTTATGGCCCTTTGATAAAAAGGTTTCTTTTTCTGTGTGTTGCCAGATACACAAAAGCTTGTCCGGACTACTCCTCATAAACTACTGGTGCAATTTCATCCAAACTTTACAGGAATGATCAGTACCAAGTCTAGTTGTGCATATTGTCAGCATTTTCCGGTTCAATGATTTTTAGCTCGACTTTTCTATGAAAAGGGGAGCTATCCTACTCGCCCCGGCGTCGGCGTCGGCGTTGGCGTCACACCTTGGTTAAGTTTTTCGTACCACCCCACTTTATTTCAGAAGTATTACAAGTATGGCTTTGAAACTTACCATACTTGTTCACCATCATAACCTCCATCTACAGACAAGAGTACATAACTCTGTCAAGGTTTTTGACAGAATTATGGCCCTTTTTTGACTTAGAAAGTGTATTGAGCTTGGTTAAGTTTTTTGTACCACCTCACTTTATTTCAAAACCATTGGAGGTATTGCTTTGAAACTGACCATACTTGTTTACCATCACGACCTTCATCAACAGACAAGAGGACATAACTCTGTCAAGGTTTTTGACAGAATTATGCCCCTTTTTGACTTAGAAAATACATTGAATATGGGTAAAATCCACTTATTGCCTTAACCCTTTGAGATATTGCTTTGAAAACTTTTAATGCTATTTCACATCATTACCCCCATCTGTACGCAAGAGAAGGTAACTCTGTCAAGGATTTGTTTTAAAAATTAAGGCCTTTTATCGACTTAGAATCTTGGTTAAGTTTTTAGTACCAGTCCACTTTTTGACTGAACTGTTTGAGATATTAATTTGAAAGTTGGAATACTTGTTTACAATCATGATTCCCAAACATGTCCAGGAGAAGGTAATTCTGTCAAAGATTTTATTTGAATTATGGCCCTTAACTGTCAATGTTTTGTATTATAGGCAAGCACTAAAAAACTTTGCTGCAGTGTTCAAGGGTATCACACAATTCAGTAAAATAATTCTTCACTAAATATCTTAATGCTCATGGCCATTGTTCACTTTAAAAATACAGAGATTCTTGTATTGCCTTTTACTGCAAAAACTTTTTTTATTGGCAAGCAATAAAAAAGTCGAGCGCGCTGTCTTACGGACAGCTCTTGTTGTTTGAGTTATGGCCCTTTAATAATTTTTATTTTTAAAGTTTGTCCAGACTACTACTCTTATACCACTTATGCAATTTCAATGAAACTTTACAGGATTGATCTGTAGCTCAAGTCCTTGCGCATATTGCACGGGTTTTCCGGTTGAATGATTTTTGGCCTAGTTATGGCCCTTTGATAAAAAGGTGTTTTTTTCTGTGTGTTGCCAGATACGCAAAAGCTTGTCCGGACTACTCCTCATAAACTACTGGTGCAATTTTATCCAAATTTTACAGGAATGATCAGTACAAAGTGGTTAGTCTAGTTGTGCACTGTCCGTCTGTCACAAAATTTGTCCCAACATGAAATTGGCCATCATGAGGCGACACATGTGATTACTGATCGCTCTTGTATTGTCTAATGCACAAATGTAGGAAATCCAATAATTACTTTATTGTCTAATGCACGAACATAAGGAAATCCAATATTTACATAGGTATATTTACATTTTACAGGTATTGCTTGCCTATTGAACAAGATGAACAGACCAGATGTTGCCGTTGCCGTGGACGGCTCGTTGTATAGATTCCACCCACACTTCCATGATCTGATGATGGAAAAGATTCAACAGCTTGTTCATCCCGGTATAAAGGTATGTACCGGAAAATACTTCACCTGTACCGGAAAATACTTCACTGTAATTACATGTATAATACATGGGCTTTACAAAAAATATGGTTTACTTTAACCTATATATAATTCCACCACACTTATTGTAACCCATTCATTTAGTGTGAATATTTCTGGAAAATGTTAAACCTTCTTAGATCAAAAATTTGCGATCAAAATAAGGAAGTCAATAAAGTCAATGTTAATTAATATAATAAATAAAGTTTCCTAGAGATTGCATGTGGTTGGAATTAAAGAAGAAATTGAAAGGAAGAATAGAAAAAAAAAAGAAAAGAAAACATGTTGATTTTTCTAAAAGTTTTGTCTGATTTGATGAGAATTTGTTTTGGTGATGATCATATTTTGCAGTGTCATGTTTTTTATTGGATAATGTTGAATCAAAACACAACCATCATGGTTGTTAGTTATAATAACATACAAAATTAATAACTAAGCTTCATAATGTAAATTAACTAAGGTTTCATTTAGAAAAGACAATATTTTGAAATAAAACATTTCATTAAGAAGGCAAACAGTTTTATAGTATAGCCTGTTATCATAGATCATATTTGTTGCATTTTCAGTTTCGATTAATGTTGTCTCATGATGGAAGTGGGAAAGGAGCAGCCCTAGTTGCCGCGGTTGCTGACCGAGTTAAAAAACAGAAGGAGCAAAGAGCCCTCGTGAAGAACATGAACGATCTATCTGCTTCTTAAGCTTAGTAAAACAACAAACGGACTGTCTATACATGGAGAAGTGATATAAATAGAACAACCAAGACAATAACCAGCATATATATCACTTGTTTAACTAGCATACACCAGGACTTTTTGCTGTATCCATCATTTGGATTGGGGGCTTCTTTATGTAATATTGATACAAGACATTTTTAACTCGCTATTTATTGAGGGATGAATGTACGAATAGGGGTTGTTTTATTGTTGAAATCCCCTAAGTTTTCTTTTTTTTCTTTTTCGGTGATTGAATCTCACTAGTTGTTAAAATGTGTCAAAAATCATTACTATCATCCTGAAATTTAGTAGTGCATACACTGCCCTGCAAAAATATTGTAACACCAAAAGTAGATCGACTTTAAATTGTACACTATGTGTTGTTGAAAGTAAAAGATTTAATAAATTGTTTAAAAAGTTTACTTACAGTAAGAAGTCCTTAAAAGACTGAAAAATGATTGGTAGACCCAAGTATAGTCTGATAGAAAAGTGAAATGTGGAGAGGCTTATAAGTAAATAGTTGTGAGCAGTATCTGTATTAAGACAAGTGCCAAGAAACTGATTTCATTCCAATTAAAACTGCATTTATGTAAAGGAAGATGAAATAAAAAAAATTCTTTTGCATGTTGGTGCAATAATGTGTGTACTGAATGATTTTTATTGGGTAGATATCTTACATTGTTATTTATGAAGGGCAGTGTATTTTTAGTTGTTTACTAAGGGAGATAAAAATGGTTAAATGTTTAATTTTCGTTACGGCATTTATCTAGTTTTACCTCACTATGTGTAAGAATTACCGGTATATTAGACAATACATCTTTAGATCAGACAGGAGTAGAATAAAAGAGCTTTGATCGTTAAAAACAGTTTTTGTTTTATTTGTTAGATAGATTATCTTTCAACTTTGATTTCTGCATAATAACACTCTGAGCTTTACATATCTTTAAGACTTGAAGAAAACCTGACATGATTTGTTTCTGTTACTACAAGTCTTAATTTTGTTTGTTAGATAATTTCGGGACGTAACTGTACCCGTGTATTTATTGATTGAAATGGTGCTCAGTTTTATGAAAGAGGATCTGAATTGTAGCATTGTTACAGATTGTTACATGTATGTAGTTACAAATGTTTTATTTATAGATGTATGGCGTCTGATGATGAGTGACCTAGAAAAATTTCATAACATTGAAATATCGAAAAGATAATGATAAAACAACGATCTAATATTCTATGCCGAAATCAAGTGATTATATATATATAATATACATTCCTGTTCGATTTTGTTTAATCGGAGATTTTTCATTATATTCCGAAAAAAATAATTAAAGCAGGTATAACGTTGTTAACAACTTTTACAGATTTGTTTCAAGCTACAGCACACAGATTCATCCAGCCTGTTAGATGTCTGCTAAGTGTTAGTTATTTATTGTAGAAATGTTAAATAACGTCTTTCAGTGTCGCTTAATCATGATCATCACTTCTTATATAGATGTCGCCAGTTTTTTTGGTTTATATCAAATCTGGTGTCTTTGAAAACAATTGACACAATAATATGATCTTATTTTTTCTTCTTTTTTTTCCAAGATATAAATTTTTTTTATAAGTCAAGGGAGGTAATTCTAAGACACATATGTTACCTTAAAGTGGAAATAATTTTACAAGATATTATGATTGACTGTTTTAAATTATGTCATCTGGCTGTGAAATATTTCCAAGAAAAAGTTCTTAATTGTCTGGAAAATTGATATTTTATTCAGATTTTTATCATGATGCGATTTCTTAACTTCATGCTTGTTAAAATGATTGCAATATTTGAAATGTTTTTTTTTTCTTTTGTGAAATTATTAATAGACTTATTTGTTTTTAGCCACTGTCTGTACTTATGTGACTAGATTTTTAATAAAATGTTGATTTTTAATCGTTTTTAGATTGTGATTTATTGATGTCTAAATTATGGGTTCTTACTAAAAAAATCTTCCATTTTTGTCAATAGGAAAGTTAAAAGTTGATATATATGATTATAAAATGGTTTTATATGTTGATTATATAATTCTTAATTGGCCTTTCCCCTATTATGTATAGATATACCCATTCACTGTTTATATGGAATATTGGATATATGGGAAATATAAAACAATTGAAATATATAATCACTAAACTGGCCTATAAAAGATCTTCAAAAGTTTCCAAGTTTTTTTTTCTCTGATACTCAAGTTCACTCTTATTTTAATAATAGAATTATTACCTTTAAAGTTTGGTCATACATTTTATCAATATAACATGTCTCATGTTATAGGTTATATAACCTGGCATTTATTAGGGAGGATATATGGTATGTGAGTGTGTTTTTAAAGGGTATAAAGCTATACTAGTCTTTATGTAATCTGTTGATACCAAAGTACCTAAACTGAAAAGAAAATACTTGTATTAAATACGCAGTAGGTGTTTAATAAAAACAACAACATAGGCTTACTATTATGAAGGTCTTGATATCCCACCTAAATTGATAATTGACAGTCTAGAAACTGAAGCTGGACAAGTCTACATTGTATTTAAGAAATTCAGCAAGTAGAGGGTTACAGTATAGCTTTACACCATTTAATGTTGACTGCATATAGTTATAACAAGTCTAGGCAGCTCATCATATATTTTTAAAATAACCGGCAGATACCTGTATCAGTTTAACTTTTACTCACCCTTTTAATTTATATCAACAGATATGATAAAATTAGTGTTTCAGTCAGTAAATGAAAACAGTTCTGAAATTATTAAAAAATTAATATTAATTATCCAAAAAAAAAAAAAAAAATACATTACTTAAAATGATCTAAAAATACTTCTGTGACAGACAGGAAAAGAAATGTTAGATGTTGCAAAATGTAATACCCAAAAATACTTTATACATAATGTATATCGCCTCCTTGGCCAAGTGGTTAAAGTTCCTGACTTGGAGTCACTTGCCCTCTCACTGTTGTGGCTTCAAATCCTGACACTAGACAGAGACTTAGCTTTTTTTTCATTTGAAGAGATTATGAGAGCTTTGAAGAACCCCCCCAAGAAAAAAAAAATAAATGAATACCTAAATGAAATAGATGACGAACATTTATAATGTAAAGTAGATTTAAGAAGAGTTTCTCCTAAAATAGCTTTTTTCATGAGTAAGTTGATACTGATACAGTGTCCAGTGGTAGTAACTAGTATTGTTATCATCATGTATGATAAATTGTTGTTGGTTAAACAACAAACCTTACAGTAAAACAGTGTAATGTTATCTGATACCAGTTTAGGTGTCCATCATAATACGTGTGGATTTAACAGCAGAGCATTTAAAAAAAAGTTGTATTTTTTTGTTAAATTGATGGATGCCAAGTTTTTTCCCTATTTGGAATAGTTACATTGTTGGTATCCTCATGTATACTTAAATGCTACCTAATAATTTGTGGCTTTAAAAAATATATGCATTTTTCAATTTAAGTATAATAAATAAAAATCTAATAAAATATCTCCTTGTTTATACAATATACTAAGTTTTTAATGCTTCAGGCTACAATGCTTGTGTCCAGCAATTTAAAGAGCAGCTTTTGTGTATAAAAGACAAGCAAGTGTGTGTAGATAGCGGACAGACAAAATAAAATGTTACAGTCAAATACCATCACTTGGCTTATACCATCTTATAAAAAAAGAATAATCACCTAATCATATGTTAAGATTTGAAATATAATCGGAAATGTGAAATATTGTTTCCCAATGGTTTTAGACATGCTATCAAATTGATAAAGACATGGTCTGACTTTTGTTGAGATTTTTTTTCTTCAGTTTTGCCTATTGGAATTCTGTCATTTTTACACTAACACATTCAGTGTTGTTGTGACCTGACCTACACACCTTTGCTTGTGTTTTAAGAATGCCATGCTGATGATGTTAACGACAAGTCTTTCAGAAAACTGTTGTAGCTGTTGACACTTCTCAAGGTTTTGTTGTTAGGACATAATTTATGTTGATAGATTTTTTTGACTGTCTCTGTTTATCACCTGAAGACTTCATGCGATTTTCTTTACCTGAATTGTAATTGCCAGTAATGTTTTAAAGTACCAGGAGAATAAAGATATAAAAAAAAAATGTATTTGGCAAAAAATGTGTATTTACAGAAACTTACACTTCACAACACTGAACATATTTTAAAATAACAATGGAATTTCAAAAATGTCAGTTTAATTTGGTGTTATAACTGCAGCTATATTTTCATGTTTAAAAAAGGAGCACTTTTCAAAAATGGTACAATTTTATAATTCATAGAAATAAACAAAAACAATGAAAATAGACAAAAATATAAATAAAAAATTTGCACTTTAAATACTTTGGCTGCTTTTCCTGACATTTCACAAATTTTACTTCCCCTTGAATAGTTTTAGTTCTGTTATGAAGTCATAATCTGTTTTATTTACCTGATAATGTAGTCTATGGTGTTAAATGGAGATAGTCATGTTGTTTTTGTTGATGATGTATCATTAGTTGGAAACGTTTACAAACGCATCATGTATTATCTATTTAAGTAGTTATTTTTTTTCTTTTCGTAAAATGCACTGTGCTACTTCAATAAATGTTTGAAAATATAAAAAAAATTGTTCTGTATCAGTACGAGTGTCAGTGGCCGAAAGGTTAAGGATGCTTATTATACCCCCGAAACAAAGTTTGGGGGGGGGGGGGGGGTTATATAGGAGTCACCCGTTGGTTGGTTGGTCGTTCCATCGGTCTGTTGCATTTTCTTTATCCAGAGCATAACTTGAAGACTATTGGTTGGAATTCAATACAACTTCACAAAATGGTCAAGCACATTGAGAGAGAGTGCAGTGCACAAGAACCATAACTCCATCTTAGCTCATTACAGAGTTATTGCCCTATGTTACTATTCCTTGTCCGGAGCATAACTTAAAAGCTACTGGTTGGAATTCAAAACAACTTCATACAATGGTCAAGCACAATAAGGGAAAGTGCAGTGCACAAGAAACATAACTCTATCTTAATTTATTACAGAGTCATTGCCCTTTGTTACTTTTCCATTGCTTTTTTTTGTCTGGAGCATAACTTGAAGACTAATGGTTGGAAAACAAAACAACTTCATACAATCATCAAGCACATTGAGAGGAAGTGCAGTGTACAAGAACCATAACTCCATCTTAACTAATTACAGAGTTATTGCCCTTTGTTACTTTTCCTTGTCTGGAGCATAACTTGAAATTACTAGTTGGAATTCAATACAACTTCATGCAATGGTCAAGCACGATAAGAGGAAGTGCAGTGCACAAGAACGATAACTGCATTTTGACAAATTACAGAGTTATTGCACTTTGATACTTTTCCTTGTCTGGAGCATAACTTGAAAAGTACTGGTTGGAATTCAAAACAACTTCATACAATTGTCAAGCACGATAAGAGGAAGTGCAGTGCACAATAACCATAACTCTTTCTAAAGTAATTACAGAGTAATTGCCCTTTGTTACTTTTCCATTGCTTTTTTTCTTGTCCAGAGCATAACTTCAAAACTACTGGTTGGAATTCAATACAATTTAATTCAACGGTCATGCACATTGAGAGAAAGCTCAGTGCACAAGGACCATAACTCCATCTTGACTAATTACATAGTGCCCTTTGATACTTTTCCTTGTCCCGAGCATAACTTTAGTTGTACTGGATGGAATTCAAAACAACTTCATACAATGGTCAAGCACAATCAGAGGAAGTGCAGTGCACAAGAACCATAACTCTATCCAGAGTAATTATAGAGTGATTGCCCTTTGTTTCTTTTCCTTGTTGCAGAGCATAACATGAAATCTAGTGGTTGGAATTCAATACAATTTTATACAATGGTCAAGTGTATTTAGAAGAAGCGCAGTGCACATAAACCATAATTCTTACTTGCCTCATTTAAGAGTTTTTGCCCTTTGTTACTTTTTATTGTCCAGTGCATAATATGGAAACTAGTCGTAGGAATTCAATACAACTTCATACAATGGACAAGCGCAATGAGAGGAAGTGCAGTGTACAATAACCATAACTCCATCTTCAGTATTCGTAGAGTTATTGCCCTTTGTTCCTTTCCCTTGTCCGATGCATAACTTAAAAACTAATGTTTAGAATTCAATGCAACTTCATACAATGGTCAAGCGTAATGAGAGGAAGTACAGTTCTTAAGAAACGAAACTCTTTTTGGACTTATTACAGAGTAGTTCAATAAAACTTCATCAATGGTCAACCACAGTGAAAGGAAATGCAACATACAAGAACCACAACTATCTTTAATTGCCCACAACCATAACTCTATTTAATTCTTTTACAAGGTATTCTGTTACTAGTAACTTCCTCATTTCCGAAGAAGTCTTGCGGGGGTATTAATCACATTTAGTGATAGTTCTAGTTCCAAATATCTTGCCCCTTACCTCTGAAAATTTAAATCCTGCTAGCTTTAGAAAAGTTAGTGGTTCTACTCTGGTGTAAACTAATATATCTGTAATGAACGAAGGGCACCTTAACTTCGTTCTATAACTGTGACAATGTGTGTGTGACTGAAAGGGGCGATCTCTGTCCTTGAAATCTGTAGGCTCTTGAAGTTTTTCTTATTGAGTACCTGTTTAAGTTTGTTCCGAGTCTAGATTCCTTACTTATCTTAGAATACTTCTTTTTGTTCAATATTGATAAAAAAATGCATGTTGTTGATTAAGTTTGAGCGTTGCCTACATTCATAGTAAGGAATAATATGATAATATATAATAATATAGTTTGCCCTAAGCCTACATAAGAAAAGTTTGTTAAAACATTAAAAAAAACATTTGAAGGCTTTTAACCCAGACCGGTCATTGAATCGGCCAATAAGAAGAAGAATAGTTGATAGTTTATCTTTAGAAGGTCTTTATACATTATACATTTGTTTCGGCCTACATCCTTAGTAAGATTACTTGTTTTCAATTCGGCCCAGGGCTTCATGAACCAATTTTAAAAATTTCAAGTTTATTTTAATGCTAAAAAATAATACAAACAGCGAAATATTAGATGCGCTTTTGATTCACTAAAAAGACAAGTAATATTTAAAGAGTGGTAATTTGAGGAGGAGTTCTTGATTTAAAGTTTATTTCTACAAACTTTTTAAAGAATAAACTTTAATATTACTTGTGTCGGTGGATCATTGATAAACGATACTGTACGGGTTTTGTATATCCTAGTAAGTAGGAAGTTTCCGAAAAAAGTAATAATAACTATAATTTACAGACGATTTTGGGACATTTTATTACAGAAAATGTTTTAATAAAAGCCGCAAAGATCCGGCTTATCATGTTTTAAATATTTTTAATTATTGTGACATCTACTCTAAACGATGTTTAAAATGTATGCTCAACTAAATAAATATAAAACAACATTGTTAGGCCCACCACAAACAAGTACATTATTGTTGCAGCTTTTATGTTTGACGAAACGGACATTTATCTCAGTGTTGTAATCTTTTTTTCTGGTCCTTCTGGATCATCAATTGTTAAGTTTTGTCGTGTTTAATGTAAACGTATGTCAGGATGGGGAAAATAAATACAATTCTTATACAGTTTTCTAAGTTTATAACAAGTATTTCGGCAACAACAGTGTCTAGTGAGTTACTAATATTGGATTTAAATACATACAAACTTACAAGTTTGGATAACAATGTCGTTTGTAAGATGTTTACTGAATTTGAACTTTGGCGGTTTTACAACTTATTTACATTACTTGGAGGTCAAGACCGAAGTGACAACATTGGTTGGATTCCGACTTTTATAAGGTTCGATGTTTGAAATCCACCAATGAAACAACAGAAATCCGGAAATCCTCCAATGGACAGACGGCCGGATTTCTGAATCTGAAATCTTGGATTTCAATGGCGGCCATATTGAAATCTCATATAAAATCTACATACGAAAATCATTAATATACAGAAACATGTAGTGAATACTTAAGGATTTCTGACCTTAATCAATCATAAACTTTACATAAATTAGGTTCTTGAATTGAATTTGACTGAAATTGACATTAACAATAAGAAATCTTCAATATAAAATATGAAGTGACAGATTTCAAAGATGTCTGTCATTGGACGTCTGCTACACAGAAAATGTAAAGAGAAAATCAGTTTTCTGCTATACAATAAGGTAAGTTTAACATTTCTATCAGCTTAAATTGCAAAGTCAATAAGTGTTAATACAGGGTTCCTTCAGATCAATCAGGTAAGTGAATCTTTATCTTGTAGAAGTCAACAATATATGACTAAGCTATAGGATTTCACAATGTCACTTGGATTTCATTATAAGTTCTGTTGTAAGTACATTTCAGAATTATGCTAGAATGTCAGATCCTTACACACCCCCTCCCTAAGTCTTTAAGACTGATATTCCCTGAACTTTTTATACTGTCCGAAATAGGTACTAGACCACAAAATATTTATGATTTATTTCACAGTTAGTTAAAAGTTCTGCTGTTCTGTAATTATTATTACTTTATGTATATATATTATATGAAAAGTTTATTTAATCAGATAATGTAAATGTCCTCAGTCTTATTGTAGTTTTTATGTCATGCTTAATTATTTTATTCAATTCCTAGGTGTTGATTCTTCAGATGCGGAAATGTCAAGATTTTATTCAGATGCGAATTTTAACACCAGCAATTTGTTTCAATACATCTTCCAATTCTTTAGAGTGTGATGCTGCATGTATGTATGTGTCTTTCCAAGTTTTGACTATTTCTTTAAGCTTCAAAGATGTTTCCAATAGTAACCTAGATGGATGATACTCACGTGGTAGTGGTTTGTTTGGAAGCATTAAATATGTATACTTGTAACATACAGCATAGTTACATTCATACATAATTGCTTTAGATTGAATACTTTATATCTCCTAGTCCATTTTAAAGCATTGGACAAATTTCTGATAATCTCCTTATTCTGGATACTGTTTTTCTAACCCAATGTCTACCAGTCATTAAGTTTCCCATAGAATACAGCAGCTTCACATTATAGAATCACACACGTTAAGACCAGACTCTCATGGCCATTAACACACGTGACATCATCCTAATGAAGTCACAAAGGTCATCTTATCGTAATCCCTGGGTGATCAGGCCAGTATTACCGTGTCCCGCTTTCCATTCCTCCAAAATTAATTTTATCATCCGTGAAAGGTGTTGTTATCTATGGTCATTCTTAATACACTTTTAGCATAGTAGGTATTCTTTCTTTTGTTCTGCCCATCTGAGATATGCATGTATTAGGTTCACTGGCTACCATGCTTACTTTTCCAATTCTAGAAATATATATAGGTCACCTATTGAAGTGCAAGTTCCAACGTCACTTTTTTTTGTTTGATTACTGTAGTTTGTTCCATTCACTTGAGTGCATGACGAGTCATTTAAAGCAACACCAATTACTATTTGAAGAGAATTGTCTTTGTAATTAGATTAAAAATAATAAAACTGGCAACATAAAGTCTTTGTTTGGTACCTCTAAAATAACCCGAATTGATGTTTGTACTTTTTCGGATACAATAACTTAAAAAGCAGAACAATTATCTGAATGTGTACCTGTCCATTGTTGGATATTACCATCTAAAATATTAAGTCTCTGATTTTCTATATCAGTTGTTTTCACATTTTTTCATTAAAAGTCTTGGTCAATGATGCCTTGGGAATGTGAGTTTTGCTACTTGTAACCCAAAACACTTTCATATGTTTGTATAATGCTGACAGCATGATCTATAGTACTACAGTTTTTTTCGATGCACTTATACTGAAGCTCAGGACACAGGTTATTGTACAATTGATCTAAAGCCATTCGCTCCTGTGCATTGTAACTCAGATCAGAATATGCTTTGCGTGCAAGTTCGGAGAGAGCATCTGCAAAAGACGCAATAGATTCTGTTGAACCTCGTTTTCTTGCTTTCAGAGAAGATACCCACACTGGTTGATCATACTTGTTAGTAAATCTATTTCGCAAGGCCTCAACCAGGCTGCGATAGCTTGATTTAATGTCAGTAGGAAGTCTTGAAATAAAAACTTGGGCTCTTCCCGTCAGACAGGACCTTAAGGCTAAATTCATGCTATGTAAGTCCCAGCATCCTAATTCAGCATTTATTTCAAAATGATCTATGAATTCTTCAAAATTTTCATCTCCACTAAATAATTTAAGTTTAATGTTTGGCTCTCTTGGCAACATTTTCCTGGAAAGTCCATTACGCGTGTCATGGTGTTTCGTCCACCTTGATGGTCTACCCCTTGGAGGGGGACTTCGGTCCTGACCTGCAAGCGGCTCCTCATCATTTGTGTCATACTCATCCAATGGAGAATCAGCTCTTTCAGTTTTAATATGAAGATGTGGAGCTTCATCACTTTGCCTTTCATCATTCAAAGCTCTGTTGTTATTATTATGACAAAATTCTATTTCAGAATCTGAAGAGTCTGCCATAATGTGTGTTAATCCAAAGTAAATACTGTTTAAATCTCTATTTGCTGTTAGTAATAGATATAAGAGTACAGTTTATTCAAGGAATATAATAATGTTGCTGTCAGTTCATTTGTATGTTTCTCAGTAAAAAAATTTTCTTCACAAGTTGAAATGTTTTTTTTTCTTATGGATGGATGGATGAGATGCACTTGTCTGGTCCGTTTTATAGGATGGTAAATAATTTAGACCATCCCATTACTTCTGACACCATTGTAAACGTATGTCAGGATGGGGAAAATAAATACAATTCTTATACAGTTTTCTAAGTTTATAACAAGTATTTCGGCAACAACAGTGTCTAGTGAGTTACTAATATTGGATTTAAATACATACAAACTTACAAGTTTGGATAACAATGTCGTTTGTAAGATGTTTACTGAATTTGAACTTTGGCGGTTTTACAACTTATTTACATTACTTGGAGGTCAAGACCGAAGTGACAACATTGGTTGGATTCCGACTTTTATAAGGTTCGATGTTTGAAATCCACCAATGAAACAACAGAAATCCGGAAATCCTCCAATGGACAGACGGCCGGATTTCTGAATCTGAAATCTTGGATTTCAATGGCGGCCATATTGAAATCTCATATAAAATCTACATACGAAAATCATTAATATACAGAAACATGTAGTGAATACTTAAGGATTTCTGACCTTAATCAAACATAAACTTTACATAATTTAGGTTCTTGAATTGAATTTGACTGAAATTGACATTAACAATAAGAAATCTTCAATATAAAATATGAAGTGACAGATTTCAAAGATGTCTGTCATTGGACGTCTGCTACACAGAAAATGTAAAGAGAAAATCAGTTTTCTGCTATACAATAAGGTAAGTTTAACATTTCTATCAGCTTAAATTGCAAAGTCAATAAGTGTTAATACAGGGTTCCTTCAGATCAATCAGGTAAGTGAATCTTTAACTTGTAGAAGTCAACAATATATGACTAAGCTATAGGATTTCACAATGTCACTTGGATTTCATTATAAGTTCTGTTGTAAGTACATTTCAGAATTATGCTAGAATGTCAGATCCTTACATTAAGATGGATTCCTGCTTAGGTCGGTGCTAGGGAGTATCTGGGACTACGTCTTGCGTGTTCACAGAGAGCATAAAAGACGTTGCACATTCCTGTAACCCTCGTGAATAAACTCGATTAAAAGAAGTCTGCAGTTTTTCTTAACATTGCTCTTGCATTATCTTTCCCTTTTTAGTTTTTCCTGTTTCCGAATTTCCATTGTCAGAAGTATTAACAAAAATGTTAGTAGTTATGCAGATTTAAGACTAATCTTAAAAGAAAGTCTTAATGACAGACATGACTCTTAATAAAATAAACAAAACAAAATAACATTAAGTGTATATTTAGAGATTCCATCTGCGTTGATGTTGTTCATTGATATGAAAACAGTCGTTATAATCAGAAAAATCTAAGGTATATTGTAGAATAATACCTCCATAATCCAAACTGATTAAACAACTTAACAGTATTTTTATTGTAAAAAGATTTTAAAAAATATGTTAAATACTTATATAGAGTAAATCACAATCTTTCTTTTGATGTAATCAATACATTAAAATATTTTTATCATCGGATGCTATATTGCCTGCCCAGTAGAGGATTTGAAACTAAATATTGTAAATTCAAGTTTTCATACTTTTTTTTAACATAGTTTATTTAGAAAACGAGTCATCCAAAATCGGTTATGTACATTTTTAAATAATTACCGGTAACAACAATACTTAATTCTTGCATAAATTACTTGTTCAGACAATTATTTTCAGTTTCTATGGTAACGAGATCTGCACGAAATAGATTGTTCTGCCGTAAAATTCGCTTATTATTGGTGTATTCCAGTTGTTATATGACTTACTGCACAACACTATGTAAACATTTAAATCAACAGGATGGCGTCTGCTGCGAAAATTTAAAATATAAAGTCTTGCTTTGCCGTTACAAAACCGTATGCATTGTAGTCTTTGCTTAATGGGGGTCCATCCGCTCTTCCAGGCACTGAGTGTACGGTCCCCGACATCATCCGCTCTTCTAGGCACTAAGTGTACGGTCCCCGACATCATCCGCTCTTCCAGGCACTGAGTGTACGGTCCCCGACATCATCCGCTCTTCCAGGAACTGAGTGTACGGTCCCCGACATCATCCGCTCTTCCAGGCACTGAGTGTACGGTACCCGACATCATGGCACTGAGTGTACGGTACCCGACATCATCCGCTCTTCCAGGCACTGAGTGTACGCTCCCTGACATGTAACCATGCAGCAGTCATGTTCTTAGAAATATTAAATTAGCTCAAACGTACTATATCTTATATATGAAAAAGAGATAATAACTCTTACCAGTAATCAGAAAAACTAACTGGACCAACTGTTTAAACAATATACTGATATATGAAATACATACAAATGCACAAGCTCAAAGAAGGCCTATATATATACCAATTTGTATGTGGTCCCTGTAGTTAGATCATTATTGGCTACAAGAAACGTATCAAGATAACAATCCCTGAAGCCTCTATTAGCAAAATGATAAAATCATTTTAAAGTTGTTTCCATAAACTTATTATTAATTCTGTAAAGAGATCTCTATTATCTAACACAAGTACATATTGAAAGGATATAGACTAAAACATCCTGTTATATATGATTGGTGTTTATTCACTTTGCAGTGATTTCATGCATGCATTCAAACAATAATTTTGTAAACTTCAAGTATGCATTCGAACAACATAAACCACAGACAGCAGATATAACTTTCATACACTTTTAACAGCATAGTGAAATTTACCAACTTGGCTTTGGGTTTTAATAAAGCAACTTTCCATCTTAGCCATATGAAGAAACATTTTCAATAGATGTTTTGCATGTGCACCCTTTTGGCATAAAGCTAAAGAAAAGGAATATTAGATAATAACCAATAAAGCAATATTGTAGTATTCTAAAACATCTCTATAAAAGCCTTTGTTTGGATTGGATTTCTGTGTTGGAAGTGGATAGATTGATTGATATTAAGAAACGAAACATGTATCCGCCATGAAAACGACCTCTCCAAACATCTTGTCGTGCTTGCGTTACAGAGATGATTCATTTCATATTGAAATACAATGTCTTAAAATGTTTTAGTCATGTGTGCCAATTACATTTGATAAAAACAACCTTCTTAGATCATTTCAACTTTTACCATCCTTAATTGATAGAGCCAATGCAAGTACTTGAAATAAATATAAGTTCTTTTAATGTTATTATACTAACAAAATAGCGTCTTAAACACCATGTTTTAATACATAATTGCTTGATGGATAATATTGGATTGTTCATTGCTTTACAGGATCATTGTTTACTGAAATGAAAGAAAAATAAATCTTGAAACAAGGATAGCTTTTAAAGAGAGGTAATAGCATTATAGCAAATAATGGATGAATTAGGACACAATTATATGCAATGGAGACGATCAGAGCATGATTTCGTCTGCAACAATCTGTAATTGGCATTATTCATTATCTAAGATTTAAAAAGAAGTATCTAACAGCTGAGTTAAAATCTGAAATGATAAAACAATATTGTGATATTGTTTCACTCATGATTCATGCTATGATGTATGAATCATGAGCATACATAAAAGAGAAAACTGTAATTCTTGAGAAATTGATACATTTTACTATACATTTCTGCCTTGTGAAAAGAACTATGTATGAAAAATATCTACTTTATCAGAACATTTTGATATAATTAACTTTCATGTTTTAGCTTGTGGAGAATACATGGACTATATTTAGTATATTGCCTATTAAATAATACAATCTTCTATACTTGCATAAGCATTCAAAGTCACTTTTATGATGTATATGATGCATTTTAATGCAGAGTTAAACATAATTCAAAAAGTATGTTTGTGTTAATGCATACAAGTTTTCTTAATGATATGCAAATGTTTTATTTTTATCTAAAATAAACCGCAGTTTAATCTAGATTATCAGATATCACAAAATATATTTAATACATAGAGAAGAAGTAGTGTTATGATAAAATAAAATGATGTTCATTTAGCCGTAATCAAATATCTCATAGTCACATTATGTCACAGAAATAATTTTCATTCTTTAGAAAGGGCAATGGGGTTTAAAAAACGTTTAAAAATACATGTAGTTTTAGAGCAATTTAGACGCTTATCACACGAAGAAAGAAGCTATGAATGTGAAATTATTTGTCATTAAAAAGTAGTATAATGTATACAAAGAAGTACTTTGACTTCCATACAAAATCTCTATATTAAAAACAAAAGAAGCAAAAGATTGTGTAGATAGTTGGCCAAATAGTAAATTTTTGGGAAACCTAACTGCACAACAAAATTTTTTGAAGAAAAAGAAAATAAAAGCATTTCAGGGGCTGTCCTTTTAATTATAAGACAGGAAACGTTCAAAACATTGAAAATATACTGTCCTTAAGTATACAAATAACGTTTTAATCTATTTTAATGTTTATGAAAGTGATATTAATCTATCAAACATCATTATATAAAACAATAAATATGTTTAATTACTCGGGTACTTCTGCCTTTAACATGACAAAACACATCAAAGCCTTACACAATATAATTTCACGTCTTCCAACAAAGAATCACCGATCGATGCTTCAATAATTTAGATTGTTCGACATACTTCTCTTAGTATAATTCATAGTAAACAGCACAGAAGCTTTGGTTCTAATTAACAAACATTAGTTTTTATTCTGTAATAAAACTGACTAGCGAATTCTTATTTGATTAAAGGCACAGATATAACAATGAGCTCCCCAAATAATGTCGTTTAAATATTCCTATAGATCTACTGATATCGACGGCAATATATCTTTTTTTCACTCTTGGCTGAGATAAGGTTTTACGCTCGCCGCAAATACTAGCTTTAAAGCTATATTCAATAGTGTGTGTAAAGCCATACTGCGCGTGTGTTATATAGGAAGGATATTTATTTTCCTTGTGTATCATAAAAATAAATCGTGTACACATGTGATATTTGAAAATGTCGTCTTCGGAAACAGATTTAGCAGCGATGCTAAAATCCACCCCTAGGGGATCTATGTCCCGGGGGTCGATGATGAATAAACAAATCAAAGGTCTTACTATTGACGAGGTTAAGGAATCACTTTTTGGACTTTTACCAGATTATACAGATTTTGTGGTAGGTGACCTTTAAACTTTTTAATAGTTTGGATTATTCGACATTAAAAGTATTGTCTAAGTTTGATACTGTTATAATTTTGAACACATGTTATATGTTTACAAATTAACGTATGCAATTGACCTTGTCACACAATGTAAACAATGTTGTATCGGTCGAACGAGTACATACATGTACATTGTTTAATTGTATATACAATATAGTATTTAACTTGTTGCTGTTTAACATCTTATTCAATATATAGTTTAAAGACCAATGTATATTTTTCTAAAACGAATGGAATGTTTCAGTAAAAAGCATTAAAGAAAATTAGGTTTAAGACGACATTAAGTGTGTTACTCAACATTATTTAGTCCAACTGTACCCAATCCTACTGATAAAATGTTACATTCAGCTATTTTATGTATTATAGCGTAAAATACCATAGGCTGCTGTATTGCGATGCAATGCTTTTATGAAACAAGACAGTGTAGATCAAAATGTATCTCTTAATAAATTAATTACAATGTTAGTGAGTGCTGACTATTTCAATCGATATTAATTTGTTTAACCAGTCATGAATTGATCTGATAATACAAGATTCTCCGTGTAAAATTGTTTCTGAAAAAGAAATCATACAGTCATTTTCTTTAATGCTTACTTGTCTTTAATTATTATGAAAAGAACACAAATTAAGCTTTGATGAGGAAGTACTTAATAGAGTTTTGTAAATTATATAAATGATTTGAGTTTCATATGGTATGGTAAATAAAATGTAGTAAATCATTACGTTAATGTGTTTTAAATGAGTGTCGGGCAGAAATATGATAACAGACTGTCAAATTTGCATATTAGTTTCACTACATCGCTCTCTATTCTCAAATTATGGCTCTTTACAAGACCAAAATATATATCCCAAAAGTGGGTCAATGATACGTATTGCTTAAATACAGATGTGTTTTTTTATGTAGTAAATATATTACAATGTATTCGCTAGGTATTTCTACATTCATGTCAGTTCATTTATCACATTACCTATGTGCACGTTTTTCTTTCAGAATGATAACATCATTAAGCCGTTTTGCCTGTCAGACGAAACTTATAATAAAGTACAAAAGTTATTAAACGAGAACCTTGACCTTGGATTAGATAAGGCCACCCATGACCAATCCAACGTCAAAATGTGGCCATGCTTCGTCCGGGATGTCCCCAATGGCACGGGTTAGTTGAATGTAAAAATGCATTTTAAATGTTTGAATATTTGTTAGTTTATTGTCTGATAACTCCAGTACGGTGGAGTAACCAGTTCCGGAACAGGACCAATTCCCGTTTCATCAATGCGGTTTTGATTGAAATGTTTCTGACCTTTGAATTTTTTGTTGATAATATAATGCAAAATTTGTCTAAGCATCTGTTGGCAGCTCATTTTCTTATGAATTGCCGTTTTTCTAGAAAAACGACCTTGAATGAGTCGAAACAGGTCCTGTGCCGAAACTTGACTACTGATAGCAGCAGACGAATCATCGTGAAAAATAACCGGGCCACGCTATCAGAAAGGTACGTACAGAGTTACGATTTTTTAAGTCATTACCGGTAATAGGAAATCCCTACTAATTATTTGTGCTCTGTCATATGAAAAAAATGTAGAAAACTTTATTAAAATCGATTGCTTGACACAAGATCTGCTACTGTGTTAGGTATTGCATATGAGAACATTATATTATGTTCATATGAGAACACTATATTATGTGCCTCCATCAGTAAAATGGAAAGTTGCCACATGACCTTCACAAAAACAAAAGGGAATAATGTTCAACACCTGTGCATTAGCTTATACATATCTGACACAGTGTTAAATGTCAATAAGTATACATGTGCCTTCATTGTATGATTATCAAGAAAACTGAAAACATAACAACAACGCCAACACATTAGAGTCTCCAAACCTAATGTGACAGTTTTGAAAATGTGTTCATCCCTCGGTTTTCGCATAAATCGAAGAACCGATGCTAAACAAAGGAGTTTTCGAGTTCGTTAAATGAATTTAATTCAGGTTTAAAAAAATGTGAAATTTGTTAATATTATGTCACAAAGACCTAGAAGAGTTTGTTTGAGTAAATCAAGTTTTTACCAAAACTTAAAAGTGATCACATTTTCCGTGATTTCGAGTCGAAATATATGTATTTCTATTTTTGCAAATTAAACCTTGGTATTATGGGCAATCATATATTAATTGTATCAAATCGGATGGGAAATCCTTGCCAAATGCTAAGAAGAAGAGTTCGTATTTTTTTTTATCTTGCTTAGATATATAACCTACCGTATACATAGAACATGTTGTAGTGAGGTTCATTTATGATATAATACTGGCTATATTTCCACAGAGTATCGTGCATTTTTATGGCCATCAGTTAAATCGTTTATTGCGATCTGAGATCAAATTTTCAGTAATAAGTTGCATTGTGTTCTATTGGCACATAAAGTAATTTCGTTAACGAAATTAAGTGCAATACAAAGAAGCCATGTTTTAATTAATTTGGGTACAGACGACTAAAGGCAAACGGACTTAACATTAACTTCACTGAGAAACAATCATGAAGTCTGTCGTTGAAGACTTTTCATATTGACCACTTCATTTCCAAGACTAATTAACAATTGACTGACGTGACATTCCCGCATATTTGTTCTGTAATTTCTTGAAAATTGACTTGGTTAACTGAAACATACTCTACAAGTCGTGACAGTTTTACAGACAGTCTTGCTGGGTCGCTATAGAGCTCTATGTATTACGTATAAATAAGGAACGACATTTTCTGTCATGTAAATTGGCAAAATTTACCTCAATTCTTATCACTTTGCTTATAGAAAAAAGATTTTTAATAAGTAATCATATAGGAGGTAGACTATAAAGTACATTTTCCTTTTTGAAATGAGCCACTGAACGTACTTTATAGTACTTTGCTTAATTGTTTAAGGTATGGCTTCTTTTCTAAAACGATAAAACACTAATTATATTTCAAGTCAATTGCGATAATATTTTACATTGATTGCTAGCATCGGAAACGTTTTCGACAAAGGGCCTGCAAAGAAGTCGCGAAAGTGACATTTTATTAAATATTTTGTCTGTAAAATATATCTTTGACACTCCCGTGGATCAAACACGGATATGTTTATGAGGATGGTGTTGACAATTGTACGATAGAAAGACATTGTCGCGTACAGTCGTGTATGAATGGTATAAAAGATTCACGTGTTCAAAGAGGGTCACACGTCTACTGCAGATAATCAGTAGTCTGAAAGACCGAGCGTCTCTTGTGACGAGATTAAGGAAATACTTGATGGCGACCGTCGTTTGTCTGTGCGAGAAATAGCGGAAAAGTGTGATATCAGTAAAACAACAATTCACATAATAATAACAGAAACTATTTCAATGACCAAAGTTTGCACTAGATGCGTACCGAAACTGTTAACGGATGTGCAGATGAACACTAGTATTGCAGCAGATAGACGAAACTTTCAGAAGGAGTGAACGTCAACGTCGTTATCTTCAAATGCGTTGTCATGCGGGTCGATGATGAATATTTATATTGTTTTGTAATTTTGTACATAATGCATAGAATTGGATAAACTTGCACATGATAGTAGAAATATGGAAGGAACTTGAGCGGCTTCTTTTCTTCTTGAAATCTATCAACATTTTTTTTTTCAAATTAACAATCGTCTGGGAACTGCACGGGCACACTTCGTATAGTATAGATCTACATTTCCAGTTTTTTTATTTTGAAAATTTCAGAAGTAGGAAAATTCCTAGCACTAGATTTTGGAAGTCATCACCTGAAAATTGAAGTCGTCGAATTCGACAATGGGAAATGTGACGTAGATAAACAGAACGGGTTTGTCCCAGACAAAATCATGAAGCATGGCAATGCAGAATCGGTAATATTTCAAACCTTTTTCTTAATTTTTTTCCGAGTTCTTATTTTTTTTACTTCTATATGTTTACATTTGCCATAACGTACATAAAACATTAAAACAAACAACATTGAGATTTCATACAATACTAGTTTGAATTAGAAAAACAAGGTTTTATTTTTCAAAGAATTCAAACAAAAACTACTACAAGACATTTGTTCTGTATTGCAATTCATTACTTTTATTTATAATGTTATTTATTTAAGATTTAGTTATGTTAACTTGATGAAATAAGTTTATTTCACATAATTCTTTAACAATAAAACTTGCAATGCCATTACTGTCAAAACCCTATTACAATAATTATACTGATATCTTGTTGAAATAGAATTTAGTTTTACACTAATATAAGGAAATTTATGTTTAAATACATTTATAAAGTTGAGTTGTCCTAATCAAGACCAGGTGCTCTATACTTTTATATCATTTGTAAAATGAAATTTGACCTTACTCAAAATCGACGAAACAACATTTATTTTTTAAATGTAGTGTTTTTGGTTGTATTTCATCAAGACGAACCTCGTTATTTAATAATCTTTTGACGTTGATGAAATAAAATTTGGACTAAAACATATCCAAGTTATCAATCTGTTAAAATTACGGTATGTTACAGTTGTTTGATTATCTGGCTACGTTCATGCATCGATTCATGAAGAAAAGGGACCTCCTCAACAGCCCAGAACCTATTCCGATGGGGTTTACATTTGCGTTTCCATGTCAGCGGTTGTCATTGACAAAAGCTGTGTTGTTGAGATGGACAAAGAACATGCACTGTGACGGTGTCGTCGGCGAAGAAGTTGTAGGCCTGTTGGAAGCTGCAATTAAAAGGAAAGGGGTAATTCGAATTTTGTATTCTTACTATGATCTAAGTAATATTTGAACATTTAGATCATTGCTTAAAATATAGATATTTTTTATACAACTATAACAAGTCAAATATTTGTGCAACGCAACGCTGATATACTTCTCATTAAACAAGGAGACCTCCCAAAAGTAAAGAAAAAACAAAAAGCACACAGCAAAAGTTGTACACCCAGTTTGGTCGAATATTTTGCTAATCAAACATAAAGCGTACACGAGAGTGGTTAAAGCTTTCATCTCATGCATCACTTTTAGGTTAAAAACTAAGTCACACTTCTATTATAATAGATGCTACGTCTAAAATGATATTGAAGGATACACCGTGTTATTGTATGAATCTATATCAAATAATATTGAATTTAATTCTCAACGTTAAAAACAAATGTATATCATATAGAAGCCAAACATTCATGGCAGTCAATGGATTATTTATGATGAGTGATTTATCATTGCATTGATTTGTTTTCAATTTGTTTCCTTTTTACCGCAAAACTATAAAACATAAACGATATTTGATGGTCTACCTGCTTCCTTTTTTGTTATAATTTTGTGACAAATTGTATATGTTTTGTTGAAAAACGCCTTGCACTTAATAAATAATTCACGCTGTAGAACTATTGCAGTAGATTTTGGAACTTTTTTCTATGTAAATCAGAAGGATTATGTCTGGATTTCTCTTAGATTTGTTTCCCGATATTTTTGTCCTTAATAACGTCATTAATGTACATTGGCTGTATCACTTGTCTTTATAGGGATTTTGATTGTTATTTTCTAGTACAAATAATGCAGTTTTATATTCTTAAAGCTCAGAATATCGTGTCCATTTTATATGTGGATAATAGAAATTCAAAGTAAAAAACTTAACGAAATCCGTTCAGAAATATTTCGACCTACCGTTTTGAATGTCTGAACAATATGTTGTTTAAACGATTTATAAGTATGTTGAATGAATAAAGTTTAAACTTAACTAGGCTGTTTCACAATGGTTTTTTTTCTCAGTTTTCACGTTATACTTTTTGCTTTAGGTTTTTAAATTGAAAGATGAAGAAGAATAAATAGATTTTCAATGTTTCAATATTTTTTGCAGAATGGTCATATAAGAACACGAGAAAGTAATTTTAAACATGGAAATATTAATAAAATCAGTAAATGTAAAAAATGAAATGGATAAGAAAAGTGTTAATGTTGAATCATTTATAACGCATGACACAAAAATAAACATTGAAATCAAACATGGGAATTTCAAGTTTATACAATATTATATTTATAGTAAGGCCGTTTGCTTAGCTGCTAGAAGACTGTATAAATATTATGTGTAGAATCTTTAACAATCTTTATAAATAAATAGATGAGTGCTGACCTTGAAAACAAGGAAGTGAACGGTACTGTATATATCACAAGATACTTGTCGGTTTATATAGACTGGTATTCAAACATTTCATATACAGTACACGGCAAGAGATCCTGAGGAGCAGTTAAAATAACACAACTACAGAAACATTTCAGATTAAGATTCAAAAGAAACCTTCATTAAGATTTTAAGTGTTGATGTCATGTTGGTTTTATATCATGTACAGTCGTTGTTGTTTTTGTTGTTCTGTCTCCTTCATTAGAAAATATAATTATGCTTGCTTGTTACCAAACACTAAAATGTCAGAATTATACGTACCACTGGAGAATATAGTAATTACGAGTTCCTGACTTTTACTGCATTGACAAACTTTGCTTAGAATTTAAAAATATAATGACGTCTGAAGGAAAACATATTTTGGTAATAGATATGGATCCTTTATTGTATCTGAGATGGCGTGTTTTCAATATTGAGACATTTAATCGATGCCAGTACATTTTTAAAGAATTGTAACAAAAATTACTCTCAAGAAAAACAACGCAAAACTACCGTTTTATTAATAGATTTTTTTATCAATTAAGTGACATTAATCACTGACACAATTAAGTATTCAGTTTATAAAGCAAACAGTAGATTCAGTGAATTCAAAATACACTATTTGAACAAAAATCCTTATCTATATTAAATCATCGATTAAGTTCAGTCAATAATTAGGTCTAAGACAATGTACTTACGATATTACAATTCACACCTGCAGATAATTGAAAACAACATTCTGTTGAACTCAAAATCTTATAAATGCAAGTTACATGCTTTTTTCCTTTTCACTAAAGACCCTTAGCATGTGCTAGTTATGGATAGCGGTAGAAATTTTGACTGTTATTAATGGAATAAAGAGAGGTAGGGGCTAGGAACATGAAATATATTGCGCTGCTTCCCCTCATGAACAGATTTGTTTTTCATATGATTTGTAGAAACTGTTTTCATTTCCTTCGACGGATTTCTCTTTCGAGATTTGTTCGAATATGTTTTACAATATTGTTTTTGCCGAAAGCTTTATCCTTCCTTGCAGGAAATGAATGTTGTAATAGACGCGGTAGTAAATGATACTGTTGGTACTTTGATGGCAGGGGCGATGGAAGATCCGAAGTGTGCAATAGGAGTAATTCTCTGTAAGTTTCCTAAAACACTGGTAATAGTAAGTTTGAGCAGTAGGGGTAAATCGAGACAAATGATCTAAAATTTAAGCTGACCATATGTCTACCGTTTGGTTCTTTAATTCTGGTATCAAAAGCATAATCTGATAAAGTGTGAAATGTCAAGTTAACCCATATATGTGCCATTTTAAGTACCTATATGTCTTTGAAGTCAGGTGATATAAAGTTTTGTTTACACATTAGCAATGTGCTTGAAAGTTCACTAAGACTCTGTACCGTTGCAAGAAAATGGAAATCGTCTTAATAGAAAGTGTACTAATTCGGAAAGACATTTTCAATTTAAGATATTGAAATTAATGATAACAAATTATGAAATATCCCAGATATTGAGATTAATGATAATATATATCCCTTCAAAAACTAATATGACAATCTTGAAGAATAAACGTTTATGTTAAAATATATCTAATGACAGATTTATATTACATATAAATCTGTGATCTAATCATTAAAGGTAAATGTACACATTGATCATACAGTTTATTTCACTTTAAGTCACACACCATGCTGACTTGAAGTTAGTCTCACGGTGTTAAACCCAGCTTGTCTTATAGCGATTTCTAGATACTTTTTTTTTCATCAAATATAGAGATTTGTCAGTTTGATGAATCCGGCTGATTAGCAGTGAGGGATGGATTTTAAATTCAGATAATACATTAATCACTAAAACACTTCAAAAGAAATAAGCATTATATAATAGATGTTGAATCTGCCACTGAATTTGTATATTCACATCTTTGATGGTTTTCGGTAACAAAAAGTAATTTCTTTTTTTTAGCAAAAGGTGTAAACGGATGCTATATGGAAAAATTAGAAAATGTTGGCACTTGGGTATGGGACAAAGATGATCCTAAGCAGGTAAATAAAAAGAATCACTTCCATTATTATTTTTTTTCAATAATATAATGGGCTGAAGATTTATTTGTGTAGTTCAAACTGTAAGTTTGATATTGCTTTTTCAATATGACGGGCATGTGTGTTTGTAGCCTCCGGTCCACTAGGTAGAGTATTAAATGAAATAATGTTCTTTTGCCTTTTTAAATGGTTCATCATAAGTGTTATTACATTAAAAGTAATTTTGATGTTGTTTTTTTCTTGGTTTATAATTCAAAAGATGTGATAACTCAGCAATTTCACGACTTAATTTATATTAGAATAGTGGTGAAATAAGTTATAAATGAATATTTTCAGGTTATCATAGATACAGAATTAGGAGAATTGGGTTCCGATAATTGTTTAGATTTTATAATCACTGAATATGACAGACATGTGGACGAAAATCACCACAAGGGGAAAGGCATGTAAGTGCAGTGATTTATATATGATATAATAATGCCATATATTGTATAGTTGACAAATGTGATATATTTCATTAAAACATCTTTTCTCAAGGAAAACATAAGAAGCAAATTCAGTTCCACCTGGTTTATTAGTTAAGAGGTCATTTGCTGCATAATGTTTTTGATATTTTTTGCCCTTTAGGTTGTTTTGTTTTTGTAAGTTATTAGAATGAATATTGTACGGATAACAATGTAAATGTGATGTATGTTTCATGCCAGACCCTTTGAGTAATTAGCATAAAGCGATCATCAAAGACAATGTTATTAAGGATTTTCAAACAGAACAAATCATTGTCTGATTTGGAGAAAAATAATTATCTGGAATATGTTTGTAAATAGTCCTGTAAAAAGGGCATTTTAAATATGTGGAAACTGTTAAGTACATAATTTATTATATGCATTAGACATTGACTTATCAATGTATGTTTACTACTCTAATCTTATTTATTTTAGTTTCGAAAAAATGATTTCTGGCCAGCATTTAGGTGAACTAGTACGTTTAGTGCTACAGAAGTTAAAAGATTGTGACATACTTTTCCAAGACCACTGGACAGATGAACTGGGGACAAGAGAAAGATTTTACACCAAATATGTGTCAGAGGTACTCAGGTATGTATAATTGAAGTTCTAAAATCATTAGATTTGTTTGTATTTTATTCACTTTTAAAACTGTCAATTTTTTTGTAATGGATTTAGGCTGCTTTAAATCAAGACCTGATGCTTCAGGATTTTAATATCAAAATACAAAATTTGAGCTTACAAGCTGCTTACAACAATAACGAAAAGACCTCTTAGAAGAATGTTTTTTTTGTATGTATTAGTAAGTTGGGTCGTCCTTTGTATACAAATGTATATTTAAAGTTTATATGCCAAAAATGCATGTATGTTATTCCATGAAACTAAACTAGCAATCAAGTATGCATGAAAATTAAAGCTGGATATTTTTTGTATTGTTTTACCAAACAAAATATCTTACTTGCAAAGGCCCATTATGTCCCAGAAATGCTTCTATTTTCATGTTCTCAAAAAGTTTTATATTGTTGGCAACCCGTTATGGTTTCTATAAAAGATACCTTTTGTCCAATTACCTGAACCATTTTTTGCTTCTGTTGCTTTTTGGCAAAGAGTACAGTTAAAGTGTTTAGTATTTTGTATGGGAGTCAAAATACTACATTGTATTTTGTTTACATTACGCTATTATTATGACAAATAATTTCCAATGTAACGCGAATTCCATCAAGTGAGAATCATCTAACATGCTCTAAAACTAGTTTTAAAACTCATGTTCGCCTTTCTAAAGAAGGAAAAATTTATTCGTTTCTGAGGTATAATGTGCGTTTACAATCAACTCTTACCCTGCTGTACCCAAAGGAGAATAACCTTTGTCGCTAGTCTAGAACTAGCCTCCTGAACCGGCAAGTTTGTCCATGCTGACAAACCTTTCTTGTTCATCTTGAGATATCAAAAGTTGATAGTGTACAGTTCAAGAATTCGAAGCTAGACAAGTTCACTGCAGAAATTCAGCAGGGTTAGGGTAGGGACAAAACTCTCAATACAAGATTATTTACATTTTAAGAACAAGATATAGGTGTATTGTAATAGATTGTCATGATATTTGTAGTAAATTAAAATTCCCTGCCGGAGCTTTACTTGTAAAAATGTTTTGTGTTTTTGTCAATTTTTAGAGTTAACGGATTTTCTATGAAAATGGGTGCTTATTTTATCCTTTGTGTATACAATCTGATATAAATAAGATAAAATTTATATCATGATGACGGGTATATATGTTTATCCGTTTCGTTGGTAAATAGATGAAACTCTGCTTTGAACTTGTATACCCGTGTGTAAGAGGCAGATAAATTGTTAATACCATTAATTGATTCGGAATAGTGCCATGTAGCAATTATATTTCAGTGAAGAAGATATACGTTTTATACGAACACGGTCCGTATTCGAGGAGTTTGGTTTGTCATACTCGACAGAGTTGGAATGTCGAGTTTTACACCACATCTGTCAGATTGTTTCAGCACGTGCAGCAACTTTTGTTGCTCTAGGCACGTAATCAACTTAGATGTAACCCCAGACATATTATTTCATTTGTTGGCTGTGTTTCGGTTGACTTTGATCAGACATTTTAACTATGGATAATTTAAAATCTTTTCTTTGACCAATTGATATTTTCATCGAATAAATGCGCTTTTCAAATTGACTTCACCAATCAAGAAAATACATTTTATCATGTTCATTTAAATTTCTAAATAGTAAAATGCAATTGGAATCGTATGAAAATTGTTTTAGTGAAATTTAAATGTCCTGATCATTGTCTTCTAGTAAATAAAGCTCTTTTACCTTTGCGTTATTTATTTTGCTTTCGCTTATTATAATCGTAAATTTCAGTGAAGAAGATATTCGATTTCTGCACGTGCGACATGCTCTAGATGACGTGCATCTCAATCATCCGTCCGAAATAGAATGCAGGATAGTGCACCATGTTTGTCAACTAGTGTCCACGAGAGCTGCAATGTTAGCCTCTCTTGGCATGTAACTTTCTTCTAAAAACATTCATGTAGTGGCAATCAGTCGTACTCCATTTCTTCTTTTTTTTTATTAAATTTCCTTTAAGCATACCATGAACACTGAAAAGACTTCATGATGTGAATATCAATTTCGCATCATTCACTTCTCATTTTACATACAAAAACGTCCCAATTTTATTCAAATCCACTAAATGTAACAATTATAAAACGGTTAGATTTTACAATATTCCATTTACATGATTGAATACGTCTGCACCTGTTTTGAATAGTCATAGTCGAATGCATTACATGCGTAAAACTCCAAAAGACCAAATGTAGAATTAGTTAAACTAAGCTCCGTCCTCTACCCAATCTCCTGACGTTTTAATATTCTAATGACAATTCAACATCTTTTCATGGTCCGTGTTCCTTTGGGCATGAGTTTGCAGCATTACACTTAATACTATTATACATGTTCAGTATGCCATCGATGTAATTTACTACAATAAAACTAGTGCATGAGCTATGCAGCAATGTCTATGTTAATATCTAACATATCCCCTCTCTAACCTTTTTATTGTACAAAAAGCTAAATAACATTCAATATCCTTTTATATTCATTTGCTGTTCATTCTTGGCTGTATGCTGTCCCCAGTCAGTATAGAATATTTAGAATAGTAAAGCTTTTTATGTGGCAGAGTTTTCAAACACTATTACTTTACACTTCTTCGCCTTCAATTTTCCACCACATTAGAATACAAGACGAAAACGAACGTTTAAATCCTCATATTTTAGATTTTCACACTTTGGGTTGTATCACTAGTTTACTCTCTTCTGTAATGTCCCAAAAACTAGCAAACCAAAGCATATATTTATATCAAATTGTTCTCGCCAAAACAGTATGAAAATCATGATTCGGAGTTAACATAAAGAGTAATGTTTTCCCGCCTAAACTATAATGAGCGGATATTGTTATATAAGAAACATTTGGAGCCGTATAGTATCATGGAGCAATGTCAACAAGAACACAAGTAGGAGCATTAATGTGACAAATCTACGAATATTTTCGTGGAATTCACGAAATTTATATTTTGATAAAAATTCTTTTAAAGAACCGAAATTAAAAGAATGATGAATGAATTTGTAAAATTCCCGATAAATAATTCAAGAATACAATAATACTAATTGTTATCGTCATTTGTTGCTTACGCATGTTATCCTTTGTTGTTTATATAATTTACCATTTTATTCACCTTTGTTTTGTACGTATTTGTTTTAATACTGTCTTTTTTCCAAAACCCTTTTCACTTTTTGATACATAATTTATCATTAATTATTATTAGTAAGGCATAAAAAATAATGCAGTTAGTTTTAAGGAAAAGTGTTGTTGCAGTGCTTCTGTATTTAACTTACACATCTTGAATTATTATTCATCGGATTATATTACATTATAAAATATAAATGAACAACTTTGTGTTAGAATTTTACTTAAAATCTGAAATGGTAGACAGTAACAGTTGCACAATAGTATTCAATCCAAAGAATATTTAAAATTATAGAATAATTATATAAGAATGTTTTGCATATGATACATTAAGACCACAGTTACATATATAACTTTGAAATAATAATAATAATAATAATAATAATATCATTGCTGGATATAAATGTCTTTCACAAAACGTTGATGTAATATTAATAAGCGTTTGTTTGCTTTTACAGCTGTGGCAACTTTGATTGACCGTGTGGGTCGGTCTGAGGTTGGTATTGCAATAGATGGCGCTCTGTACAGATTTCATCCGCTATTTCACGATCTTCTTATGGAGAAAATACCACAATTTCTGAAACAAGAAACTAAGGTAGGTTCTTAAGTCTTAATCTGATGAATATACAACACAATAACAATACTGTTCCATTATGTCTTAAACAAGCACACATTAAAGGTATCAACACGGAACAGGTCCAAAATGAAGTCAAATAAATATAGTATCAAAACCAAACAACAGGGTCCAATAAAGGTTATGTGCGTAAGAGTTTAGAACAATTACGCTTGAATATAAAAAAACTGTAGTAGCATAAAGTTGCACAAACGTTACATGAACGTCATTTTACAGAAATGAATTACCTCCCTTAAACCATATAACCTATGTTAGTTAATAACTTTGCTTGACATAAACTTAGTCTACAAAGTGTTTTTTTTAAATTATGGTTACACCAAGTTTTTATTAACATACTTTTACACTTTAACCGAAATATTGTAAATAACTCTTGGTAATGAGCTCGATTTTTTAAAGAAAATTATACTTAAGTATAACTTATAATAAGTAAACGAAGCTTTAATCAAGACAAATTTATTTTGCTTTTTTGCTTTTGTTTCAAAGAAACTGAGTTAAAACCGATCAACAAATATTGATTTGTGAAGTTTGCGGCGCAAAAGTATCTTTTGATTAGTCTTTTTTATTTGATGCAGTAAAACAGAGATACCGGTGCATTCTGTTAAATTCTGGCAGAATGAAGTGTAATTGCAATTATATATTCATTAATTTAAGCTTCATTTTACATAACAACTTTTCATATTGTATACTGAAACGTTGTCTTATACAACATATTTCTGTTTTTTGTTCAGTTTTGGTTAGTGCAGTCGGTAGATAGAAGTGGAAAGGGAGCAGCAGTGGCGGCTGCAGTTACAGAACGTTTGAAACGGAAGGAATAAATGAAATGTTACGCGTGTTACACCGGCACGTACGAGAAATGTGACTACATGATTTACGAATAAAGTGTTTAGCAAATTTGCTTTTACGCTTTTACGCTTTAGTGTGAAAATGATTGTTTCAACTTTAGAAAGAGGATGTGAGTGTGAGTTACATGTAACGATATAAGATTAATTCAATTAAATAACGCTATTCCTCTATATTTTATGAACGAGGGCCATTCATAAAGTACCCGGACTGGGGCCATAACTTGTCAAAAAATCTTAAAATAAAAAAAATAATGAATACACACGTGCAGTAGGAGATTGTGTTAGGTACATTCACAAAATTGTATTCAATTAAATAAAAATGTGTATAAATATAACTACACTTTAACACAATAAACCACTCACCGTCAAAACGACGTCACTTACGTCACAAATGTTACATCTTCTCCACACTCGATGTTTTTCTTAATTTTTGAAGATATCGACCCAGTCCGGGAACTTTATAAATGTACCTCATGTTTAAAAACAGGACAATGCATGTAGTATTTTTATCTGCATCTTCAAATTTGAACTTTTATGATACATGATAGTAATTATGCACAAACCGAATATGGTATATGTCACAAGAACTGAATTAACAAACAAAGAAGTTATTGAACTATTTTATCATATAAATGTAAATAAACTAATGTATTTAAGTACATGAATACTCTTTTTGCTGATTATTATATTTTGTTTAGAAAACGGAAGTATGAATGAATGAACTGTTGACTGCTATGATGTCAATAGTTTTATAAAATTGATCCCAATTGACAGACATGATGGTGCCATACTTTATCGAGGTATACTTAATTTTCCATCGGATGTATTTGAATATTATGATTTTAATATTATTTCTAACGATTTCCAATTTCAAAATAATTAACGTCACTTTTAATAATCTGTATTGAATTATTCTATAGTTTTACAAGGAGCTTCAGGGAAACAGCTTACCTCATAAAGGTTAAATGATGTCAGAAGTGACCTTGACATATGTATTTCTTTACTCAATTTTCTTGCGGTTAAGTCATGCGGGCATTATTTTTGTCAGGCTAACATTATTTGCCAGGCTAACATAATTTTTGTTACGGCAACATTATTATTGTCACACGAACATTATTTTTGTTATGGCAACATTATTTTTGTTATTGCAACATAATTTTTGTTACGACAACATTATTATTGTCACACAAACATTATTTTTGTTACGCCAACATTATTATTGTCACACGAACATGATTTTTGTCAGATAAACATTATTTTTTGTCTCGCCAACATTGTTATTGTCACGACGACTTTAGATTTTGACGTTCATATTATGATATTCCTGCTCTACTAACAGAGGAAAGCCGATGGTGCATTACTTTTAGCCTTTGTTGCGACTTGTTGGTCGGCTAGAGTGTTTTCTTGTTGGACGGCTAGAGTGTTTTCTTGTTGGTCGGCTAGAGTGTTTTCAACATATAAGAAAGAGTTGTATCCAGTAGTGTTTTGTCTTGAAAGATTTCGCTCACCTACCTCTGTAAAACAAGCCTTATTTATTTTTACCCCTTAAACCAGTATATTGTGCAATACAAAAGATGTTCCAATATAAAACTAAAATTATTGCTTTGATATATTCCAAAGATCAAAGAGTGATATTGATAAATTGTCCATTGTAAAATATACATGTATATATTTCTTAATACGAAGACTGCATTGATTTTCAAAACACATGTAAATAAGATATTATATTCCTATATAAATATCATTGCAAAACTTTTAATGAGTTAATTTTGACACTTTCCATTTTTGAGTTATGTGAATGGATGACCGAATCATTAACCGTTTTAGATATGCATTTTTTTCAAGAATCTGTAACATTTATAAAGTTTTATAAAATCAGATAAAATGTAGATAGGTTATGTACAAAATCACCTTGCCGTGTGTTAAACAAAGGAAAGATCAGGATCAAAAATAAATCTGGTCTTAATTCTTAATTAATCAATTGTAATTATTTTTTATTAATTTATGAAAATTGCATTATTCATATATCTGGCTAATTAATATACACTTTGATAAAATGATGAAAATCTCTATAAATTGCCAACTCATTTTCAGACAAAATATAGTATAAAAATGCAATTAATATTGTTACAAGAGGACGAAAATACGGATTAATATGAAATCAATATTAATATTAGAATCAACAGTTAAGAACATATTTCTAAGGTTAGGTAAGCAACATTTTCTAAAATTGAATCATATCCAGTCATTTTTTTTAAATTTAAATATAATAACTGTTAAACATTTGAGCCGTGCCATAACAAAACCAACATAATGGGTTTGCGACCATCATGGCTCTAGACCAGCCTGCGCATCCGCGCAGTCTGATCAGGTTCCATGCTGTTCGCTATCAGTTTCTCTACTTGTAATAGGGTTTGTAAGCGAACAGCATGGATCCTGATCAGACTGCGCGGATGCGCAGGTTGGTCTGGGTCCATGATGGTCGCAAACACACTATGTTGGTTTTGTCGTGACGCGGCTCATTTGAAGTAATGTTGAAATTTGCATTTTGATCCTGGTCTAGATTTCGATTGTTTGTTAACACGGGCAATGGGTGTTTTTTGTATCTTAGTCGACATTATGTGCCATTTGATATCTAGTGATTTAGCTTAGTTTGTAATGAGAAGGCTTCTTAACGTATTCATGTATAATAAATATGTATTGTTTCCACACAAATATGTTCAAAAATGAAAATAAAATGCAAACACAAACGTACCCTTTTTTCTTCTGTTTATGTTATAAACAATTCATAAAATGCTTCCCTAAATGTCACATTATTTATGAAATGTTTCGCTAAATGTTTCCGATTGAAAACAGAAACAAGAATATCCTGCATGGGTAGAAGTTTTCAGAACTATTTCAGGATTTAAATAGGCCTAAAATCTATAAAACTGACGCAAACATGCTACATATAGGGCTTTCGGGATTTGAACATTTTAAATTTCTAACCAATTTCTAAATTTTTAGGCAATTTTGTATCTGTTAGCGAACGTGCGAGACGTTGTTCATATTTGCAACTAATCTGCAAATAGACTGGGAGAATAGTATATAAAGTCATTTATGATATAAAAATAATAATGACGTTGTGTGTATTATTAAAGATATACTATGTTTGAAAACATGAACGATTGCTACACAGTCCCTTTGTATGCATAAAATAACCATGTTTCGACTTCATTTAAAGTAGATATGTTATGTTTTTGAACCAATTTTATTACTTGACCCAAAATAGGGAATGCAGCTTCCCATACATAGTTAGTATATTCTTTTATTCCAATTAAACATATTCACCAAGAATTTCATAAGATAAGTGATTTAAATCCATATGTCTATGTCCTACGTCTATTATCTTGACATATACAACAATGAGAGCTATATTCGTTGCAATTGTAGTAAGATGTCGACGAATAAAATTCCTGAAAGCAATATTCGTTTACCCGGCGGTATTCGGCATCATTATTTAGTTTTGACATAATTATTTTATTAAACGTAATTAGTATGCATGTATTTTGGCGAATTTTATCTTCAATACTTTTATTTTATACCTATAAATGAAATATTCAGACATATTGATGAAATAAAATGCGTATTTTCATTTTCCGTATTTTCACTGTAAAACATTTATTTTTCACTGCAGTGAAACATATTTTCCCTATTTTCACTGATGTTTAGCCGGACTTCATTTCTTCTAAATTTAGCCAATATACAAAATAAAAGGGAAAGTTTTTCAAATTGTAATGTAAAAAGAAAAAAAAAGAAAAAAAAAAGAGAAACATGTATATAATAAACAGAAAATTCAAGTTTTTTCTATATAATTATACAGGATTTTTAGAGTGGTATAAAATAAATATTCCATACAAGTGAAATATAATAATTTTCATACAACAATATCATCTATATACAATAAAAGACAATAACTTTATTTTGCCATATAAACGTTTGTATGTATACATGTTTAAATCAATAACTTTACTTAACTGGGTGTTGTATATAAGTGTCATCATACGGAATTTCCAACATTTCTTCGACTGATCTATTTTTCTTTATTACGTCATCATTATCAGGTTTACATTTGGGAAATATTCAACATTTTTTTGAAGGGCGTATCTGTTAACGGTTCATTATTTTAACTGTGTCATGAGTTTATAAATATTCATTAACTATGTGAGCAATTTATTATAGTTCGGTGTAAAGTACACTATTGTTATTATATATCAGGTTACACGATTTAATCATGCCGTTTTGTAAAGGGGAAGTAAGAAATATAAACATATAGTTCAAACTTATCTATTGATAAGATTTGGAACGTACAGCATCTTTCACTCATGGCCCTGACACACTGGTATTCAATCCTTATAGAACTGGGATCAATGATTCCGAAGGACCAGAAAAATACAACAACACACAAGATTTCTTTAATCATTCTACCTGTTCAGCCACCTTTACCATAATACAAATTCGTGACTCTGTTACCATAACCAAGAACGCGTATGTTTAACGCATTTATGAAAAGAGAAAAACGGCGGCGGAGAAATCTTGCTCCAATCATTAACTGAATAACAGCACTCAAACCGAGACATCAGGAGTTCACGCTTTTGATTTTGGTTCTCTCGAGGAGTCCACCTTTTTCCACAGAATTTCGTAGATTATCTGAATGAATGGTGGATTGGTTGATTGACTGATTGACTGGTTTGCTTGCTATCTGTCTTGCTACCGGCTGACTACAGGCTGACTACAGGCTGACTACAGGCTGACTGACTGGTGGGCTTGCTATCTGGCTGGCTACCGGCTGACTACAGGCTGACTACAGACTGACTGGCTGGTGGGCTTGCTATCTGGCTGGCTACAGCCTGACTGACTGATGGACTTGCTATATGGCTGGCTACAGGCTGACTGACTGGTGGGCTTGCTATCTGGCTGGCTACAGGCTGACTGACTTGGTGGGCTTGCTATATGGCCTGGCTACAGGCTGACTGACTGGTGGGCTTGCTGTCTGACTGTCTACAGGCTGACTAGCTATATGGCTGGCTACAGGCTGACTGACTGGTGGGCTTGCTGTCTGACTGTCTACAGGCTGACTACAGGCTGACTGACTTGATGGACTTGCTATCTTGCTGTCTACAGGCTGACTGACTGGTGGGCGTGCTATCTGGCTGGCTACAGGCTGACTGACTGGTGGGCTTGCTATCTGGCTGGCTACAGGATGACTGACTGGTGGCGTGCTATCTGGCTGACTACAGCTGACTGACTTGGTGGGCTTGCTATCTGACTGTCTACAGGCTGACTGACTTGGTGGGCTTGCTATATGGCTGACCACAGGCTGACTGACTTGGTTGGCTTGCTGTCTGACTGTCTACAGGCTGACTGACTGGTGGGCTTGCTATCTGACTGTCTACATGCTGACTGACTTGGTTGGCTTGCTATCTGACTGTCTACAGGCTGACTGACTGGTGGGCTTGCTATCTGACTGTCTACAGGCTGACTGACTGGTGGGCTTGCTATGTGGCTGATGAAACAAATTAAGATAGATGGTGTAATGAAATGTTGAATGAAATAATATACACCAATGTATATATTTCAGGGCGTATATATATATTTAACAAGTACTAGGAAGTTCTACATTACTTCCGTTTTGGAGCATATGAGGCCTACCACTGCATTACATGCGATTTTATTCTCTTGATTCAAATAAAACAAGTGAAATGAAATGTAATGAGAATAAAGAGCTAGACAAAAAGAAAACACAATAGATAGATCTACATATCTGACAGATGGAAATTCCTGAATAACAGTACATCGCAAAAAAACCCAGCATCGACAAAAATCATATCTCTGATTTTAAAAGTGATACTTCTTAAAGGGTTTTTACTGAGTATTTACTTCTCACTGAGTTTTTTTAACATGAAAGGGACCGAAATAATTTTCTCAAAATTTTTGTTTGATTGATGGAGGTATGGACCAATACCTCGTGTACAGAATTTGAGATCATTAGCTCACATCGTTTCCCACGGATATTCAATTTTTTTGTGAAATTTTACCCCGAAATGAAAAGCATTGCAACGCTTTTCACTCAAGTCGGGCATACTATCGCATAAGTATACTAGTTGTTTTATAAAAGATTAAATATTTTATGACAAGTTTTCAGAGTTTCTTTAATTTTTATCTGTCCTCACATAGATATTATATTCAGGATAGTTGTACATACATTTGCTTCAATGAAAAATAAGATATAATGTTTTCAGAAATCCAGGACATTATCGATATCCGAGAGCTTCGAAAAGTTTTCTATCACGTTCGCGGTAGCAAAACGGACACAGGAAGGTACACATCCAATCATGAATGCTCAAATTTCATGTGAAATGAGATACAGTACAGCCGTTAAAACTTGGTAAAAGAAAATAAAATGCATGCCTGTAATAAATATTAATGCTTTTTATATGTAAATAAAACTAAAAATGACTTTTCCGTTATTTGTTGGTTATTTTAAAGTCTTGTTTTTTCCATGTTAGTTATTATTGTATTACTGTAACAATCTAGAAAGTATGGTTTAACATACAATTGATGAAATTTTACCATGACAAATATGACAGTATATTTATGAAAATATTAAGATTGTATGGAAACAAGATAACATTTGCTGGGCAAGAGAATCAAAGGTTTTAAAATGGTGTCTTGTACTTAAAATGTTGTTATACTTGTTCCCAGCCTAAGGAATCGTTGATACCAACAATATAACAGTTTTATGTTAAATAAAGCTGTAGCCGGTGTAATGGGGTATGCAAGATGTTTCCACTACATCTCAAGAAGTGACTTTTTTCCAGGTTATGCTGACTTACACGTATAACAACAAATATCAATTACTAGATCGTGGTTGAACTAATATTTTATTATATTTTGTTAGTTATACCATGTCTGGTTCTAGTGGAGCATTGATTGTCAATGTTGTTCTTGTTGGAGATTGAATTTTCAAAGCGGTGCCGGGGAGGGAGACGAGCGATTTATTTTTTTCTCGCTTTTCATCGTCTCTGATAAATATACTTCATAAGTCCTTGTCTGCAATTTTTCCATTACAAGAAAATATATCACCGCTTTTAGGGATCCGTTTTTTTAAAGAAAATATAATTGCAAAATACTTGAAAGTGCAAGGAGGTAGAAATGTTGGCTTACATTCGTTGCAATAGAAAAGGGTGATTGTGTGATTTGTAAATTGATACAAGGATACTTATTCTGTTAAATAAACTACGCTGAACTTGCGGTTTTCATGTGTGAAAATACCTTTTGTGCTTCTTCTGAATTATCATACATTTTACAACACTTTCAGACAACACTTTCATCCACAAAATAAAGCTTTTTTCTGAATTCTGTAAGATATTTCTATCAAATGGTTTTGACCTACTTTATAAATGAAATTGAACTTTACGAATGCTCAGAATTAAGAAGTTTTGAGATGAATGTGAACTTCAAATACCGAAGAAAATGTTATATTAAAACAAGAACAAAGACAGAAAGGAAAGAAATTGAAATTTTAATTACTTATTTTGTTATACATTAGAATTATATACATGTAGTATATATCATACATGAAGTGATGACGTATTTCCTCATGGAGTCCAACTAAAATAGTCTTAGTAAATATTACATACATGTACTTTGTAAATGACTGGTCATTAATGAGACAAATAAGTAAAACTCAATCAGGAAGTTTTGATAATAATGATAATAATAATAATAATAAAAATAATAATAATAATAATAATAAAAATAATAATAATAATAATAATAATAATAATGATAATAATAATAATAATAATAATAATAATAATAATAATAATAATAATAATAATAATAATAATTATAATAATGATATGATAATAATAATAATAATAATAATAATAATAATAATAATAATAATAATAATACAGGTTCATATCTAAAAATATTTTAATTGACATACGATAAAAGAAATAATACCACATGGAAAAGAACAGAACAGAATATTTATTTCTTCTTTTTCGGACTTGAGCATAGCTCCTCGTCCACAGAAATAATGATTATAATACTAAATAAGTGGCTAATTTTGCGACGTGGAAATATTTGCTATTTTCGTACTTTCGCAAATATTTCCGCATGCAAAAAAGCCGTTTCTGGACACTCGCAAATTTTTTGTGACGTAAAAATATTCACTTATATAGTAATCAAAACGCAAAGTAAGCATATCTTACATGTATAAATAATGTAGAGAAAAACAAAATATAGAGACACATATGGAAGCGTCCTAGTGCCAAACCTGAAATGTTTTTATGTCATAATTAGTAGATAGTAAGTGCTAATTAGTAGAAAGTAAGTGCTAATTAGTAGAAAGTAAGTGCTAATTAGTAGATAGTAAGTGCTAATTAGTAGATGCTAAGTCATAATTAGTAGACAGTAAATACTAATTAGGAGATAGTAAGTGCTAATTAGTATATACTAAGTCATAATTAGTATATAGTAAGTACTAATTAGTAGATACTAAGTCATAATTAGTAGATAGTAAGTGCTAATTATTAGATAGTAAGTGCTAATTAGTAGATACTAAGTCATAATTAGTAGATAGTAAGTACTAATTAATAGATACTATGTCATAATTAGTATATAGTAAGTACTAATTAGTAGATAATAAGTCATAATTAGTAGATAGTAAGTACTAATTAGAACATAATAAATCATAATTAGTAGATAGTAAGTACTAATTAATAGATACTATGTCATAATTAGTATATAGTAAGTACTAATTAGTAGATAATAAGTCATAATTAGTAGATAGTAAGTACTAATTAGAACATAATAAGTCATAATTAGTAGATAGTAAGTACTAATTAGTACATACTAAGTTATAATATTGTAATCGCTGCTTGCATTCTGTTAACATGGCTGATGCAAGCAGCGATTACAATATTATAACTTAGTATGTACTAATTAGTACTTACTATCTACTAATTATGACTTATTATGTTCTAATTAGTACTTACTATCTACTAATTATGACTTATTATCTACTAATTAGTACTTACTATATACTAATTATGACATAGTATCTATTAATAAGTACTTACTATCTACTAATTATGACTTATTATGTTCTAATTAGTACTTACTATCTACTAATTATGACTTATTATCTACTAATTAGTACTTACTATATACTAATTATGACATAGTATCTATTAATTAGTATCTCCTAATTAGTATTTACTACTAATTATGACTTAGTATCTACTAATTAGCACTTACTTTCTAATAATTAGCACTTACCATCTACTAATTATGACTTAGTATCTACTAATTAGTACTTACTATATACTAATTATGACTTAGTATATACTAATTAGCACTTACTATCTCCTAATTAGTATTTACTGTCTACTAATTATGACTTAGCATCTACTAATTAGCACTTACTATCTACTAATTAGCACTAACTTTCTACTAATTAGCACTTACTATCTACTAATTATGACATAAAAACATTTCAGGTTTGGCACTAGGACGCTTCCATAGACACAGCATATATATTACAAAGTAAAAAATTATAATAAAATAATAAATGAAATACTGGGAAAAAATATAAAAGAAAATGCGTATTATCATTTTGTGTATTTTCACTGTTAAAATGTATTTTGCGCTGCAGTGAAACATATTTTTAGTAATTTCTTCTAAATACAGCTAATACATATAACTAAAGGAGAAGTCTTTCGGATCGTAAGGTCAAGATACAGAAAAGTAAATTCATAAATTGAAAATTCAAGTGTTTTTTCTATAAATACAGGATTTTTTTGGCTATACATAATTATGACTTTTAATGCTATATTTCAAGTGTCAAATAAAATTGCTAATTGTTGTTTTGGAATGAGAGGAAACTGCTATTTCATTTCATTTTTCCGGTGTTTATAGTAAAATAACATCCAATCTTGTAAATTATGTGATGAAATACGGAAGAAAACGGGGGATAACCTTTTTCCTAAAAAATAAAGTTTGATAGAGGTATAAAACGCAATGTTCCTCTGTATCTAAACATTAACTTGTCTTTATATACACTTTACATGATATTATACTTATATATTATTTTTACATTTTTTTGTAAAAACAGTCCGATTGTTTGTCAGTATTATTTATTCTAAGTCATGGTAAGTAATCTAAAACAAATACAAATCTTTTAATGTTATTTTAGACATTAAATCAACTTATGCTCAATTTCAAAAACCCTTTTCCATATTATTTTAATGTAATAAGTAAATACATTTAAATATGTAATGAAACATTTTTTGACATTAAGCAAACGTTACAGTGTTAATTTATTTCAAATTCTGTGTTGATTTCAAGCACATTAGAAATTCAAGAAGCGTATTACGGTATTTCTTTCACAAAGAGACCGTTAACAATGTATAACGATCTATGTCACTGGGTGGAAATGATGCTCAAGTTTAAAGTTACCGACTGCTGTACGAATATTTTATAACTAATTTTTTCAGATTTACCAAGTGCAGTATTTTATATTATTTTGGATGTGTTGGCATATTCTGTTTGTTTGGAGTAACGCCGGGGTTGTCAAAAGAAAATGCGACGAGCTTTCAAGGCAAAGTGTTGATGAATTAATGAAAAATATAACAACTGAGAATTCTAAATTACACTGGTCATTTTGGTTGTTGCCATCGCTACAAAAAGCTGCTGAAGAAAATATTGAACATGCCGAGTAAGTTTCATGTTGTCTATTTCAAAAAAAATATTAGTTTTCAGTGACTTCAGTACAATATTTTTACCTAGAATATATATAAATCTTACATTATGCTAGTATAAAAGATAATAAATGGTATTTTCTTAATGTATTAACAGTGAAATTATATTATTTCCATAATCTTATTGTCGATTTTCGAAAGATCTGTAATAAAGAGTTTCTATGTTATTAAACAATATATGAATAATTGTCTGTAAACAGAATGAAATGTTCCGGAACAAAATATTATGCTTTAAGAAGAGTTTTATCCGTTAAGCAATGATTTTGTGCATGTGCTATTTGCTTTTAAGACAATTTATTACCATTTTATTTCATTCAATAATTTTGGATTTTTTTTTGTAATTCAAACAATAATTTTTGCATATACACTTTTAACAGTGAGTTAGATTGAAATGTACTAGTATAGTTTAACATTTTAGTTTGGGAAACAATTTCACTATAGTCAACTTTGACATCTATTATTGTACATTTTTGATGAGCAACACTTTATTAATATGATAATATTTCAGATTGTCGGTTACAAAAAGATTAAGGAATTCGTTTCTTTACGGTGAATATGGACGGAGATGTCCGAAACGAAACATACCAAATATGAAAGTATGTCCTGTATATTACGTGATGCAAAATGACAAGAACAGAATCCCCGAGAACATCGTTCATGCACAATGTAACTGCAAACACTGCTTCAAGAGCAGGTCATCATTACTTACAGGAAAATGTGAAAAAGTATACGGTCAAACTATAGTTTGGAGAAGAAATGAAACAACTTGCGAGTATTATACCAGTTTGGAAAGAGTAGCAGTTACTTGCACATGTCAAATTTCAGATCTGACAATTATTCCGGCACTTTCTGGAGAAATTAAATTAAAACGTTTTCAGTGAAGTACAGGTTCCTTTAATATTTGGCAACGTTTATAGTAAAACTTAAGGTATCTGTGTTACAATGTATTTTAAACACTCATTTTACAGTGCGAAATTAGTTGATTTACAGTTCACTGTCTCTGAAGCAAAGAACAAATATTTATATCTATTTGCTGATATCTTGTCAATGTTTATAGTATCAACACAATTACCTTATTTTAAAGTCTTCCCCTAAATTTATTCTTCCTAACTGTAGCTCAGCTGTTTTTTTTTATATATGGAAGAGCTTTAAGCTCTCTTTTTTATTCATATTACGTATGGCTTAAGTATAAAGTTTTTTTTCAAAGCTTCATTTTAAATTTCGAATTTTACTTAAAAACATCATTTTAAAATTTGTCAGTACTATGTACAAAACGAGCTATTATAAGTCTCTATCTCTTTAGGTTATATTTAAAAATGATACTTTCTTATTTAACAGTTCATCACTTAAATTGTGAATATTTTTAAGAACATCCTTGAGTTATCTTGTTCCTATATTGTTGTTCTAATTATCATTTCGGAAATGTACTCGTATTCCTGTATTGCATCCACTAGTCTGTCTTTATTATTAGCTTGAAATCATTTTTTTACTGTTTAGTTGTCTGAATTATTTTTTGTAAATTTTAGAGTTTAAAAAATCTGCAATATGTTTTATTGACACTTAGTTGCATTTTACAATGATAAATGAATTACCAAAGAAAGATATTTACAATAATTTATAGTCACATTTTTGTTTGACTTTTATTATTTTATTGTGATTTATACAGACATTTACATGTTGATTTTTCTATGTTATTAAAAATGTTTTATTGAGCATATATTTGTCGTAACTTTAAACCATAAGTTAAAAGAAACTTAATAAAAGCCCGTAACCAAATATCAAAACATCAAATACTGTGAGCAAGGACGAGAACAGTTTTTCTCAAGTTTCAAAATAAATTACCATAAATGATGATACAAAATGACACTGCTACATTTTTTTCGTAATATACCCAAGCGAACAAAATAAAATTTTAACTTTTTTAATGTATCCAATTGCGATAAGGCACATTAAATTTTAATTAAAAATTGCCAATGAAAAGACTGTCATGTGCCAGGTAATCATGAGAGTAAAACCTAGTTAACCAATGAAATGATCAGGAATTTATTGACTTCCGAATTCATTTCCCGTCAAGTTAAGTTTCTGCTAATATTATTCGTTGTATAAGAGTTTGAAATCTATGACAGGGAAGTGTCGATCTAGACAAACGTCATGGATAAAAGTTAAAGTAGTAAGGTAAATTTCAGAGATCACCGAATTGCATGTTTTGTGCCGCCCCATCTCCGCTCAACATGCTTTGCTTACATAATTTTCTCAATACACTTACAGCATTTTTACGATATATTTACGTACAACATTTAGAAAAAGTTTCAATTGAGCAACGAGACAAAATATAAATGTGTAAAAGAACGGTCATTTACTTTTTAGAAAATGATATTATTAACCTATGCGAAAATGAAAAATTGGCACGTTCAAAGGTGCGAAAGCATGCAACATGGTCAAAAAAAGTTTGAAGTCTCGGATTTTGTTCAAATGCAAGCTGCCTTCAGTCCATTGTCTGCCGTAGTGCTAGGTGCAGAGGGCCCTGTGGGTAGGTATTTCGGGTCTCGCCTCGCCGGTACGCACCACCGATCCAAACAGTAGGCATTATCTTCAGGTAGCTGTCATATTGTATTTTGAATTTTGAAGCACCCTAAAATAGGTTCGTATGATGAACTGGGCCATATTTTATATTCTATTATATTTACAGCGTGTTGCCTGATAGCATTACAAATAAATATTTATTCATAAAGATAATATTTCATATCAATAAAAATATTGTAACACTTGAAGTTTAACTTGAGACAGAAAGACAATATTTATTTAAACTACAGGTTATGAACTAATATTTTCTCTCTCGTGCAGCGGAAGATGTCAAATGGCGAACTATATATAGAAGATATACAGTTAATAGAAGCAATGAAATTAGTTTGCTAAAATACAAAATTGTAATATTTCCACTCGCCTCTGAAGAAATATTTAGATATGTAAGATTCTGTACCTCGCCCCCACCCACATCCGAAAGGTTTAATTAAATTTTAGCTTTCATAAATTAAAGTAATACGGCATCAGATCCATGCCTATTTTCTGTGAATATAATAAGGAAATCCAAAAGCGAATTACTAGAGACCAAGTCGGCCTTTGTTACTGTGCAAATAAAAAGGTAGAAACATGATATATTCATGTATATTTGCATCAAACACGCAAATTAAGTAACTTCTACGGTTATACAGTTTTCGTTTCTGACGAAACTATAGCATACACCAGTGAAGCTTTAAAGAAATATGTTAAATGAGTGTTGGAAATAGCATGATTTGAAAAAAAACATGAACCAGTTTACTTTTTATAACAATATAAATACAACAAATTTTAAATGTTTTTTCGGGTTAATATAACCTTACAGATGGTTTAGTTTCTGTCTACCTGTTCAAGCTTTGAATTGTATCTGTTAACATAATTGGAAGCTGTGGTATAGTGGTTAAGAACCCTGCCACTCAACCAAGGATTCCTACTGGTGTTATTAACATGTTTCATAATATGACAACTGTGTTTGTTAATTTGAAAGAAGCGGATTCGTCACTATTAAACTTAAGTAATTTTTTGGTTTTACGCTTAGAAAAACTGACGGTGATATACGCAGAATATATTCAATAAACAATACATATTTTTAATAATTACAATGGGGTGTTTATAAATCTTAAATTATCTTAATAGTTTTATCTTCAGTATTCACTGATTATTTGGTGGTTCTTCCTTTCTTATAAGACTTTGATAATTTGTGAAGATTGATTATTATTGATTATGAACTAACAAAGGACAAAGAGACACTTTAATTGGTGGGGGAAATTAACAAGAATGATTAATAAAATCAATGACAAGAAATATTTAAGGACTGTATTTCGTAAACATAATTATTTTCTCAGACGCTCCTTATAATATTTGTTTATACTCGTACATTAACTGTGTTTTCAAATTTCACGTAATGAATATGTGCAATTTTAGATAGACAGTAAACTTTACTTACAGCGAACACGGTTATATAGCGAAAATCCGGTTATTAAAACAAACATTCTGGCTCGAATTCGTTCTTTACTCGGTAGTAATAAAATCTTCATCAATAACATATTTACGTAATACGGGATTATAACTAATAAAGGACTCCTGTTTTAGTCCCATTTTAGAAAATAATCACAGAAAGTTACATGGTTACAAAGAACTCTAAACTATGGACTACCTGCAAATGGATCCCGTATTTTTTCGTCTTTTTTGTGAACACATTCAGGCGACAGAAAAATAAATAAATTATAATTAAAGGCACGTTATCCCTCAGAATTTTTTTTCAATCTTTAGACAGGGCAAACCTGAGATTTTAGTGTTTAAATAAAGGATTTAAATAAATATTATATAGGATGCTTAGCACCTGCTGTATCTTTAATTATGTTTTATAAAAGTAACAAAATGTAAACGAAGTAAACTAGTATTTTGACCTTCACACAAATTATTAAATCACTGTAACTGAACATTAACCAAACAGCAACAAAAGCAAAATATTTTTCAGGTACTTAGCCTATGAGTAATTTTTTTTGAAAACTATTTAAGGACACCGACCCCCCCCCCCCCCCAGCTTTTCAGAAATGAAATATAAGCATTTCTGAGGCACAATGGGCCTTTAACAGATTCATGCAATACAATATCCAAATACTTATAAAGACCGGATAGTGCTGGTTTACTGTAAATTAATTCTTAACTCGATAGTACATAATAGATATAATCGTTTTACATATTCAAAATGAAGAAATGAGAATAATTAATTTACTGAAAAAACAACTAAGTTCTCTTCTTATTTAGATAGATACTATTACTATTTATCAAACCGTAATCTGGCAATTTTAGATGTTATGATAATTAAAATTACTGCAAAGTTGATTTAAGGTGTACCAAAGGTGTCCGGTATTCCGTTTTGAAATGCAAATAAATTTAAGAAATAATGAATCACGATCAAAACGTGTAAAAAAACCTGAGTAAAAATAAAAGTTCATAGATTTCATAGATATGTAATTAACATGCATTTAAGTGACATTATGTTCGTTTTTCACTGTCAGATAATTGATCAATATTTGATAATAAAAATATTTATGATACAATATAAAAACTTAAAAATTATACAATTAAAGCACAGAAGGCGCTGAATTTGTTTGGGTCTCAGAATGTCAGAAAGGTGAAGGTTGTGAGATTATAAACCAATTTGTTTGTAAAGTGTCACCAAATTCTGTTTCCAGTGTTATAACTATAGTAAATTGGCTATTAGTAAATTGCAACACTGATATTCAATTCAATGTTTATTTGGCTTAACCAATTAAAAACAAAACAAAACAACATGAGTTGCCTGAACTAGGATTTGATCTCCGGACCTATCGCATCTAAAGCCAGCGTGTAAACCTCTCGACCACGGGGAGTTATAAGATAACAGGCTGAAGAAAACCATATTATTCTTAATTAGAGTTTGTAACTCTTATTAATTTCGATATATTTTGTTCACGGTAAACCTGTTGTTTAACACTGAAGGTGAATAATCATGGAGCTGAATATAAGCATGTATATCTATAAGAAAAACACAAATATTAGAAATCTTCGACCAATCGGAACTATTTTTTTCGTTACGAAAATTAATGTGCATGTTCATTTGACAATCTTACCGCAGTGATCTGTCCCTTAATTTTATCGGCGTTAATGTACATGTGAAGGGAAGTAACCGCTTCGAGGAGTTTGGACTACTTTCGGCATTTGCAAATAAGAACATCATGCAGGGTCTGAAATTTCGCTACCATTATTTGTTTGGTCTGACGACCCAAACAAATAAGAACTTAACTTTACAGATACATACAGAAAGATATTTATAGAAATTTACGTTGGTCACATAGATTATTTGTCATAGTAAAATATAAAATTGAACACAATTATGGCAAAATGCATGTTTTTAATTACCACCTGTTCACTGACAATTTAAAGTTGAATGAATAAATTGTCACTTTAATACCATTTAATACCCATTGCGTGTTTCTTTTAACGAAATCGGTTAAAGCTATACAATGTTAAGTAATTAATATCATTATTACTATCAAGTATTAATTTCACTTATATTGTTAACCTTGGATTGTATCAGACAGAAAAAAACGAAAACAAAACTAGCGTGCTTAACATCTTTGTAGATTAAACATTGTTATTGCGAATCAAAACTTAACTAAATCTTAAATTAAAACAGAAGCAGATCGATCGCACAATGCTGAATTTCTGTGACCCATATTATGATGGATCAGTCAGAACCACATTTTGATAGATCAGACAGAACCACATTTTGGTGAATCAGTCGGGAACACATTTTGATAGATCAGACATAACCACATTTCAATTGATTAGTCGGAACCACATTTTGATGGATCAGCCGGAACTATATTTTGATGGATCAGTCGGAACCACATTTTGATGGATCAGTCGGAACCACATTTCGATGGATCAGTCAGAAACACATTTTGATGGATCAGTCAGAACCACATTTTGATGAATCAGACGGTACCACATTTTGATAGATCAGTCAGAACCACTTCTAGCTATAGATGGTCCATACATGATCCTGATTTGAACTGTCTCTATCATTGATTGGATCTTATTGAAAATTCAATCTGTCAAAATTTTATGTGTTATCCATTGTGTTACAGTTGTAGTTCAGAATGGTATATTGCTGACAATAAGGCATGTGAAAATAACTAGTCCAACTCCAATTTTACGCCAAAAATTTTTGAAAAAAAAGCAAAATAAAATTTACTCAAATACAAAAGAAAACAAAACAACAAAAAAGTTATTTTTTTTTTCGCAAACAATACAATTTTAAAAAAAACCACTTTTGACGTTTTAAAATAGTTTTACACGCCACGCAACAGAAAACTTTTCATTTGCTTCTTATATTCCAATATCATTTGTTTTTTCCATACTAAAGTATCCATTTTCACTTCTTCAAAAACCCGTCAAGAGGACACGTATCGGGGTGCATTTCTTAAAACTTTTACACCGGATGAAAATTTTTTTCGGGTTTTGATATTGCAGTTTTTTGTACGAAAACCCAAGGGCATATTTTGACCCGGGGGTTGAAAATTTTGGGACAACATGTTCAGTGTGCCGTAATTTGGTTCAGAGCCCCTGGTACATTTGATGCTCTAATTAAAAACAATAAAGAAATTAGAAAAAAATACCTTTATACAAGACTCTCAAACTCTCAAAGAAATATTTTTTTTTTCAATTTGAACCAAATGCAAAATGATTTAAATTGTTTACCAACCGAACCGTATCAATCTTAAAAACATTCGATATCATTAAAAGTCTACGTCCTTTTTTGTAAATCGCAATTTATTTCCAATAGGCAAGTATCAATTCTTAAAAAAAAGCAACAACAACCAGAATTCATAACTGTAACGGACTACAAACGTGCTTACCTAGATAATGTATATATTTGTCTAGTCATCTTTTGAAATGGTGGTAAAGTCAAAAATGACCAATGCAATCCTTGAAACAAATCTCTCAGCATATCGTGTTTTTCTTTTTGTGACAATTCCTTGCATTGTTCTGTAATCCTTTCCAGTGATTTCGAAAACGCAGAATTACTTACAGAAAAGACAATCAGAGCGGATATAAGCATGTTACGTCCACCACCAGAAAACTAAAATAAACCGTGATAATTCTTTAATATCTGAATAATAATTATAACAAAACTAACGACGACGACGACAATAATTACAACAGCAACGGCAACAACAGCAAAAACAACAACAACAACGCCAGCAGCAATAGCAGCGGCAACAATAATAACAATAGCAATAACAATAATGATAATGATAGAAATATTACTTATCAATGATAAATTTTAAAAATATAATCTGTATAAAAATGTGAAAACGTTTTCAAATGAAAAAAATAAAATTGACAAGATAAAGTCTGCATTTTTTGAAATTACAAGTCATTTTTCATACATTTCCTTCTCTAAAATTTTTGCAAAAAGTTAAAATTAAGACTGTAACCACCATCTTTAAACGTTGATAATAAAAACTTTACGTGAATATTTGAGATGAATTACTATGGCGTTTTATATCGTGATGTAAAAATGTTTGGGCATCCTTTCCTTTTATACTGGTATCATAAAGGCAAGGTGTTAACCCTTTTTTTTTACTTTTATCATAATTATTATCATTATTCCACTGGCTTACTTCCGTTCAGATGAGTCTTAAAATCTATATTTACACATTTGCCTACTTCATACAGGGACAAACTATGTGATGCTTTGAAGGAATAATACTAAAAACTGAAACTGATATGCCCCGACAACCAATCTAAACAATTGTTAAAATTTTTGTTAGCTTTTTACGATGTATCAATGTCTATTAAGTTTTGATAGTTCAAGATATAAAGTTTCTTACTAATGTATTTGATATGTAGATAAGCCATGCGAGTAGGAAGGTTAAGGACCGCCCTTCGACAGTTTTACAAAAGTATAAGCCAAAACAGTCATCACGCTCTAACAACATGGAACAATTCTACGAGTGTAGGGGTTGGAAGGTGGGGGAGGGTGATCATGTGCTTGTTCGAATATTCAAGGGCATTGATTATTAAATATGCCCTTGTGATATGACACAGCCTGTCTTTTGTTATGTTAACTTTATTATTGTTAGTACTGTAGGTTTATTATGTCAGTTTTCATTTGACAGTTTAAAGAATCTTTATAATTTTACGGCAGCTGAAAATTTATGAAGTAATTTCATTTTCATGAAATAAAAGGATTTTACTAAATCACCATTTGATAGTTAAGATTTTTGAAAGGTCATATGGTCGTGTATATATGACTGGGTTATTTTACAATCGTGTACCATATAACATGACAAAATCTTTTAATCATTAAGAAGAAGGGCACTATAGAATCGTGCGCATAAAATTTTGGGTCATTTTATCAACATTTGCAATGTTTTGCTCAAAATGGAGTAAAGTAAGTTATCGATAATTGGTTCATCCCTGAATAGTTCCCCTCCCACATCCGTGATCATTTTCATTTTTAATCTTGTCAAATTCTTCAACTGTTCCGATCCGAAACACAAACTTGTATTTTTTTCTACGGATAAACCAAACTTCCGTTAAAGAGGACCTTTTCACATAATTCTTTATTTTAAAACATACGAAAATATGTACATAAAAAGGCAATAAACGCCTTAATATGTGTTATACAATACATTTTATCTTTTGAGATCGTCACTTTGGTTCGATAAACTTGACATTTATAGAATGTATCAAATACCTTTACCATACCGTGACTTAATACTGTGGTAGGGTTATGTTTTTTTATGTTATTAATTGCTTTGCCCCGCACCCCTGTGTAGCCTTAATATGTACATACCCCAGTTGTTTTAAAATTGATCAATAAAACGTACACACACACCACTCCATACAATATTAAAAACAACATTTATTAAGCAGTTACAGTAGCTATTACACTTTTAAATAAAAAAATAATATCAAACATTCAACAAAAGGCAAATAGAAATTTGTAAGAGTTCGTGTTGTTGACGAATTGATCTTTGAAAGGTTATATTTGTGCCTCAATTTTAAAAAGGACATCTCATAACAACTGTGTTCACGTTTATGCTTGCCGAACTTTCCTTTAAGACCCTGGGTCTGTGGACCCACTGTCTATTTCATTTAGCCGGACAGCACAAATGTCCCATTTAATACACTGGGTCCCAAGGTACAAGTGACCTAACCTAGCTTAATAAAAATGCTTTTCAAAATAAGAGACAGTAATAAAGTGATTGCCTCATAAATACATACAATTGTAACCATACAAAGTTTACCTAAAGTAGACCTGAATAACATTGGCACATATTTCTTGTTACAACAAACACAATACTTGCAAATACGCTTCATTAAAATGAAATAATATTTTAGTTTTTTCTAAAAATAGGTACATATACTTGAACAAATTTGGTGTTCGCTGACCTAACTAGAAATCAATAGTACATGTACATGACCACGCCCACTTATTTTTATTAATAATTATTTTTTCTTAAAATGTTTTTAAAACATCTAATATTCAATAAAACAACAAATGAAAGTTGTTCTTTTTAATTTCATCCATATATACTATAAAAAGTAGTTCTATATTTATAGTATACAGCGTAACTTCTGAATTCCGGAACTTCTAAAATCCGGAAACTTCTGAATGTACATGTATATGAAAGTCTGCGACTAGAATGGGAATTCCGATTTTGAAGAGATCAATGTTCTGGTTTCAATAATGATCAAAAAGGTAAGTTATTTTTGATAATGTGAATTCTATTTCAACCACTTGATTTCTTTAATCTGGATGATATTTCTTTTATCAATATCTTAAACTTGGTAGGTAAATATTGCATTGATTTAATTTCTTTTAACTTTCGATTTCGTTTTTAGACACCAGTCAACCGTTTTTAATTTTGTGATTTTAATTTTTTAAAGAATGTGATAAGCTTGAACACGATCGATTTTTCAGTTTTTGCTGAAAAGGAAGATCGTAAAATTTGATGATTATTATTTATTAAAGTGATTAGATGAGCACCTAGCTTGAATCTATCCAATAATTATAATATAATATAATTATAGTGGCTTGAGTGGTGTATACAGTTATTATTATTCTATAAGACAAAGCTTTGACCTTCATGTTTGTTATTCCTGGTGTTACTGCAAAAATATCAAAGGGACAGGTTTAAAGCACTTGATATTTAAAAAATTAAGTAAGACCAGGAACTGCTGTGTTAGAGTTGTTTCCCTTGCCACAATACAACTGTCAGATGTAACATTGGTTCAACAGCGAAGAGAAGGATAGTTATCATTTTAGTTAAACAAAATGAAACGAGTGTTGACTTAATCATGTAGATGCTAATTAAATGTCCATAAAGCATTAGAAATGCTTTTAATACTTTTATTTTTCAAAAGTTTTTTTTTTTAGTTTTGGTGTTCATTTAAAATCCCCCCCCTCCCCCAAAAGTAACTCATTGGCCAATTACTTGAACCATCATTTTCGTCTGTTGCTTTTTGGCAATAGGTACAATTATAATAATTTAGTATTTGCATGAAAGTAAAAATACTTCTTTAAAATTGTTTATATTTTACTACTTTTACGTCAGTTATTCTTTCTTTAGTAACACGCATCAAACCTACTCTTAATTAAACGTTATAAAACTCATTTTGACCCTTTCTTAAGAAAAAAAAATGTTCGATTCTGAGGCATAATGTGCCTTTAAATACTTTCAGAATATAATCAGATTGAAATGAAATAAGAAACATCTTGTTATATATAAGTTACTTTTTTAAAAATAAATTTCAGTCGTTACCCGTCATTTGTAACCTCATGTTTTTATCTTTTCTTTTTAGATATACTGAATAATGGCATCGTTTGGTAATGATAGTCAACCTGACAAAAACCAATTTGGTTGTTACCAAATAAAAAAAGTTGGAAAATTCTGGCTTTTGAAGGTGAATGAGAGGTCAATGAGAATAAAATTCCTTGATCATGCGAAAGACGTCTTTATAGAAGAAACCTTTTTAATCGCAGACGATGAAATATTTGAAATAAAGGACAACGAATACGGAGAACTTTCAATTAAAAAAGTGGAAGAATTTTTGCATAATCCAATAGAATGTGATTCTTCATCTGAAGATGTAAAGACTGATCAAAATGAAATTTTAAATGAAGTTGGTAACGCTGAGATAGATAAGGCTATAGAGATTGAAAATGAAAATCTTGACAAAGACGGTAATTCTATTTATTTTGGGTATCTAATTTGTCAATTTCATAGTTTCTTTTGATCTAGGTATAATAATTGAAATCTTAATATAATAATCTACGTTACACTATGCTCCAGGCGACAACAGCAATTCCGATCCGGACCACCGGGGAGAACGGGGATAAAAGCCAACGCGTGGTGACGAGACAGGAAAAACTTTACGCCTGATCTGGTATAATTATGTTTTTGTCGGACCGCTAAAATTTAGCAAGTTTAATCCGTATTCTCGTGGACTATTTTACAAAAACACACGTAATATAAGCTGACTTCCAAAAACTTAAAAAAAAATTGTGATAAAAACAATATGATTTCCAACTTTTATCATTATGGTCTAGAAGAGTGCGGGTATAATATGAGGAATGTCTCACAGTACTTTGAACGTCATAGCATTATATCGTGATATCCAAGTCAGCACAAGACATTAATTAGCGACTCAAGTATTCTTAATGTTTGCGTACAGTGTGCTATTGCTTATATCATACCGCACTGTACCAGAACATAATGGTAAACAATGAGGAACGAAATCATATTGCTAAAATAAGAAAACTTCTACTGAAGTATATTGCAAACTGTTAGTATAGTGCATTTGATCAAACATTCCTCGTTGTTACACGAACACCAGCTAAATTTCAGCGGCCGACAAAAACGTATAGTGCCAGTTGTACATTTTTTTATCGTACCGCTGACATTTATATAGACAAAGAAGAAAAGCGTTTATGTAAGGTATATTCATATATTTTTAATGTGATTTCAGTTAACAAACACAAGACAAACGTTAACAGCGCACAGGTAATGATTTTAGTTATAGATTCTCTTCTCTACATTCTCAACTAAACTTTCACATTACTTAGTTTGCAATGTATAATATCTGGGTTTTGTTGTATAATAATGCTTTGCGAAGGTACAGCATGTGTTTCATTTAGAAGTGAAACTTGGTAAAATTTCGATTAGACCTAAACCTTTGAATCATATTGTTGGAATTTACCTAACTATAAGAGAGCTGACGTTAAATCGGGCATAATACCAGACCGAATTTAGTGAAATTTAGTGAATTTAGCAGTGAAATCGGGACGAGGTAAGACATCGCAGGACTCTGTTATTTTAACCATGCCAGCATGTGATTTTATGAAAAAAAAAAAAAACCCAAAAAAAAAAAACCAACATATATGTCAATTTTAGAGTGATATGGCTGCAAGTCTTAATGAAGTTGAAACTTTCGATAAATCTGTGTTGCAAAGGTTATTTCCTAACATCTCTGTTGAAGAAAAGGTACGTTGCAATTTTTAATGAAAAACGTAAGTAAACAAGTACAATTCTAGATAATTCGTTTAGACAACATAGTGTAAAAGTAGCCATTGATAGTTATAACTAAATATATACAAGTTTTATATCCACTGCATCTAATTGGTCCATTGTATTTTTATTTAGATTTACTTTATTTCTTAATCCATCCCACATAGCGGGAAAGGGGATTATTTATTAATCCATCCCACATAGCGGGAAGGGGATTATTTGTTAATCCCCTTCAACATAGCGGGAGGGAATTTTAAGAATGGCCTCCGTCTGTCAGTCCGTCCGTCCATCTGTCCGTTAGAGACGATGTGCAGAACGCAATAATTGGGTTGCTATCGCCAAAGTCAAGGTCCAAATAAAGGTCAAATGTTAAAAAGTGTTCATTTCGTGTCCGCTCGATAACTTTTAAACCGTTGAAAAGTTTTTGAAATAAATTGACACAAGTGATCACAATTATATGACAATGTGCAGAGCAAAATAATTGGGTTGCTACCCCCAAGGTCAAGGTCAAACTTTAAGTAAGGTCAAGTATTAAAAAGCCTACATTTCGTGTCCTCTCCATAACATTTAAACCACTGCAAAATTTTTGAAATAACTTTTTTCAAGTGATCACCATAATGAGAGGATATGCAGAGTGCAATAATGGGGTTGCTTCCCCAAGGTCAAGGTCTTATTTTTTATTAAAGTGTTAAAAAGTCCCCATTTTGTGTCCTTCCATAACTTTTAAACCGCTGAAATGCTTTTGAATTAACATGACACAAGTAATCACCATCATAAGACAATGTGCAGAGCACAATAATTGGGTTGCTACCTCCAAGGTCAAGGTCACCCTTAAAAGTCAAGTGTTAAAAAGTGTACCTTTCATGTCCGCCCCATTACTTTTAAACCGCTGCAAAAATTTTGAAATAACTTTGCACAAGTGATTACCATCATGGGACGATGCAAAGAGCGCAAAAATTGGGTTGCTACCTCCAAGGTCAAGACCACACTTAAATGTCAATTTTTAAATGTCTACATTTCATATCCGCTCAATTTAAACCGCTGAATTTTTTTTGAAATAACAAGGCATAAATTATCACCATTATGACATGATGTGCAGAATCCAGCATCCAGGTTGCTGCCCAAAAGGTCAAGGTTAAGTATTCTCCTTAACGTTTTGACTTTAATAACTTGGCACAAATAAATACTATCATGAGACTATATCCTTATAATATACATGGCACAACATCAAGGTCATGGTCTGTTAAAGGTCAAGAAATACACTTTCATGTTTTCTGCGAAAGGGAATTTAGCTATCCTTCAGACTGCCTTGTTATAATTGTTTTGGGTGTATTTTCTAGAACCACAAAGACTGGATGAGAGAATATGAAAAGCAGATCGACAGTCATCTTCAAACTTTGAATTCCAGTGTAAGTTTATTGTCAGCGTAAGTATACTAGCTATATAATCTACATATTTACATGTAAGGTTCTTTCCAAATATGAAAATGTCTATTCTGCTACGCTTAAGACAATATATGGTAAAGTGATAATTTATTAAACAGTCCACTAAGTAATGTATGTGATAATTAATTTTTTATATCGTCTGTCGTGCGTCGTCAACTTTTGTTTCAAGAAAATCCGCTCCTAACCCGTTTGACAAATGTTGTTTAAGCTAAGCAAGTTTGTAAAATCACGCATTATACCAGACCTTTTTATGCGCCCGTTGACTTTAAATAGACACCTAGATGATGTAGGGAAATCGAGACGAGGTAAGACAGCGCAGGACTCTGTCAGAATTTTCAGTTGTATATCTGTCGCAAACATACTTTTTAACCTATGTGGCAACAGTTTTAGTAACAAAAACAAAAAAAACAAACAAAAAACTTCTGAAATTTAAGATAATTCAATAGGTGCGTAAATGCATGTAATGGAGATAGCTTTCTGATTAAAGATTCATTCTGAAGAAATCTTTATGCACGTGATTTCACAAAGTTATTATCTGTAAAACATATATGTCCATTTTAGAGTGATATGGCTGCAAGTCTTAATGAAGTGGAAACTTTCGATAAATCTGTGTTGCAAAGGTTGTTTCCTGACATCTCTGTCAAACAAAAGGTATGTTGCAATTTCTAATTAATAGGCAACAAAAGTAAAATTATAGATAACTCATTTGAGCATAAGATAAATCTTTTGAGCATTTAATCTCTTTCCTCAACTCACAATGAGTGATAGGTATTTACAATTTTAATAACTTAGCGTAGATAGCAAAGTGCAAAAGTAGCCGTTGATTGTTCTAACTATATATAAATGTATACACGTTTTATGTACAGACTCAATCAAACTGAGTCTGCAATTTTCATGTAATATTGTTGTTTTTTATGATTCCGAGAGATCACTTTTTCAGATATTTATACCTATGTTCTAATCTGATTGGTCTAGATTATATTGCATTTTGATTTAGATTTGCTTTATTTGTAAAAATTCTCTTGTGTATATTTTCTAGAACCACAAAGACTGGATGACAGATTTTGAAAAAGAGATTGACAGTTATCTTAAAACTTTAAAACAGCAATCAGCATCCAGTGTAAGTTTATAATCAATATAATCTTTATATTAACATGGTCTTGATATAGGTACTTGAAGCCAATGTTGATAATGTGGAAGATTAGGCAAATGTTGTTAAAACTAAGCAGGATTGTAAAATCACACATAATACCAATCCGAATTTGGTTCACCCTTAATGCGCCCGTTGGTTAAATGTAAGATATAGTGATAGTGCAGAGAAAGCAAGACCATGTAAGACAGTACAGGACTCTGTCAGGAGTTTCAGTCTATACCTGTCGCAGACCGTGAGACAGAAGCTTTAGTAACGTTAAAAAATTAATAAGAATTCTTATTTTTTATAGATAATTCCAATGGTACATAAATGCATGTAATGGAGATAGCTTTTTTGATGTCAGATTATCTCCCTTAAGCTCATTCTGAAGATATTTTGTATTTTAACCATGCAAGCATGTGATTTCACTAAGGTATTATCTGTAAAACACTTATGTCCATTTTAGAGTGATATTGCTGCAAGTTTGAATGAAGTGGAAACTTTCGATAAATCTGTGTTGCAAAGGTTGTTTCCTGACATCTCTGTCAAACAAAAGGTATGTTGTAATTTTAAACACAAAGGTAACAAGAGTAAAATTTTAGATAATTCATTATCAATAAATGATAAATGGTGAATGATGAGTAATTACATGTTTAAATAACTTAGCGTACACAACAAACTGCAAAAGTAGCTATTGATGGTAATAAAAAATATATACAAGTTTTTATACGTGTCCAAATCTAAATGGTCCAGATTATATTGTTTTTTGATTTAGATTTGCTTTATTTGTTTAAATCTGTCTTTGGTATTTTCTAGAGCCACAAAGACTGGATGACAGATTTTGAAAAACAGATTGACAGTCATCTTAAAACTTTAAAATCCAGTGTAAGTTTATTATCAATATATCTATATAAACATGTTCTTGATATAGGTGCTTGAAAAAAGCATTCAACTACACTTTAAATAATTTATGTAAAATTGATTATTAATTATACTAATTAAAAACCTAAGTAGTCTAGTTCATTAAAATTGATCAAAGAATTGAAGAGTTCTGGCCATGGCAACCTAAAAAACATTTTTTTTATCTCGAAAACTGCAAGGACTGTTTGGTATGTGATATTTTCTTACGAGCCACTACCAAGCTTGTTTAAATTATAGCTCCAGAGTCAATTTGGCATCGCCTCGGTGGCCATGGGTTTTCCTAATATGTATATTGTTAAAACTTTAATACACATTGTCTCCTCTGAATCCGCAAAGGTTTGAGCTTAAATATAATAAAACAGATACTATTTGATCTTTTCGTTCAAAAATAAATAAAGTAGACCAAAAGTTTGTTCAAATTATAGCCCTAGGGTCAAAATTATACCCCATACGACACGGGGTCTTTACTCAGAGACTTTCTTTTTGTATTTAAAACTGCAGCTGTGGAATTTGGACAAGATGCACATTTGCATGATGAACTTTAACATAGATGCCTTAAATTTTGACCCAGTGGCATACGTTTTATAAGTAGAGCTATCGCTATGAAATTTAAACAATATGCACTGTTACAGATAAACAGAATTGAATTTTGACACTGGTTTTGACCCTGAAACCTAAAACCTTTTTGTATTGATAAAACAGCTTTGAAATTCAAATTACATCAGTTTCATGTGCTGATTTAAACTTTGATATAAGTTGATCAAGATTTTAATTTTTTGTCCTTCATTTTGTATTTGTAGCTTCTGCTATGAAATTAGACATTATGCACAGTTCTAAGTGCAGATTTTAAAGTTATATATCTGCTTCAAAAATATTTGAATTTAAAAGAAAAATACTTCAATAATGCTTGTATAGAAATGATAAAATAATAAAGAAATTCTATGTTAAAACTCTTCCGATTTTGAAACCAATATAATTGTATGGTTATTAAATTTTTTAAAAATATTTTATCAGATATAGCTTCATACCCTTCAACTTTTATATCAGTCGACTTATTTTTCCCCCAGTAACTCCCTGAGCATTATATATCTTGCACAGTCAGTGTTTCTCTGGTCAACTATCTAGGGCCTTTTGGCCTCGCTTGTATTAAATATATTTTTTATAATCTAGACTTTATCATAGACAAAATTGAAAAATATATATATTGATGTAAATTTGATAGAACATTACTTTATTGATTAAGTACAAAATTTCATGTTAGCCGCGTTTAAATATTCTATGTGTTTAACTTTATAAATAATTAATATTTTGTACTGTCATTCAGAGTATCAAAAGTGAAGGAAGGATACTGGAACTAGAGGCTACAGTAAAAATTAATAAGGAAGAACGAAGCTCTCTGGTAAACGACCTTGATATATTAATAGTTCATTTATTTCATTTCCGTGTAAAATGAATAATAGGGGGCCGAAAAATGCTATTATACATTCCATTTGAGATTAGAACTTTCCTATTGACGGCCTTCACATTTAACTTAAAGTTGATACATTGTTCACCGTTATACGATATATATCATCGAGAGTTGATAAAAGTAACTTAATATTTATATATGACATTACCCTAACAGAGTGCCGAAAGTAAAAGAATTGGGATTGGAATCCGTCTTACAGATACAAGTAGCATAATAAGAAAATCGAAAAAATAGGATATACTAATAGCTCATTCATGAGATAAGAATATATCGTCGACCTTCACTTCGCTTTTAACTTGACAGTTGATCTATTGTTCATACGATATAAACATTGAGAGTTGATAAATGTTACTTAATTTCATTATCCTATACACTGTTGTACAGCGTCCACCGGATATAGCCCCTAAAAACACCGAAAACGAAAGTAGAAAGCTGCACAACGAGTACACCCAAGGTAATGTTTTAACTTATTTCTTCATCATAACTTCGTCGATTTTTCCAAACTAAACAATATCGTGAAGCTAAATATGTCTAGTTTTAGAGCAGTGTTTGCTTTTGCCTGCAAATTAAATACTTTTTGTTAAATTGGTGATAAAATGTAGCGTATTTGTCGACATTTGCGAACGATGTTGATATTTACCACTAAATCAAGCACAAAACGGATTTGCTGTATCAAATTCCGCCGTTAATACAAACTATAGTCATCCCTCTACTTATATTTGAGTTTTCACCCTTCAACTCGAGCTGCTTTTAACAAAATTTGCAAAAAAACTGCCTTGCCTTGTGTACAGAGTCTAGCACGGATGTGTACGGGGTGTAGATGGAAAACTGATAGCGATTGTACGGGGTGTAGTAGGTAAACGAATGTCATTTTCTGCAAAATATATTCATTACCAGAGCATATACACGTGCGCTGATGAAGAAAACGATTTATGTCGGGATCAGGGATTGTAAGGTGAATGATTTTAATTTTATTAAGGATAAAAATGTTTAATTAAATTGTCAACATGTTACGCAACATGTATATTAATTGCAGTAAACAGTTTCCGTCCTGCTATACCACTTTTTATGCGTGACTATAAGTTAATAGGGTAAATGTAAAACTCAAAAGACCACAATTTCATTCCATATTTAGTAGAACATTATGAACAGAAAATTCTATAATTTGTCTTAAACAATTTCAAACCATGTTCGTGTTATGCATTGTGAACTAAACTTGATCTAAACATGTTATATTTGTTTATTATGTCACCGGTCTTAAGACTTCATTGAAAAACAAACATTTGTTAATGAGCTTTGGTAAAATATCCGCTTTGATTAGTTAGGTTAATCATTAGATTTATCTTTGTGGAAATACTACATTACTGGCTATAAAGTCCTTCATATTTTTTTGCAGTCAAACTCGGGTGACCTCACTTGTGATTTCGATATTCAGTTTAATAAATACAATGCTGCCGCTTATATGCTGCTGTTTTTTTTCTGAAAAAGATTATGATGACTCTTCAATGATGATGATGACGATGATGATAATGATGGTATTTTATGTTTTCATTTCAACATTGCCATACCAATGTACAGAGTGTGCAGAGAGATATGAAACATTTAAAGAGTCTATTCGGCATCTTCTAAGCCGACTAATAGCTTATATAAGGCGGCTAAAACTGTTTTATAGAAGACAGTGCTAATGCCGTTTTGTAGAAAATGACAGTCCTGCATAATCTTTTAATCAATTTTCGACCTCCTACCTTATGTGTAGGTTAGTTATACATGTATATATAAATACATCCCCATTCGGACCATCTCCATTCAGCGAGTTGGTTTAGAAGACTCCTCAACATGTCTTATAAATACCGACAGACACTATTCAGCTGATGGTTGTGATGGTATGACAATAAAAATTAAACGCAGCTATACTGTTAGGCTCAAAAACACTAAAAACATAAATTATTTACCAAATACCTCTGTATCGTCCTCTAACCTATCCATGTTTAGTCTGATATGAGATTATTTCCAATTAAAAATAATAAGAAAGACTATACTTTATAAATATGTGACTGCTAGACACCGTTCACATCTACTAGACCCTGTACATTAAACTACTACACTCCGTTCACTTAAATTTGTTTTCTTTGCTAGACTCTGTACACAAGGCAAGGCAGATTTTTGCGAATTTTGTTAAAAGCAGCTCGAGTTGAAGGGTGTAAACTCAAATATAAGTAGAGGGATGACTATAATTTGTGTAAAACGGCGAATTTTGATACAGCAAATGCGTTTTGGGTTTGATTTAGTGGTAAATATCAACATCGTTCGCACATGTCAACAAATACGCTACACTTTTTCGCAAAGTTAACAAAAAGTAGTCAATGTGCAGACAAAAGCAAATATTGCTCTAAAACCAGAATCATTAAGCTTCACAAAATTGTTTAGTTTGGACAAATCGATGAAGTTATGATGAAGAAATAAGTTAAAACATTACCTTGGGTGTACTCGTTGTGCAGCTTTCTACTTTCGTTTTTGGTGTTTTTAGGGGCTATATCCGGTGGACGCTGTACAATAGTGCTATAGCTAACATTGCTGGAGACCTCCACTAGACCTCCACTACATTTCCTTTAAAGAGTCGAAATGAAGTTTCTTATAACATTTTTAGAGTTCACATAGCATCCTGCATTGCATTAACATTAAGAGTTGATCAAGCATTTTCCGTTACATGAACATTCAGCGTTGAGCTAGCATGTTCCGTTACATTTACCATGAGAGTTGATCAAGCATCTTCCGTTACATAAACCATGATAATTATATAGCATCTTTCGTTCAATGAACGATAGCAGTTGATCTAGCATCTTCTTTACATTTACAATGAGAGTAATTTAGCTTCATCCGTTACATTAACATTGAGAGTTATGAAGCATCTTCCTTTACATTAACCATGATAGTTGATCTAGCATATTTAGTTACAATGAACAATAGCAGTTGATCTAGCATCTCCCGTTACATTTACCATGAGAGTTATCTAGCATATTCCGTTGCATTAACCATGAGAACTATGTGGCATCTTCCGTAACATTCAAATTAAGAGTTATCTAGCATCTTCCGTTACATTAACCCTGGTAGTTGATCTATTACCTTTCGTTATATTCACATTAAGAGTTCGTATCGATTTATTCAGGGAATAGACATAATTATACACATACAATTTTATCACAGAAATCAACTTGCATATATATAAAAACACACAAATAAATGCACAAAAATAATTATAAGATTAATTAATAAGTATGTTCTATGTAACCCTAGGATTGCCCATTAAGCTAAAAGCTTATTTCCAATGGGGTCCATTTTCTGTAAAATTATTACACTAACTTACATAATAATAAATGAGTTATAAAGAAGTTAAAATTAATGACAATTTTCAATAATCAAGACACATTTTTCAATATAATAAGACAAGTACATTGTACACAAACAAAATGAAATAAATTTCGTTTAAACTAAAACATATTAAGTACACATAAACATGTTTCAAAACCTTATCATAAGTTACACATCAATTTAATAATAAATAAACATATTATTCACTTGTTTATCATTTTCATTACTTAAAAAAAGTTTTACTTTCGTTTTAAATGTTTGGATATTGTCAATTGATCTAATGTTGTCTGGTAAAGAATTCCAATCTTTAATGGCATTGTAGAAAAATGTATTTTTTAACATAAGAATCATTTTGAGGTAAAACAAAATTAAAATTACTGGATCTTAAATTGGATATTCTACAAACCTTAAACAATTCCTTTAAATAAGAAGGACTTTTGTTGTAAAAAACTTTATGAATGTGGTTGAGTCTTAACTGTCTAACTCTATCATTGACATTTAATAATTTAAGATCGGACAGAACCTTATTTGTCACTGAAGTCCTAGGAGTGTAGTCTTTTATAAAGCGCACAACCTTATTTTGAGCTACTTGAAGTTTGTGCTTCAGTGACTTACTCAGTCCTTGGTACCAAGAAGATGAAGAATAATCAAAGTGACACAGCAAAAGGGCAGGACATAACTGTTTCTTTATTTCTTCCGATAAACAATTTTTGTAACGGTATAGAAAATGTAATCTTCCATTCACCTTTGAAAGAATGCCCTTGACAATTTTATCTCCTGATAGGTAACAATCGATATTCAAACCAAGATATTTAACTTTAGACGAAGACTTTATTGTTTGATCATTACATGAAATGGAAAAATTTTGTAATTTATTAATTTTCGATTTAGAACCATATAGCATACATTCAGTCTTGCCCAGGTGTAGAGATAATTTATTATCTACTAACCAATCTGAGCATCGTTCCAATACCTTTCCAAGTTTTTGGGCTATAATTTTTGGATCCTTATGCGAAAATAATATTGTGCTATCATCTGCATATAAAATTAACTTGCAATCAGAATCGATACTTGTTACCATGTCATTAACGTAGCAGAGAAATAGAAGAGGACCCAAAATACTGCCCTGAGGGACCCCACACGTAATAGGAATTGAATCAGAAAAAACTTTACCAATACTTACTTTCTGATACCTTCCTGACAAGTATGATTTAAACCAAGAAATAGATTTGACACCTAATATATCTAATTTATCACACAAAATATCATGATTGACGGTATCAAATGCTTTTTGTAAGTCCATCATAACCATACCAGTGAGTAACCCTTTGGAGCTATTTGTACGGATATAGTCAAGTAGGTAAATAAGACATGTGTCAGTTGAATGAGATTTCCGAAACCCGGACTGGTGTTCGTAAATTAGATTATTAGTTCTTAGAAATGACTCAAATTGTACATACACGGCCCGTTCTAGAATCTTGGATACAATACATAAAATACTAACTGGTCTGTAATTCCCGACATCTAGCTTACTATTCTTTTTGTGTAGAGGTTTTACTTTAGCAATTTTCATATCATCTGGGACAACCCCCTCTGTTATTGAAGAATTCACAATGTAAGTTATAGGGATTTTTAATACATCAGCACCATCTTTAAGAAATTTTGCAGGGATACCATCTAACCCAGTGCCTTTGCTTATATTAAGCCTACATAATTCTTTATATACAAACTCCTCACTTACATGATGAAGGTGAAACTCTTTTTGTGATATGTTCCTATAAAAATTCTTAATTGTATCGGATGCCACACTATAAAAATTCTTTGCTGCCGGGAGTTTCTGTACTAAATTAGATGCAATATTTGTAAAGAAGTTATTAAAATGACTTGCAACTCTACAAGGATCGTGATAAGTTTCACCATCAATCGACAAAACAATATTCGGACTTTCTTTTTTATTGTTACTGTAACCAAGGGATTTGATATTCTGCCATAGTTTCTTATTGTCGTTCTTATTATCTAATATTTGCCCTTTGAAGTATTCAGATTTTGCCAATTTTATAGATCGTTGTACTTCATTGCGAAGTTTATTGAACAAAATCTTGTCAGAATTATAACGACTTTTTCTATACCTTGCATATGCTTTCTCTCGCCTATGTATCAGATCTAGAATATTTGAATCTATCCAAGGTTCAGTTTGATTTTTAAGTCTAATTTCCTTAAATGGAGCAATCTTATCTAATAAATCAGTGAAAATTTTCTGAAAATTATTCCATGCGTTATTAACATTTAAAGAATAAAAGCAAGAACTCCAGTCTGTTTGAGTCAACTCCGCGATCCAATTTTCTTTAGAGTAATTTGAAATTTTTAAGCGATCGTATATTAACATATCTATGACAATTAACTGGATTCTTAACAATCTTTCTTGTACAAAAAGTCATAAAATGATCGCTTAACCCAAGAGGAATAACCCCAGACTGAGACACTCGTTCTTTATAATTGCAGAGAATGTGATCTATAAGACTAGAACCCGTAGAACTAATTCGTGTCGCTGATTTTATAATTTGCTGAAGATTGTATAAACTCAAAATGCTGCAGTATTCTCTGAATATAACAGATTTGTTATCAAAAAAGCATATATTCATATCTCCAAGTATATATATTTCATTTTCGAAAGAAAGTTTAGATAAAATTGATTCAAGAAACTTATTGAAATCGGTTTGTTTAGGGGGTCTATATAATGTTCCAACAATAATAGGTTTATTCCGGGGCAAAAGTATCTCAACAAATATACATTCATTTGTGTTGTTTGACAAATCATATCTTACATTAAAAGAAATATCATTTCTAATGTACATACATACCCAACCTCCATTTCTATTGCGATCATTTCTTAGTACAGTATAATTTTGAATGTCAATTTTACCATCATACACACTAGAGTCTAACCAAGTTTCTGATATCGAAAAAATTGCTGCATTGCAGTTATTAGCTATCGTTTTCAGTTCGGACATTTTCGGAATTATGGATCTTACGTTTAAATGTATAAAATGTAGACCTTTGTTACTGAAGCACTTGAATACATTATCCTCGGGCGCCGTCTGTGATGTTTCGTTCATAACTGTCTGTGCTGTGATGTCATCCTGAACAAATTCGTCTTCGAAGAACGAGTCCGAAAAGCAGAAACCCTCACAATGAAAACACGACCAATTAATTGAGGAACGTTGTAATGTTGAATATAATGTCGGGTCCACCCTAGCACACTTAATGTGCCATCTAGACGCACATTTGTCGCACGTAACTGATCGATGTGTCCGTGCAATTGCCCGTTTGCATGATGTGCACGGGTTGTGGATAGGTCCTGGATTTAGCGCAATATCACCTGCCAGCGCTAAAAGAATCTTCACCGTAGCTGCTAAATTGACCGAAGTAAAAGTTCGCCTTGTATGAGTATAATGATATAGAATTTGATGATAATAAGAGATGCTTTCGCTTGTAAACTGATAATTAGCAAATAAAACTTTTTCTGCATTTTCTTCTACAGTGATTTTTCTGCTCAGAGTAAATTGTTCATTTGTGGTCAAATTACCATATAAATAAGAATCCGCCGCTTCTACATCAAAATCTGTAAACCTTTGACCCGTTGTGATTTTCTGGTTAACCGAATCATATTGAACGCACGTACAAAGAAGAGCTATTATTAAAATCTTCATCGAATTCATATTCGTTCCTTGTTCAATTTTCTGACTTCTGAATTTTCTGTAAAGATCCGCTCGATAACATCGATATTTACATCTTCAGACTTGTATTCTTCTGCGCTTTCCAAAAATATATAATTTATGACGAAAAATATTTTTTCACTTGAATTAATAAATAATTTGTTGATTTTTTTTCCGGAGCGTCAATTTAAACTTGTTATGCCGGACGTGACGTCACAATATTGATCTAGTTGATCTAGCATCTTCCGTTTTATTAACATTAAGAGTTGATCTATCATTTTCCTTTACATTAACCATTAGAGTTGATCTTACATCTTCCGTTTCATTTACCATGAAAGTTGATCTAGCATCTTCCGTTGCATTAACCATGATAGTTAAACTAGCATCTTCCATTGCATAAACCATGATAGCTATCTTGCATTTTCCGTTACATTTACCACGAGAGTTATCAAGCAATTTCCGTTACATTAACCATGAGAATAATAGCATCTTACGTTGCATTGACCTTGTGAGTTGATCTAGCATCTTCCGTTACATGAACGATAGCAGTTGATCTAGCATCTTCCGTTACATTTACAATGAGAGATGATCTAGCATCTTCTGTTGCATTAACTTTGAACGTTGATCTAGCATCTTCCGTTACATAAACATTCAGCGTTGAGCTATCATTTTCCGTTACATTTACAATGATAGTTGATCTAGCATCTTCCGTCATAGTAACATTGAGAGTTGATCTAGCATTTTCCGTTTAATTAACCTGATAGTTGATCTTGCATCTTCCGTTACATTAACATTGAGAGATGATCTAGCATCTTCCGTTGCATTAACTTTGAACCTTGATCTAGCATCTTCCGTTTCATTTACATTGAGAGTTAATCTAGCATCTTCCGTTACATTATTATTCAGCGTTGAGCTATCATTTTCCGTTACATTAACCATGAGAGTTGATCTAGCATCTTCCGTGATATTAACCATGAGAGTTGATCTAGCATCTTCCCTTACATTAACATTGAGAGTTGAGCCATCATCTTCCGTTACATTCACATTAAGAGATGATCTAGCATCTTTCGTTACATCAACATTGAGAGTTGAGCTATCATCTTCCGTTACATTCACAATTAGAGATGATCTAGCATCTTCCGTTACATTCACAATTAGAGATGATCTAGCATCTTCCGTTACATTCACATTAAGAGATGATCTTGCATCTTCCCTTACATTAACATTGTGAGTTGAGCTATCATCTTCCGTTACATTCACATTAAGAGATGATCTAACATCTTCCGTTACATTCACATTAAGAGATGATCTAGCATCTTCCGTTACATTCACATTAAGAGATGATCTAGCATCTTTCGTTACATCAACATTGAGAGTTGAGCTATCATCTTCCGTTACATTCACAATTAGAGATGATCTAGCATCTTCCGTTACATTCACAATTAGAGATGACCTAGCATCTTCCGTTACATTCACATTTAGAGGTGATCTAGCATCTTCCGTTACATTCACATTAAGAGATGATCTAGCATCTTTCGTTACATCAACATTGAGAGTTGAGCTATCATCTTCCGTTACATTCACAATTAGAGATGATAAGCATCTGCCGTGACATTAACATTGAGAGTTGATCTAGCATCTTTCGTTACATAAACATTCAACGTTGATCTAGCATCTTCCGTTACATGAACATTCAGCGTTGAGCTATCATCTTCCGTTACATTAACCATGAGAGTTGATCTAGCATCTTCCGTTACATTAACATCGAGAGTTGATCTAGCATATTCCGTTACATTAACCATGTGAGTTGATCTAGCATCTTCCGTTACATTAACCAAGAAAGATCTACCATTAGCCGTTGCATTGTCACTCAATATATTTCCCATGATAAATTGAAAACACCTTCCATTTCATCGTCCTGTAGTGTCCTCTTAAAGTTTTATGACACTAAACAAAAAGTTACATATTTTATATTATTCCTCAAATCAATCCTATTGTAGGACGATAAATTGCAACATCTTATAAACTACCTGAAAGCAGAAGAAAAGAAATGGCAAGAAAGTTTGAAGGCAAAAGAATTAGAATTACAGCAAGTAAGTTAACATTATATTCACAGATGCATGTTCTTTTAACTTCAAACGTACTTAAAATGAATTTAAGATTTTTATAAAGTACTAGTACACTTTTTGAAACTTTGTTAGGATGTGATGTTATGAGTACATCATTTACGTATATATTTTTTATTTCTAGGCTAAGAAGGAAGTATTAAAAAGTGAAGAGGAAGTACTCAAAGCTGCCGGAAACAAGAAGGTAAAATCAATGTCTGTGAAATTAAGAATTTTTTAAAGTATAGTTTTGAAACTTTGTTAGGAGTTGTAATTTCATGCTTCCCGGTGTTTTATTATAATATATCAGATGATTATATTCTGATAAACCACTAGTGAAATTTATAAAATATAATTTTCCAAAGTAGCCGGACTATATCTGAATGCGGATGAAAAGAAAATTAAATTAAATGGAATAACAGGCAGAAATAAATGCCGTCATGTATACGTAAATTTTGATTCTTTAGGTAAAGAAAGTCGATATCACCATACATCATGTTAAAAATGTAACAAAATTAGAGAAATTTTACATAACTATAATTATTTCAAAATTGATGATGTGACGTCATGATGTGATGACGTCACAAAGGAGAATGCGCGACGTTACGCGGCAAAATTAGTAAAAAAATACTTAAAAACAGTTAAAAAGCATGAAATAAAAAGAAAATTTATTTGTTTTACATATAAGACTGAAATATATTTCATTCGTGAACACCAGCTATTATATTTTTACTCGTGGCTACGCCACTCGTGAAAATATTGCATCTGGTGTTCACTCATTGAGATATAGAGGATATTTATTTGTAAGATTAAAATATAATTTCACTGAGTGAACACCAGATGCAATATTTTCACGAGTGGCGTAGCCACGAGTGAAAATATAATAGCTGGTGTTCACAAATGAAATATATTTCAATCTTATATGTAAAACAAATAAATTTTCTTTTTATTTCATGCTTTTTAAGTGATTTAAAGTATTTTTATTGATTTTGCCGCGTAACGTCGCGCATTCTCCTTTGTGACGTCATCACATCATGACGTCACATGATCGATTTTGAAATATAGTTCTGTTAAAGTTCTCTAACTTTGTTACATTTTTAACATGATTTATGGTGACATCGACTTTCTTTTCCTAAAGAAGCAAAATTTACGTATGACGGCATTTTTTTCTGCCTGTTATTCCATTTAGTTTGATTTTCTTTTCATCCGCATTCAGATATAGTCCGGCTACAGTGAAAATTATATTTTATAAATTTCACTAGTGGTTTATCAGAATATAATCATCTGATATATTGCAATAAAACACTGGAAAGCATGAAATAATATATTTCAAATTTACATGCAAAACAAACAAATATCCTCTATATGAAAGAGCACATTATACTAGTAATCAAAAGTGCCGGAAACTAGGAGGTGATGTTTCACAGTTACATTATGTTATTGCTTATTTCATGCTTGCTACGTTTTTGGTATTTTTAACTTTTTACAGCATCAGGTTCGTTTTACTTAATCCTTACTATGCTTAATATTTTAAATGGACATGCCATTGTTTTAATCTTGGAAAAATTATTCACCAATTTTAATTTTAAAGTTTTATTGACTGAAAAGCAAACTGTGCAGAGCGTGATCATACTGCTTTATTAATAAATGAAAATTTGATTGTCCAAACTGAAGTCTTTGTTTTACTAGCCTTAAATATAGATATGTCATACAGAAAGACATCTCAGCCTGTTATTTGCAATCGGGAGATCATTTATACCATAGTATCTTGTTAAGGTGAAAATGTGTGCTATCAAAAAACATTATTAGTGACATCTGCTGACATGAATTAACACATTAGAATCATGTTATGAATGAAAATAGCAATTATATAATGTGGGAACTGTTAGATATACGAGGAATGATCCTCAAATAACCGGAACAAAGCCCCAAATTCAATACCCCTTAACAAGTTTTTAAAACAAAACACTGTGCTAATGCGCAATTTAGCCTCTAAGACTTTGCAAGAAAACAGGACGAATTAGAATTAAACAACACATATAATCATACAGCAAGCATAGTTAACCACATCATGTGACATGAATACATCATATAGTCGGCAAGACTTAGTTGTGACAACGCCATAAGAAACACACTCAAAGGTTGCCATCGCACATAACACAGTATTGTCGATGCCTTTGAACGTATTGGACGAATATGTAAGGAGTGCTTTTGATTTGATAATTCTTGATGTTGCTTTCTGTATTTGTGCTTGAACCTGTGACTCTTCATCTTTCGTACAATTTTGATTATTTATTTGTCCATTAATTTGAATTGTATGTTTATTTTCTATTATTCTATCTATTTGGTTAATGTTTTGGATCTTATAGGTTGAAGGCTGTGTGATATGTATGGATACAATTACTGACCCTGTAAGACTAAACTGTGGTCACATTTTTTGTAAGGATTGTATTGACGCACAGTCCAAATTTAAACCTGCATGTCCAACATGTGGTCACGTTTATGGTGTCATAATAGGTATGATATTGTTGAAGTTCTTTCTTTCTTTCTGTCTTTCTTTCATTCTTTTTTCATTTTTTTTCTTCTTTTTTTCTTTCCCTTTTCCTTTTTTTCTTTCTCTTTCTTTTTTACAAAAAAATATTTCTTTTCATTTTTAAATACTGAATACATTATATTTTTCAAAAGCTATCTATACTAAAATTAATACTTATTTAAATGAATCGGTTACTTCATTTTCCGTGTCGTTTGTCTTCTGTCTTCTTTATATTTTAGTAGAAATGCAAGCTAATTTTGTTTGCATTCAGTAATTAATGAACAAAATTAGAATTAAGTGTTTTTGCGTAATCCCAGATAATGATTTGCAAGACAAGTAAACGAATCAATAGATGTTAAAGCACTTGGAATCATAAAAAAACAAACATTTTAATTTGTATTGAAGAAATTTAATTTATCTGAAAATTGACAATATGCCATTCAATATGCAGGTGATCAACCGGATGGAGACATGAGACATTCTGTAGAAAAGTATACTGATTGTACTGGGTATTATGGATATGGAAGAATCGTAATAACTTACCACTTTCCATCAGGCAGGCAAGGGGTAATTAAAACTAAGTTGTCGTAAAAAACCTTAACATATGAAAAAGTAACAGATTGTTCATCAAGCATTTTTGATAAACGAAAAAGGGTATATAGAAATTGGATAAGTATGTCTCTTTTTCCGCACTTGCGAAAGAAAAAAATATATGGTTACAGAAACAATAGGTACTTTTACCGTAAGTTTTTTATTGCTGTTTTCCTTAATGTGGCAAAATAGAACAGTAGAGCGAACAATGGTGTAGCCATATAATTAGTGACTCGTTAGAACGGTTGTCAGTCCATACTTCTGTCTACCTTTCTGTTTATCACAAGAGTCAAGGTCACACTTGGAGATAAAAGGTCAACATTTTTTGATGAAGGGTATATTTCATGTTCGGTCCATAACTTTTTCATCCATTAACTGTTTTATTTGCACAAATATTCACCATATTTAACCTATCTATCTTGGACGACCACCAGATACTTACCACCAAGGTCAAGGTTACACTAAGAGGCCAAAGTTTATCTTGTTCTGTATTTTCCTTGTCCAGAGAAAAAATACGAAAATTTTAGAGAGATTACCCTGACACTTAAAGCATAAATTATTAACAGTGAATTGGCGTGCACTGCAAAAGAACCATAACTCCGTCTGAAATAAATTTTTTGTTTAAATCATCACCCTTTATGTACTTAATTATAGTGATAAAACATGATTTTTGCACTGAAAGCGCAGATCCATATCTCAAAATTATTGAAAATATACTTTTATGTTTTTCATGCAAAACGTCTCTGAGGCGGGGAACGTTGGTAAATCTTGTCGTTTAAGAATCAGCAGGCCTATATAGAAATACACTTTGCCTTTTATGCATCTATTCTTTTGTAAGAAAAATGATTATCTGTTAAAGGAGAAAATCTCGCTCGCAGAGCGTTTTTTACTGAAGTAATTGAAAATACCTAAGATTGGTAAAGATATCATATTGTCATGTTATAACTCTCTGTTTCAACGGTGTTAAAAATGATTTTCAATCATAGTTGTTTTAACAATAGATAAATATCTGTACCTAAACGTTTTTTTTCAAAGCGTATTTATTTTGAATATTTTATTGATAATTAGAATGGTTGCTTTATTAGAAATTATATCAATATAATATAATACTATTTCAGCTCAAACATTCCAGCCCTGGAGCCTTCTATAAAGGTATCACAAGGGTTTGCTACCTCCCGAACAATGACGAAGGCCGTAAAATACTAGCTATGCTGGAGATAGCATTCAAAAGGAAATTGGTATTTACAATAGGAAATTCGAGGACAACAGGACAGGAGGGTGTGATAACATGGAATGAGATACACCACAAAACAAACCCAAAGCCTCACACCCAGTAAGACATCTAATGATAATTTTGATTACGTAATAGCTATAATTATGTTAAGTGAAATATTTACTTTTCAATGGCGTCATATATGACATATTAAAGTATTTTCCACCAAATTTTTTTTTTTTCAATATTGATCAAAATTCAATTAGTTTGTAGTTTATTGCGGTTATTTGTGTGCCTTTAATATTTATTAAGGTTAACCAAAATAATTCTTTTTAGTACATATATAACTCCCCAAAACCCGACACTTTACATCACCAATGGCATGAAAACAGCTGAGGGACGCTATAATTTTTGTTTGGTTGTTGCATGTGTACTTAAATCAAAATGCAGAACTCTTTAAATTTTTATGCATTTGCTTTTATTCGCTAAACTTTACTGCTTGTCCTTATGCAGTTGTAAAAAATTGAAATTTACATTAAGCAAAGTATTTTAATCATGGTTAACATGCCCTATATATACGAGTACATTGTTTATTTAGAACTAACATGCATAGTTTCTTCTTTACTGTGCACATGATAGATGTATGTAAATATATTCAATAACCTTGGTAATCAAAATATTGTTTTAATTATATATAATTTCTGGAGTTTTGATATATAATAAGCAAACTTGGTTTTCACATATATCTGGTTATTTTTCCAGATATGGATACCCAGATCCCGGTTACTTCGAAAGAGTTAAAAATGAACTTGCTGTAAAAGGTGTTACTGAAAGGGACATACCGAGACAATAAGCATAATACATAGATCGTCAAACAAATTTTAATGTATAGATAGTCTAGTATTTATGTATGTATGACCGTTCTATGATTGTAGTATTTTTTTTTCATTTTCAAATTGTTTGAAATTGAATAAGAACCTGACATAATTGAACCCAAATTAAATATTGTTAAGATGTTGTTTTTACAATGTGTCAATGTATTTATTTTGAAGTATCTCATGAGTGTCATATAATAAAGCTGTTACCATAGACTTCTCAAAATAACTTATCACTCACTCATATTTTAATAATAAAGCCTTAAAGATGTATTTTGGTCATCTTACGGTAAGATACATTTATTGCAGAAATGTATTGAAGTCAAGAAAATTCATAATGAACATTATGAATTATTTAAATATGAGAATGCATTAACTATGTTTTGGAAGTTGGATTGCCTATTACTGGTCAAGTTGTTTAGTCCTTTACAACTTGCTGTTTTTTATATTGATATATATATTCATACTGTGTTTACCTATAGTGTGTGGACATATCTTCTCTGTGTGCTCATATTATGTTTATTTTATTTTACAAGGAGATTGTGTTGCAATTATCATTATTTTAAAATATCAAATTTGAGCATAGTATATATTTAATAAACAGGTAAAAGCAAACAAGGACGAACATATACACAGACATCTTTAAATTTTTAACAATCATTTTAGGTAGATTCTATGCTTATATAATTCTGGTTCTGGTTGTATATTTGTGTTGAAAATGCCTTGTTTTTCATGAATAAATTTTCTTGTGGTTTTAATGACACATGTTATTATTTCTTTGAAAAATGGTATCTAAAAAAAAGCAAAATCATCCCCTTTCAAGTACATCTACTTTGAAGAGTATTTAAATAAGCTAGAATATTGTTAGCTGCATTGAAATTAAGGATCGAGGGTTCAAACCCTTATAGATAGAAACATTATATGTTATTTTGGTTTTGGAGTGATATATGTGGATATATTACCTGGCAAGATTTTATATCACCCGAGCCGATTATTCTTGTTCACCTATTTTCAAGATTCACTTTTTATAAATAAAAGTATTTATTTTTGATCAATACAGGTATTTGTTGGTTAAATAATACTTGTTTAATTATAAATTATTACGTACATCGAATTTTCTAAGTCTAATAAAATCAAAACTCTACCGATAGTATGGTAAACGTCTTAAAGTATTTAGAATTTGCCAAGATTAACCAAATATTTCTGGAAGAAACAAAAACAAAAAACAACTTGATGCAAACTTAGAGAAAAGCCTTGTCGATATTTTGAATAAGGTACTCTGAGTAGGAAAATAGTGAAACAAGTTTTAACAATGGGCGGGAAGAGGGAAAATATACATTTTGAGTAGAAACATTTATTAAATAGCTTTTATGGTTCATAACTAAAATGTTATTGTATGATTCTAAGGAAAGCATTTTTCATACGGATTGTATTACAGATTATTGACAGTTTTTTGTGGGTTTTGCGTCGCACCAACACAGTAAAGGTCACACATCATGACGACTTTACTGGTAGAGGAAGACGTCCTTTGTGCATTATCTTTCAGGCACAAAACGGGCATCTTAATAGAACTACCGACGTCCCATAAGCAAGCTGGATAGAGTTCTCACGTGAAAGAATTTGAAAGCGCTGGCGCAGCTCTAACGTACAGTGGTGAGAGAGGCTTGTGGGTTGAAATAAAAAAAAACTAAAACCATTCTGCCGTGGATAACCTTAATACAGTTTAATCATTTTTTAAAAAGAGCCCTCTTACTATCAAATCTTTACTTCAGTTAACAAAGTTTCGTACAGTAAATTTTGCATATAATGTGTCTTTTACAAAAACCATGTAGAAATTTTTCAGGTTATCCTTATGACTGAAAATTTTAGGTCAATATACAAGTTACTCCGCTTATATGTATACCGATTATCATTATTATTATTATTATATATATTATTATTATTATTATTATTATTATATTTAATAAATATATAATCAAATATGCATTTCTACATTATTGCAATAATTCGATTGTGTCGAATTGTCGTTTGTTTGGACTTTTGAAAAGTGTTTCAACATGTTTTGTTTGTTTGTTTGGTCAAACGACGCCCCAACACAATTTAGGTCACATGGCGCCGAAACAGGAATGATGGTTTTGGCTTACCTCGGGTGTTAAAAACTTAAAGCAACACCAGGGATTAAAACCACCTCAATTGCTGTAGCTAAGAGAGGCATTGACTCCAGTTATTCGATACCATTTAGTCGCCTCTTACGATGATGTAGGGATAAACGGTGGATGCAATTCTGATGCCCCAAACCCCTAAGCCACAAGGGATAATGTTTTTCGTAACGTCTTGCCAACCACAAAGTGTATTGTCATTTTTAGCTCGACTATACGAAGTATATGGAGAGCTGTCTTACTCGCCCCGGCGTCCGCGTTAAAGTTTAGGTGCAGTAAAATATTTGTCAGTATAAATTTTTCATTTCTTAAGGTATCAACTTCAAACTTCAAATATATGCTCGTTATCATCAACCACATTTTATGCGACAAGGTTCATAGCTCTAGCACCAATATTTTCAGATTTATCTCCCCTTGAAATTTTTCTTAAAAATATTATTTTTTACTGTTACTTCTTTACTTCTTAAGGGATCAACTTAATACTTAAAACATATGTTTCTTACCATTAACCACATCTTATGTGTTAATGTTCATAACTCTAGCACCAATATTGCAAGAATTTTATCCCCATTAACATAGATTTTTTTAGTTGAAAAATGTTATTTTTCTCTATAACTTCTTTAGTTTTAAAGGTATCTACCTCAAACTTCAAATACATATCCCTTATCATCAAACACATCTTATGTGACAAGATTCATAACTCTTGAAGCAAAATTTTCAGATTTATTTCCCTTTATAATTTCTTTACTTTTTAAGGTATCTTTTTCAAACTTCTTATGTATATTTCTTATCATTACACACATGGTGTGTGACAAGATCCATAACTCTAGTGTGACTATTTCCAGAATATTCCCCCTTGAACTTGGAATTTATGTTAATAATTGTAACTTCTTGTCATAAAAAGAAGTATATTTATAATACAATTGATTTATATTTAATATGTTTTGTCCTCCTTACTGCGTCAAGTATTTAAATGGTTGAGCTTCGTTGTCTCCTGTGACAGCTCTTGTTTTTTTTTTATCCCTACTCTGATTTCTATCGCTGTATTTGTTTCTTAACTAATTTAACTGGTTTGCATAACCTAAATATATAGGTATCATTCCACTTAGATAAGAATGATCACCTCTTTATTTAAATATATTAAAGCAGCACGAATATAAATAATTAAAAAAAAAGTAAAATAAGAAAATATTTCTCCTCTCTAGATATGCAATGATTTCAGTCAGTGTATAACAAAGATATTAAGTTTCCATGGAAATTTCTTTTTAAATTTTCAAACATGTTAAAATTAATAAAAGTGGTATACTTCCAGGTATAGGTAGTAAAAATCAGTTATTTTGGTCATATTTCATAGAGATTTATTAGGTTTGCTTGATTTTTTCATATAGTTTACTTGATTTTGATGTTTTAGATTTATGATTGGCATGCTACTTTAAAGATGATAAATTCCTTTCTGTTCATGTGATATTTGTATTTGTCTCTGAAACTAGGTCAGTATAAGACACTTACGATAAGAAATTAAGAAATATTGTATTATGTTGTAGAATTACTTGATTCTATAATTAAAAATGTGGAGGATTTTAATAGTCCTATACTTCGTACAGGCACTTGTGAGTTCTCATTTTTCATTTTCTTTCGTCTGATACATTAAATGTATTTCATAACTTAAATTACTGTAATTGAATTTCTAAGCTTTGATATGGAACATGCCACCATTTAAAAAAATAAAAAATAAATAAACTAAAGTGAGCTACTTAGAGAATAGGGCCTGATTAGACTACACGGATATGCAGATTGACAAGCCTCAATACTCAATACTATTTGTGCCATGCCGTATTTTCGATCCGCGGGGCGCCGGACGAAAACGTTAAATACGACAAGGTGAACACAATATCACTACTTTACGGTGAATATCCATATCGGTACTCTTTTTGTGAAATCAATTAAAACCGTACCCTTTGTGCACATACACAGGTCATTCTCTGCTGAAGACAAGCAGGCGACATGCACCAATACAGTAAATGTTCATTCTACTGATGAAAAGCGGTATGTCGAGTAAATAAAGAAGTATACCACAGAACATGTCTTACCCCAGTAACTGAAGAATGGACAAATTCCTTAGAAATATATAGTTAAAACATTTAAGTGTTCCGTGGTATTATTCTGTTTCTGGTATTGTTCTGAAATAATGTAAATATCAAACATTTTATGAAACAGTTGAATTTTTAACTTATTCAATTATATATAATAGGACCAAGTTACCAATCAATCTTAGATGAACTGTAATGAATATTTTACTATTGAAACTAAAATTGTCATAAACTAACGGACAAAGCATAAAAGTTAAAACCCCATATCAATATATTATATTCTTTGATATTAAGTCTGGACATCATAAGGGTCAGCCCGAAAAGGCGAGAATAGAGCACACAGATCATTTGGACCGGAGTTTTGGCTTAACGTCAGCAAACACAATAACGTTCCAGAAAAACATATTTATATCAGCGTACACATGCCCAGACACATGTCATCATTTCCGAATCTGCGGAATAGAGCCCGGAATTCTTATGTGTTTATCGAAAATTCACAGATTTGAGTTATAAAGTTCATTTGGACTTTAGTTCCGGCTCAATGTCGGGAAAAAAGTTTTTGCTCAATGTCGGAAAAATACCAGAATATTCCGATGTACACATTTATACCACTTTGTAATTTACTGTGTCTCAGCTGCTAAAATATGTTATTGACATTTTTATGTTCGGTAATGAACGTTGACATTGAGTGTTTTTTAGTCTGATCAAGAGAGCTTCTTCTTTTACATTTTAAAGACATGTATATTTATTTGGTAGAATAAACAAACATTCAATGACCCTTAACAGCACTTTGTGATCTACTTTAAGTTGTTTAAGCTATGACCTTTGGAAATTAGAACAGTTTTAACTCGACTTTACAAAAATAAATGTACATGTATCTGTGAAATTTTAGAAATATTTTGAAGCAAAGACTTCATGTTTTTCGGAGTAATAAAAACAACAACGACAAACAAACAAACAGACAGACAAAAAACATTAAAAAAAACAACAACAAAAGGAAAGAAAAAAACAACAACAAACAGCAACATGGATCTGGTGTAACGCATCATAAAGTTTGAAACATGGCATCACAGTGGTTATAATATTTGGGAATGCTATAACCATTATTATAGCATAAAATCGGCTATTTTTCCCTATTTTGCCCATGTTATAACGGGACCAAAACCATGTGTTAACATAGTCA